ATCTGGAGTGAAGTCAAACAGACCTCTGTCATGGGTCATCCACCTGCCACCGACGGCGACTTAACCTTCGCACGCTTCTTGGACGCAATGCTGGAGCTCGCTGCAACGTTTCAGAGCTCAATACCGGGTAACGAGACCCCGTTGATCGTGAAACTGGACTTCAAAAGCAGTCGCGCGTTCGAGGCGTCGTTGGTAGAAGTGGCCAAGTTCGTGACGCAGTACCCGTTCACAAAGGGCATCTTCATCAATGCCGACATATTACCGGGTCCGACGAACACGAACTTCGTAGCTTTTGATGCTGAGACCTTCTTGAAACAGGTCCATGACCTTGGTGAATGTGATGGTGGAAAACACCGTCATAAACTCGTACTGTCACTGGGGTGGACAACAGCCAACGCCAATGAGGAAGAGATCCATCGAGAATACTCTTCAGCAATGGCTGATGATATGCTGCGTGTATTAAAACCGTACGGAGACAACATTACCGTGACATTCCCACTACGCGCGACTAGTATTCGCAAGTCGTGGACAGCGTTGCGTCCATTACTAAACCAAAACAACTACGGCTTTACACTCTGGTGGGCAATCACTCAGATATCGGATGAAGAACTGGAGTGGCTGTTCTCAACACTGGAGCTTGAAACTCATGACGATGGCAATGGCGGCCACACAACATGCGCAGGACGAACCTTTTACGACATCAAGGGATTCGATAACTTCTTGGCGAAGCGGGGATACACAAAACTGCAAAACTGAACTGGCCTATGACAATGCATTGGTTGTATTTCTTGCTTACGATTCCTACTGCATTACACCCGCAACCAAAGCATTTCAAACAAAAATCCTTAAACCGACCTACGCTCGCACGAAGGCTCCTTTCCGCTTGATAACAAAATAGCTCCCACTACCCGTCGCTGCGTCACTAGCAGCCTGCGGTTGACCAACGTACTGATCGGTTTGATCTTTCAGCGCTCGCATCTTCGTTTGCACCCGTCGAATCGCATATCGCAGTTCAGCAGTGCTTACCCACTGCAACAACGTGCGATTCTCCATCAAACAGCCGCACATTTCCTTCGTGTGTCGAAGACATGACAAGCGGCTGGGATTGCACGAGCAGATCACACCCGAGAAGAAGACATTGTGTTTGCATCGAAAACACTGGCGTACGTCATCGACCTCCATCGATCGCTCGTCCAGCATGACGTCGCCACTCAACTCCTCAATACTCTCCAATCCGTCAGCAAGGAAAGCTTTCTTATACTCGCGCTCTTCGTGAAACAGTCGTCGCAACTCCTTTAACAGCATTTCGCAATCCGTGAGCGAGTATTCGTCTAAATTTTGCGTCGATCCGAAGTGGAACACGAAACGATCATGCGAAAATATTGAAACGCGAGCGTATTTGCGGTACATCTCGACACATTCCCGCCCATAGTCGATCCAGTTGGGGAGAACAAAGTTCACGGCCTCGTTGCAATTGAAACCTTCGCTGAAGCCGCAGTGATACGCCTTGGGGAAGGTCAAAATGCTGTCTCCGGGTTGCTGCACTAGCGTGAATACCTTCAAACCTCGACTCTGCAAAACTGACGGTGGTACCATAGTAGTCAAGTGGAGCAGCAAGTCCGGATTCTCTCGAAAACGCTCAGGCACTTGCGTTCTCATTGCAGCCTCAAACTTCTCGGCGTCTGAGGAAGAGATTCCATACCATCGCTTCTTGGCACCCAGGTGGTGATAGTTGATGCTGGACATGTAGTTATCTTCGGCGTGCCAGCAGAAGGATGCGAACAGCATACCGCAATACAACCAAGGCACGTTGATGCCGTTGATTGCGGCGCCCAAATGGCGGAGTAGTGAGCCGTATGCATCTGGCAGGTTATTTAGATTCCACCCAGTATTGCGGTAGTATTCTGGATCCGAGAAATCAATTGATTCCTTTCCTGTGTATCAATTAATAACAAGTATTAGCTGTGGCAGCAAATATGAGTTTTTAGATGAATTTTATCGTACCTTTCATTGACTGGGATGCAAACCGCTTCTTCGAGCGGAGAAATCCACTGCCTACCTGAGAGATGTCGAGATCATTGGCGTATTCCACCTGCAAATAATGAAACGTAACCAATCAGTTCATTAAATTCTAATATGTCACTGCATTTGCTGTTACCTCAACATTGGGTTCTCCGGTCTGGATAACCCGCCAATATTCCCGTTCAATCTCTTCCGATGTCAGCGAGTCTGGATCTAACCCTCTTGACCAGAACCAGTTATCCCGAAACGCGTCCGCATTAGCGCGGAACGACTTGAATGTATGCGTTCGCCCGTCGCCATAGGCATGTCCTTCCTGGAGATAAATAAACGGTAGATTATCGTCAACATGAATTTCAAAATTTTCAATAAAGTTCCACTCTACCGACTTGCAATTCGTGAATTTTCTGCTTCCTCGTGTCAAACTGTACCCGATCGTTCTCCAAATTAATAGCAAACGGCGGATTCCACCCGCGCGGTGGTATAATCTTGCAGATTCCAGTTCGCGATGCTTCTTTTTCAATGCTGCAAAACAGCAAATATCACAAAACACCAAAAACACATGTAAAAGTTTTGAAATTTTGTAGAATAATGTGAAATTTGCAGTACGCACCTCGCGATGTACTTGATCGGATCGCCAAACTGCTCCAAGGTCGGATAGAACACGGCACCCTGCGGCAACGGAGTCGTTTGAACCATCTTGGTCTCCACCACCGACTTGGCCAGCGCCAGCTTCAACATTTTCCTCGCGTCGGGCGAATCTGAGTCCGAGTCTGAGTCCATGGCTGCACGCTTTTTTTTGTAACGCCCGCTGCGGCGAGATGTACCGCTTGTACTGGTACCGTTGGCCTCTGAACGGCGTTTGCGCTGACTTTCGGCATGTCGACGGAGCAGAGCTCCTGGAGAAGAGACCGAGTCGCGACTACCGAGCGTAGTCGGCGATGACGCTGTCTGCGCGCGAACTTGCGTGAACTGGGCGTGGACCGAGTGATTCACCATGTTATCGGCGAAAATGACGGCAAAAAAAACGAATTCGGCAGCAACTGCGAAGCCGCTGGTGGGGAATCCCTACAGTGGAAAAATGTCGGCAGAGGTCAAAATGGAAAAACGGCCACATCTCGCGACAAGAACTTGGGAAAAGAAACGAGTTTGACGGGGTTTTCAACGATTTTCGTCCAATCGTACCACGATGAGGAAAATCAAAACCGAGCCCCCAGTTGGGCCTCCCATATTGGCATCGATCGAAAATGCAGGCTTCAGTTGCCACTCCGCCACTTGCCGTTGCCCCGGCGGAGGATGTGGCAATTGAAGACATGACAGTGACGAGCAATGAATTGGCCACAGACATGGCCAAGCAGGACGCCGACGAGGATCCTAAGAAGAAGCGAAGGAAGATATTGCGTACAGTTGAGGGCGTGCAACAACAGCGCGTCAGCGTGAAACTCAAATCTGGCGCCGACATAACGCTCCAAGTGCGACAGCACTTTGACAGCCGCGCACAGGCCAAAGAATACATCCAGGACTTTGCACTGGCGCAGGGAAAGCGAGCGAGACTGGACCCTAAGACCAGTGGCGGCAAAAACTTCACCTTCATTTGCAACAGTCAGACGCCGTGCAACTTCGTGGTGCGCGTGTGCAAGTACAAGAGCTCGCACCTTTCGGGACATTTCTACGTGAGCTCATTCAACATCGATCACGGCCCCGAATGCACTGGAACAGAGGCGGTGACCACCCGCCAGGTGGTGAATCACATTATGAACGCGAATGCTGCAATTAGTGGCGTGCCAAAGCTGTCGGGTCCGAGTGTTCGCGCTATTGTCCAGGCTCAGGACGGCATTACTGTGCCTTCTCGCATGGCATATCGAGCCAAGCAAGAGATCACAGGCAACATTATGAAAGACGTCGTGATCGGAATTCAAAAGCTCGAGTCGTTGCTGCTGCAATTCCAGCAACTCAACCCGTCGACCAAGCTGAATATTGAGGTCGATCAGTGGTCGCACGAGTTCAAACGCGCGTTCCTGATGCTGCCACATGCGCCACTGATACAGCGCCACAGCATGCGGATCCTCGGCTTGGATGGACTGCATATGGTCCATACAAGCAACTACCAAGGCATGTTCCTGGAGTTGATTACCAAAGATGGGAACAACGATACGTGTACGCTCGCAGTTGCTCTCTGTGACAGCAAAAGCGTCGACAATTACATGTGGTTTTTCCAGGGCTGCCTCGACGGTGGGTTATCACTCGACGTGCCAATGTTCTGCGATCGATCGCCTGCTCTAGTGCGTGCAGCCGCGTCGTTTTCCGGTGCCTCGCCCATCTTGATTCAGTGCACTGCGCACCTCATCAACAACATGGAGGAAACCTTCAAGACGACTATCGAACGAGATTTAAACCAGTTCGTATGGCGCGCTCAAGCTGCCGACACGCGAGAAGAGTTTGACGCTATCATCAACTCTCTTAGCTTGACGAACGTACGTGCAGCTGAATATCTTCGTACCATGGACCCAGAAACCTGGGCGAAACACTGTTTCCTCAAGCGACATGCTCTCTATGGATGGCAAACAACGACCTTAGCTGAGTCGGTGAACCCGTCTGTCAAAGTTACTCGGATGCTGCCACCTTTTGATTTCTTTCAGGGATACATGGAGCGCAGTATGGGCGATCTTTATCAGCGTAAAATTAACGGCAAGGGCTGGTTACAAACTGGTCGTGTTCTCACCTCGTACGCGGAGAAAATCCTCGAACAGCAGCAATTGGAGGCCGCTGCGTGTTGCGTGTCTCCCAGTGATGGTGACACTGGTGCTGCATACGTTTGGGACGCTCGAAACCCCGTTGTCAAGAAACGCCGTGTGAATCTGAGTACCAAGGCGTGTTCGTGTCTGTATCGCGATCAGTACGGACTGCCGTGCAAACACCTGTACGCTGCAGTCATATTCTTTAATAAGAGCGGAGGAGCGTGGGACCTCACGCAGCTTTGCCATCCCGTTTACACGGTGGTAAGCTACACGCAGGCGTATAGCCCATTGGTGGAACCGGTGCAAATCCCGGTGGACGAAGAGCTGGTACGCAACAATGCTATTCAGATGAAGTCGACGGGCACAAAAAGGTGCTCGGTGTGCAAGACACTCGGACACAACAAGCGGAAGTGCACTGCATTGGAGGTATGATACGTCAGCAAGTGAGAATTTTGCGCAAACTTTTTTTTATTTCTTCACCATTATTTTCCTCTACTTCATTTTCTACGGCAACATTGCCATTTGATCTTTTGGTTTCACCTACAATTTCCATGCTTCAACATGAGTTGCTTTTGCGGCCAATCATAATCGAGATTGGATCACCACTTTGCCTTTTTCTTGTTGTTTGTAAGCTTGGCGGTTTACAGGTGATTGACTTTTGACCAATCAATGAACGCGGTTTTGACGGTTGGGACCTGTCTTCGATCTTTTTCGTCGAAGATAACGCTTCGACGCATATTGAGCATCAGTCAAAGATTTGGCAGTTGGTGACAGAGCGAGGGGCTCACATCGAGATCCACCCGGACCCGCGGACGGAGCCAACCACCATGATGCAAAGTCTGCAGCAGTCTAACGACAGCGAGTTCGAGCCGCCGCAACTGGAGCTTCCGACGCGTAAAGAGCGCAAGCCTGTGTGCAAATGGACGGAGAAGGAAGATCTCATGATGCTCAAGCTAGTGCAGAAGTATGGCACGCGCCACTGGACCATTATTGGCACCAAGCTGCCTGGGCGCAACGGCAAACAATGCCGCGAAAGGTATGAGATAGTAATAGTCACTACATTGCTTCTATCGTTGCACGTATTGGACACTAACTGCAGCCCCTCAGATGGCACAACCAGCTTGACCCCGCAATCCGCAAGGAGCCGTGGACTCCCGACGAAGAGCGTATCCTCAAGGAATTGCACGACAAGTTCGGCAACAAGTGGGCGGAGATCGCCAAGATGCTGCCTGGCAGGACAGACAACGCCATCAAGAACCACTGGAACTCCAGCAAGCGGCGTCTCAAGCGTGGCTTCACTCCGGCGGCCGCGTCGCAACGCAGGCGCCGCGATAGCTCCAGTTCGGAGAGTTCTCCCAGTGGGGAATTCCCAGAGCTGCAGTCGCCTGTGTCCGGCAGACTCAACGACGTCTACCCGCTCAACACTCTTCTCACAGACCAAGTGGACTTTGCCAGTCTGTACCCAAACAGCTTTCTGCAATCCCCTCTTGCCATCCAAACAGCTCAACTTGGAAGTCCACATAGGGCTCTGTGCTGGACACCAACGGATGCGACATACAACCGCCTAAACACCCTGTGGAACATCCCGGCGTTGCCCAATTGGGTCTCTCCTGGCTTGATCAACCCTCTGAACAAGGCCACAACCATCGAGCCGTGTAGAACTAAACAGGCGTCCGACCGAGCTATGAACGGAAAGCGTCTGTTAGACGACACGAATGAGGGTAACGAGAACCATTCGTCGTCCAAGCCTGAAGCGAAGAAGCTGAAGAAAGACGACCCGTCCCTGGAGATCCTGGCCAACGCGGCGCTGCTGCAGTCGATAGGTCACACGGTGTAGCTGCTGCAGCGTTTTTGGTAAGGATCGATGCGTTTCATATGTGTACGTGGCAGCCACTCTTTATTAGTACTCTTGGTTTTCGATATTTAGTAAGTAAAAACATTTTTTTTTCCGTGTTGCCGTTGCCGTTGATTGACATTAGGTTGAAGTTTGTATACGCAAATATTTATGTTTTATCCGTATGTATAGATAGATGTGTATAGTACCGCAAAAACATGCATCATGATGCTGAAAATTGTAAGCTGGTATACATACGGATAGCTGATTTGCGGGTGGTGCGCGCCCCAGAGTCGCAACCTCGTTTCGGCCTCATACTCGCCCTTCCTCCCCTCCGCACACAAGAAGTCCAAGAGAAAGATGTTCGGCCAGATCGTCAAGCAGACCGCCAACAAGATGAGCGTGGCCGGCCGCCGCGGCATCTCGGCCTCGGCCAAGCGCATGTCCGCCGAGGGCGAGCACCACCAGCACCTGGTGTTCGAAGGCGACTTCCCCAAGGGCGTCGTGCTGGGCCTGACCCTCTTCGTGACCGCTGGCGGCATTGGTGTCCCCGTGATCCTGTACCGCTACCAGAACTGGAAGCACGGATTCCCGCAGCAGTAAGCCAAGCACGGTACAAGACGGCGCATCAAGACTTTAGCATCAAAAGACGAGTTGCCGCCGCCTGAAAAAAAAAGTATTTTGTCTGCTTCTTTTCGAGTTTCTCTAGTTGTTTTCATTCAGTAGATGACTAGAGAACGAGAAGAACGGGCGTGAATAATGACAAAAAAAAACAACGAGAAAAATGGTCAGATTAACAGGTTTCTTGGTTAGTGAGGACAATCTTCATGACAATTCGCCTCTAAAACGTCCTTAGTCTTTGTAGACAGTTTACAGCTCCTGTTTCTTGCTGTTGTCGCCGTACAGGTGCTGGAAGAAGTCCATCTTCTCGACGTGGTCGGTCTTAATGGTCTCACCTCCGGGCTTCCAGTTCGCGGGGCACACCTCGTGCGGGTGCGACGCAGCATACTGGAAGGCCTTGAGGATACGCAACGTCTCATCGACACTGCGTCCGACAGCGTCATCATTGATCTGGATGGAGCGGATCGTGCCTTCCGGGTCGATGATGAACAGTCCACGAAGAGCAGCCCCAAACATCTCGTCCTCTTCGTCCGTAACCAGCACGCCGTAGTCCTCAGAGATGCGCTTGCTGATATCGGCAATGAGCGGGATGTTCATCTTGCCCAGGCCGCCTTCACTACGCGGAGTCTTGACCCAGGCCAAGTGCGTGTGGTGCGAGTCGGTGGAGATAGCTACAACCTCGGCATTGATACTGCGGAAATGGTCGACGCTGTCACTGAAGCTCACGATCTCGGTAGGACACACGAACGTGAAGTCAAAAGGGTAGAAGAACAAGATGAGCCACTTGCCCTTGTAGTCGCTGAGCGACACCTTCTCGAACTTCTCGTTGACCACGGCGTTTACGTTGCTAAAGTCCGGCGCTGGCTTGCGAGGCGTCACCTTGAAGGCCGAGGCCGAGTAGCGGTTCTTCTTCTGATAGCCTAGCTGCTCTAGAAGTGCCTCCGAAACATGGGGGAACTGCACCTCCACGCTGCAGCGAGTTCATTAGCTTGTAAGTTATCGAATGTCCTTTTAATCAGAGTTTTATTCACCTTTTCTTGATGGTTGCGGGGGATTCCGCACTGATGACGGAGGTGGAGAGCTGCAGCAAAACTGCAACGAGCAGCAGGGTTAACTGGAAGGCACGCAGACGCAGCATGGGGACCTGAACACAGCTCCGGAGGCTTGAGAAGTGTGCGTAGAGGCTGTGGTGGCGACGCGTTTGTCAGTTCAAGAATGCAGGATCGTTCGGTAATGATGTTTGTAGATTACGTATTCTGCCACCGACTATGGCGTCTGTTGAAAACCTTGTGGTACTAGCTGATTAAGTGCTTTTGGTTGGCCCAGCTCTGCCACGATTTTTGTACACAGTTCACTGACACTTCGGTTAGCTTACTCAATATATGGTAGTAGATACCAGGCTGCTAGTACCGTCGGGAGACACTGCACAGTAATCAAATACTACAATTTTCCCAAAACCGACGTTGAGCATCACGTTTGACGAGTGCCATTCCTGAAGTTCCTGATTGTAGGGAACAGCACCGCTTGTATCAACAGAAAATGGCTACGTTTCGCGTGTTGTGTCTGCACGGTTTCGGTCAGGACGCCACCAAGTTTCGCAACCGCATCTCGTCGCTCCGACGTGCGCTCAAGTCTAGCTTCGATTTTGGTGCGTAGCGCACTACATTTGCATTGGGTTTGCTACCTTATTCAGAATATTGACCTTGATCTGCGTGGTCGATAGTGTTTCCGGAAGCTCCATTCCTGGTGACTAGCTTTCCGAACTCGACACCTGAGGAGCAGGCTAAAATGTGAGTGGAACTGTGTTGAAGCAATTGGAAGCATGTTACTGATGGATACATCGTTTTTGGTCAACACAGTGCTGAAGTGGAGCCGACGTATAAGTGGTGGGACTTTGAGATCGATGAGGAGACAGGCAAGCACACGTATGGACGCGTCGATGAGGCCGTGGGTTACCTCGCAGAGTTTGTGCGTAAGGAGGGCCCTTTCGACGGCATCTTCGGCTTCAGCCAGGGAGGCATGATGGTCAATCTTCTCTTGCAACGACAATGTACGCTACTAATTTAATTTCCGTTGTGAGTTGGTGTGGACGATTGAGCTTCACTGATAATATGGTCTTTTAGGTGCGGACCCAAACAACTCGCCGTTCTCGTTCAAGTTCGCTTTGTTCTTCGCTTCGTGCGATCTTGGGGATCCAGTGTACAAGACTGAGCAGAAGGTAGATGTGCCGTCAATCCATTTCATGGGCGAGACGGACGCAATCGTTTCATTGGAAAGAAGCCGAAAGCTGCTCGAGCTGTACAACAACCCAAAGGTTTTCGTGCATCCTGGAGGTCACTTCATCCCGACCAACAAAGAGGCGAAGGATGCACTGCGAGAGTTTGCTCAGGAACTGACCGTACGTAATAGCTCTAAGTAGTAATCTAGACAATGTCTAAATAGAAGAAAATGCCTGTGAATACTCGATAAATACCACCCAAGCTGGGCGGGTACTTGTATGCGTTCTCTTGTCAATTGCTCTACTAAAGGGATGTATGAATCTTCCCGTACTAGAACATCCATCGCTGCGACACCGTTGAATACGTCATTTCGACTTTACCAAAGCAGACGTCAGTCCATTGTAGCCATGAACAAGTATCGCGTCCTGTGTCTTCATGGCTACCGTCAAGACGCTCTGAAGCTGCGTGGCCGCATTGCTGCGTTGCGTCGCACGTTCAAGTCCAGCGTAGAGTTCGGTTAGTGGAGACTTTTACGTTGATTTGATGCATTCGTCCTCACCGTGTTTATTCTATCCTTTTGAATGCTGCAGTGTGTCTGGACGCTCCGTTTGAAGTGCCATATGAGCCCACCTCGGAAGAACACGCTAACAAGTACGGTGCTAATCTGGCCATTAATCGTTCAAGGAGACTGATTTGTTGTTTTGTTGCTGCTATAGTGGAGAGACTGGCGAGAACGTAAAGCAGTTGAAGTGGTGCGACTTCACTCGCGACGAAGAGACTGGTCAATATCTGCTCTCGAGGGTGGAAGAATCGATCGAATACGTTGCAAACTTTGTCAAGAAGGAGGGACCGTTTGACGGCATTTTCGGATTCAGTCAAGGAGGTTCCATGGCGTCGATGATCCTGCAGAGACAAGGTACGATATGAAACAGTGAATTGCTGAGCTTGTTTTATTGACATCTATGTGCTGTGTGATCAGTGAGCACTTCAGAATCGCCCTTCGCATTCCGCTTCGCCATCTTCGTGTCTGCTGGTGCTGTGGGCGATCCGAAGTACATGAGGGATGTGAAGGTGGACATGCCGTCATTGCACATCATCGGCGAGACGGACGCTGTAGTGGACAACGAGAGGAGTCTCGCACTCAAGGATATCTTCGTGAAGCCTACTGTTTTTATGCACCCTGGTGGCCACTACATCCCCACGAACAAAGAGCCCAAGGACGCATTCCGAGCTTTCTTCAAAGAGCTCCAAGAAGCACAGTAAGCCTCCAGCTTAGAGAATGTAGCCAAACACTGATAATGTAGCCATTTTCAGGTTTGATGTGGTCCACTGTTGCTAATCATGGATTGCGATCTTCCATCAAAGGTCACTCGAGTGAATCCATGCTAGCATTGCGAGTGCTCCTCGCTGTATTCCTCTCTATCTGGAGCTTCCACCGGCCCGCCGAAGCTGGTACAGTACTGGTCGTGACTCCAGAGAATGAGGCGTCTCTCACGCTCGCCGCTGAGCTCTACCGGGCCTCGCAAGAGACTGACCAGACTCATAACAAAGAGAGACTACTTCGAGAAAGTATCAACGCGTATCCAGACATCGCAGCGGCTTACAACAATTTAGCCATGTTGATCTTTGAGCGTCAAGAAAGAGGCGAAGCTCTACGGCTGCTGGAACGCGGTCTACAAGCTGCTGAAGCCACTCATGACTGGGAAAATGTAGCCAATATCCACAACAACTTCGGGTTTATCATTCGAGAACGCGGCAAATGGAGCGTTGCGCATTCGTTAGAAGCTCTCGGTCACTTTGACAAGGCATTGGAGGTCAATCCTGAGTTCGTGGGGGCTTTGTATAATAAAGCGTCGGTATTGTTGGCGCTGCGTAGAGATATGGAGTCTAAGGAGATGTTACTGAAGGTGTTGGAGCTTGAACCAGATGATCGACAAGCTCACTTAGATCTGGGCAGGATTTACTTTGAGCATGGAGATCTGGAGAAGGCGTTGGAGCATGAAGACTGCGTGATTAAGTTGGCTACGACCACCAAGGAGAAGCTGCAAGGAATGCACAACAAAGGGGTGTTTTTAAAGGAGTACAACTTGCTCTCTCGCGCTCTTGAAGTGTACAATGAGATGCTGACAATCGATTCGGTTGAGTCGTATGTATTGATCGATATGATGAATGCTAAAAGATCATATTGTGACTGGAAAGGCATGGAGAAGCTGGAAAATCAAGTTATACTTGCTGCTCAACGACAATTTGAGCTGGAAAGCCCACAAGAATCGCCCATGTTCTTGCCTTTCGATTCAACTTTACTCAAAGTTCCCGATATTTTCCGGAAAAGGCTAGCAATTCGAGCCTCGAAAGTCTACGAACAGCCAAGTACGCTTGAACTGCTACCGTTATCTTGGAGTGATAATGAGCCAACATGGGATCGTCCTGTGACCCCCAAGCGCTTAAAAATCGGGTATTTGAGCTTCGATTACCGGGATCACCCCATGGGGCACCTAACTCTGGGATTAATTGAACAGCATGCGGCGCTGGCTCGGGGTGTGGACACAATATGCTACTCATACGGCCCAAATTCTGTGGCTTCAGCACCTTGGCGTCGACAGTTTGAAGAAAAATGCGGCATTTTTCGAGATTTATTAGGCATGTCTGATCTCGAGGTGGCACAGACTATTGGACTTGATGGAATTGATGTATTAGTGGATCTTATGGCGCATACTAAAGGAGCAAGACTGGGTATCCCGTCATTAAGACCGAGTCGAATCGTTGTCAATTACCTCGGATATCCGGGGACAATGGGCTCAAGTTTCACAGATTTTGTCATGGTGGATAAAATGGTCCTCCCACCGGAAGTAGCAGCATCAAGTATGACGGAACAGGTTGTGTATCTCCCATACACGTACCAAGCGAATCGTTATGAGCCTTGGATTCCTTCATGTGGTGATATTGAATGTCAACGAACCAACCGATCACAACATGGCTTACCTACTGATGCCTTGGTATTCTGCAATTTCAACACTATTAACAAGATGGAGAGCGAGTCTTTCGCAGTTTGGATGAGTATTCTAAGGCAAGTTCCTAATAGTGTGCTCTGGGTACTCGCTCCATCCGGTCTAGACGCTCCTCGTGTGATGGAACAGCTACATGACCAAGCAATGGCACATGGTGTTCTCCCGTCTAGATTGATTTTCGCTCCAAGAATGGATAAATATTCCCATCTTGCGCGGATTTCAGTAGCTGATGTTTTCTTGGATTCGTTTATCTATAACGCACACTCGACTGCGGCCGATGCGCTTTGGGCGAATGTTCCGATTGTTACGCTATGGGGAGATACGTTTCCATCTCGTGTTGCAGCGTCGTTGATACTGAACGCTATTCCGTACTTGGAACTGGTACCACACAGCGTAAAAGACTACGAACGCATGGCTGTTTACCTGGCTGAAACACCGAAGGTTTTACGTCGTATTCGCAACGCGTTGGCGTCTCACACACTGACGTCACCGTTGTTTAATACCAGGCAAACCACGGAAACCATTGAAACTGCGTACGAAGTGATGCACGACGTTGGGAATCGCTTACACCCACTTACGAAAGAAGCGAGAAAGCCACGATTTCAACTAATTATTCAACCTGAGCGCTCGTTTGATGCATTTGGCAACCTAGAAATGGTCAACTCTCCTGTGAAAGATGTCATTCAGCAAGGAATTTCTCTTCAAGAAAATGGAAACTACATTGGCGCTCAAAATGTGTATTCGCGTGTATTACGTGCGAGTCCAGGGAATGCAGACGCTATCCATTTATTGGGTACAATTCACTTCCAGAATGGAGAATTTAACAGCGCCATTGAGTACATTTCACAAGCTGTGGCTGTAAATCCACAGGTGACGTGGTATCACTCCAATCTGGCACTTTGCTACATGGCACTCGAACAGCTTGAGACTGCAGAAGAAGAGTTTCATACTGCTTTGCACCTTGAAGCGTCCAACCGCATGGCTGTATCGAAGCTGAGTGAAATTTACACTAGTCAGAAATCGCTCAACAAAGTTGTTGATCTCTACGCAACATACGGCGAAGCTGCGTATTTCTCCTTGAGACAACCAACAAGTTCCAGTCAAGATGAGATTGAGCAAGCTTACACAGTCTACTCCAACGCATTGGACAAGACCGGACAAGCTCTGAAGGCTATTGAAGTGTTCGAAGAAGCAGTAAAAAAACACCCCACCATCTTTAAACTCCGCTACAACCTCGGGGTGTTGTATAACGAGCACGGAAAATATGATCAAGGAAACCAGCAGCAGTTTGACGCTGTGGGTGCTCAAGCTCGCTATCTCTTCGAGATTCAAGGGCGGCATTTTCAGAAAATCCCTCGTCCAGGTCACAAAGTCGTCATCGCTTTTTATTGCCACGAATATGGTCAGTCATGGTGGGAGAAATGGGGGCCTTCATCACTGAATACAGGTCTGGGTGGATCAGAAGAAGCAGTCGTGTTCCTGTCTCGTGAACTCCAAAAACTCGGCTACTGGGTGGAAGTTTATGGCGATCCGTCTCCACAAGATATCTCGACTTTAGATCAAGCAGACGAAGACATTGTTCGCTGGTATCCGCACTATACGTACGATATTGACGACAAAGGAATCGACATTTTCGTTGCTTGGAGGTACCATATTTCGATGGCTATGGGCCGATCTGCTCGTAAAAAGTTCTTGTGGATGCACGATCTCCCTCAGGAAGACGCGAGGTGGTCGTCCGAGCTGTTGAATAATGCTGACGGGATCTTCTGTGTTAGTGAATTCCACGCTTCTGCTTTTCCTGAAATTCTGCAATCAAAAATTACAGTGAGTACCAATGCAGTCGATCGATCATTCTTCGTCAACGGACCCAACCACGCAGATCGATTCGTCTACGGGAGCTCACCAAGTCGTGGATTGTACACACTATTGAAGACATGGCCTCGTATCCGAGAGAAGATTCCTACTGCTGAACTGTCGGTATTTTACGGCTTCACACCCGCGTTCATGAAGTGGGGAAATTCTCATGTGACCAACTTTACGGACTGGATGAGCGAGATGCATAGATTACTTACCGAGACACCCGGTGTGCGCTTCGTGGGTCTCGTTAACCACGCGCAATTGGCGAAAGAATACTCGTATGCGGGATTTTATCTGTACCCGACAACATTTTCCGAAACGAGCTGTATTTCTCTAATGAAAGCCATGGCGAATGGTGCTATCCCAATTACCAGTCGATTCCCAGTCTCTGCGTTACCTGAGACTGTCAACGACTATGACCTTGGACCGCGAGCTCTACAACAACGCACTGTTGGTACGTTAAGAATTTGTAAATGCTCTTTTTTTATTCTGACTTTGCTGTGACGTTAGATGACGATCCGGAATGGCTGGAGCTCTGGATACAAAGCATCGTGGATGCTGTGTACAATGAACAGCAAGTAACCACTATACGCCATCGTATGAAGCGGTTTGCTCGGAAGAAATACCGCTGGGAAAATATTGCACTGGAGTGGCATCGAATCATCTCCAAACCAAAATTTCCATAAGTAAAAAAATCTTGCGATTTCTTTCGTGTGTGTATATTCGCTTTTACCCCTCCATTTCTTACAGGTTCAGCTTCGTGCGGCATTTCTTACAGTACCAGTCGTCAGCAGGAACTGCATCAAGCTTAGCACATTTCTAATAGCAAAAAAAAAACAAATTAGCATTAATCACATGATAAATAATCCATAAAGCCCGTACCAGGTGGAAAACGCGGTCACAGCCCTTAGTGCCGTCCTCGGAGCCGCAGATCACATGCGAATCCAGTCGAATTTTGTTCTTCTTACACGCTCCGCACGTCTGCAGGTTGCACTCATTGCAAAACCACTCCGTCTCTGGGATTTTCTCCAGTCCAATGCAACTAACATGGAATGCACGAGGACACCCATCGCAGCAGAGCAGCTCCCCACCCAGGCCACATACACTGCAGTCGACATCCCATTGGTCTTCCGGATTCTTCGGCCCTGTGTGGGTTTCCACGTGTGCAGGTCGCACTGGCGAAGTTTTGCTTGATGCCGGACGAGCCGAAGACGTAGCAGACACTGCAGAATCCGAGTCAGCATCGCTCTCAGACTCTGAATCATCTGACTTTGCCTTGTCCAGCTTCGTCTGCTTGCGACGTCGACCTCGTGTTGGCGACTGCGAGCGTCTCGGTCGCTTGGCTGCTTTGCCGTTCTTCTTGGTAGGGAACACCGGGTTGACGGATGTATCGCATTCGTGGCAGAAGATCTTGCCACGAGGGACACGACGCAGTCCAATGCACGAGTAGTGGAAGACGTGAGGACACCCGTCGCAGCACACGAGCTCTCCTCCTTCGCTGCAGATGTAGCAGTCCTCTTCCCATTCGTCCACTGACTCGCGCATACGGCTGTCTTCCTCGTCGGCTTCTTCCACTTGTTTCTTCTTGACTGCACGCTCCTTACGTGATCGCTTCTCCTTCTCACTCTTAGCGCGCGTCTTCATCGCATCTTCATCCGACACATTCAAAAAGCCCAGAACTTCGAGACGATGCACCAGTGAGGCCAACGCAGTGGCCATAACAGCAACAGTCTTGCCACGCTTTACACTCTGAATCCAACGCTCACGGCAATATTTAGACGGCCACAGCATCGTGCCGTCATCCACCAGAGCGTCCATCACTTCCTCTTCTTCGTCGTCGTCCTCTTCGTCACTCTTATCATCGTTCTGTTCAGGTTCTTCACTGGAGTTATTCGCACTCTTGTTGGCATCCAATTCCGTGGTATTTGATGATGCAGCACTGCCTGGTTTCAGCTTCGTTTGAGCAGCCATCAACTCGCTCTCTAGCGCCAACAAAGAACCAGAAAAGTCCTCGATCTTGTCGATTTCCTGCACGGATTTTCTCCACTCCATTCCGCCATTTTCAGGACGATCAGGCCACGTAGAGCCCAGCGTACGAAGGCATCTCGAGATCCAGTCCTGACCCTTAAGTAGATCTTCACGGAAAGACTCGACACTTGGTTCTGCATGCTGAACAGCTTTACGTTTCGAGTGCTTGTCGTTCTTCCATTGTAAGAACGCCGTTTCTTCGTCAGTCGAGCTGCCAGACGCACGTGGCACTCGCTTCTTGGCACTCTCCTCATTCAAGAGATCGGAAATCAACAGTCCAGGCTTCGAAACGGGCATCTCACTCGACAGTTCTTCCATATGGTCATTCAAGGCAGAGCGGAGTTGAGCCTCGCGAGGAACACGAGCATCTAGCGCTTCCAATAGCGAGTTTACCTCCGTCTGGGACGAATAGCAGTACCACGTTGCATTCATGTCGTCTTCAGGGATCAAACCACCTCTCGGAGATCCGCTCTTGCACAGAGACTCGTACTTCCGTCTTAACGTGTCTGATGGGCCTGGCCTTTCAACATAGAGTCGCTGTAAATCTCCTCGAAGAATCCAGTACCTTAGCTGGTCTCTGTCTCGTCCGATAGGCTCTGATCGCACGAAAGACTGGAGCAGTAGAGCACTGAACTTGCGCTTTTTCTGCAATGCTTCTTCCTCTCTAATAGCCTCAGCATCCAGAATCTCCAGAACGTGCGTGGCAGACACGATAATGCGGTCTGGAAGGCCACATTCCTTGCCCTTTTCGATGGCACTTCGCAGTAACGCTGCGTCTTTCGACGTTAATCCATCAGTAATTCCCTTTTTCGCTTGAGTGCGCTTCCGTTCGATCTGTTCCTGTCTTTGAAGCTTGCGTTGCTTCACTTCCACCTTCTGACGAAGACGTTCACGTTGCTTGTCGAGTTTCTTTTTCCGCGCAATGTACTCGTGTCGAGAGATAAATTCCTGTGTCTGTAGATTCTCCAGCTCTTCTTCATTTTTTGCCAGAGCTTCTTCACTGTAGGCGAGATCGTCCAAGTCCGAGTCGCTAGCGGAGCCCATATCGCCATCGAAATCGCACTTGGTCTCCTCCACGCCGTCACTTTTCCCCAGCCACGTCTTCATCGACGTCTTGTTGGACTCGACAATGCTAGCCAACTCAGCACGCTGCTTCTCTCGAAGTTTCTTCTCGTCTTCTAGTGTAAGTTTCTTGTCCTGCAGTACTGCGCGGTTGTATTCCTTCGTCCCCTGGATCATTTCGTTGAGATGTTTGCCCAGCAGATTACGGACCTTTTCCGTACCCACAAGGCGACCAACAAGGAATTGCAGCAACGCCAGTTTGTGCTGCACTTGTAACGCAGGGTAATCGGTGTCCTGTAAGGCTTTGAATGCAGCCAGGAAAGTCGCCGTTGCGTGTGCTGTGTAGCGAGGCACAGCAGAGATTAAACTGCACAAAATGGATGGCCACGTTAACGGCGTCAGCATCGAGCGAGTGGGTACGCCTACTGTCAAAGGAGCGTGCTGGATCTCGTATCGATAGCGCTCGCTGTCGTCGATAGATGTTTCGTCGTCGGATACGTAGTCGTCGTCCTCTCTGCAACGGAAAACGTGTAAGAAAATGAGGATTACCACCAGAATATCAAAGCATCGCACCTGTCCTCGAGGATTTTCTCCAAAAGACACATGTGGATCTCCGTCAGCATAGGTGAGTGCTTTGAGTGGATCAGAGCGCGACTGAACTGGTCCACTGTAATATCCGCGAGCTCCAGGATATCGCGGAACGCGTAGATGCAGTCCCACACTGCCAGCAACTTGCCAACGCATTTCGTCGGGATATCCGCAAAGTCACACGGCATCGGGCTGTATAAAGCATCAACGTTAGAATAACATTCAACACCAGTATGTCCACGTACGTACGTTGGTTTGTCTGGACGCGACGTATCCTCAATCACCTCGCGCGGGATTTCGTCGATTCCGCGTTTCTTCTTGTTATTGAGAGATTCCTCCTTTCTTCGAAGAGCTGCGTCCTCTTTTTCCAACTTCTCGAGCTTCTCCTTGGCGGCCCGCACAGTCTTGCCGAGATCTTCCGCTAGTCTGCCGAGTTTTTCCTCCTCCTTATCTTTGTACTTGATTTTTTTGCGACTAAGGATACGGTCCTGCATCTCCAAGACTCGCTTGGCCTTGTGCTCAATCGCCTCCACCGACTTTTTCGCCAGCATTTCCTCCCTCATCTGCTCCGCCTGACGCCTGCGTGCATCACGCTCCAATTTCTCTGTTTCACGCATCACACGCGCTTTCTCCTTCGATTCCTTCTTCAAACGACGTCGGTCCAAACATTCTCTGCAAAAAAATAAAAAAAAACACGTCGGTCCAAACATTCTCTGCAAAAAAATAAAAAAAAACAAGTAAGTAATACATCCACCACTAAAACTTTTTTCACAATGATAAATATTTAGCCACGTACGAGCACATTTTACAATACCACTCACTGTCTGGAATCATATCTTCACTCATTCCCAAACTGAAAAAATAAAAAAAAATTAGCACCAATTATTAAAATAATAAAATAAATAACTTACCAGCTCATGTGGAACGCTCTGGGACAGCGATCACAGCACAGCAACTCTCCTCCGTCCTTGCAAATGTTGCAGTACCATCGATTATGGTCCGACCAGCCGTCATCTCCCGTGTCGTTGCCATCTTCATCGGCCGAGTGCACGGGTGTGTCAATGGCTGTAGTGGCGACGCTCTCTGCGTCTTCTTCGCTGTTATTGCAGAGCTCCACGACGCTCAGCATGTGGGCGGGACGTGCGTGGAGTCCGTCCATGTCGCTATTTGTGGCATAGATCTGGTCGTTCATATCCTTAAATGTGGCATGTCGAGGCAGATTGAACTTATTCTCCGTCTTTTTGCGAGGAGGCTTCTTGGCCCGGGCCTTGGGTTTGCCAGTGTCTCGACTGGAATAGACCGAGGACTGGATAAACCGGGCCTTGCCGGTGTATTTGGGCTTGCTCATATAGGGAGGAGGAGATCCCGGCGGTGGAGGTGGTGGTGGAGGAGGAGGCATCATCACGAAGCCAGACGAGTCCAAGTCGCTGTCTTCGTCACTCATTTTCGTCTGGAAATTGGGTAATTATCACTGCACGGTTAGTGAAACTAGGTTGTTTGGTGTTAAACGGCAAAGTTTGCCACGTACGTAGAGGAAAGAGTATGGAGGGTTACAAGCACCGAAAGGAGCGAAACGCGACGTCAGACGACCAACTGGTCACGTATATACGCGTCAAGAAGGGAGAAGAGCGTGGGAAAGCGCTCTAGTCTCCTGTCGCCGCGCCACGAGGACGAACGTGGCGAGTCGCTTGCTCGATTGGAATTGAGCCTCGAGTCTTGCCAAAAACGGAGGAAGGCAAAAAACTGGATGTTTTATGCGTTACGCATTAATTTGTAGAGTCGATGATATGTTGGGTTTTGTAAGCAATGAGGAAAAGTTGCGAATGAAATATGAGAATCATAGTTTTGGCCCGATAGCAAAGCGCTCGCCACGTCCACACCCCCACCCGCTAGCCAGCCAATCTTTTCTTCTCCCCCTCGAGTGGTTACGTAGGTTCCTCCTTGCTTCCACATCCAGTTGCAATCAGATTTTTTTTTTCAATGCCACATCCAACGGGATCGTAACACGTTGATAATATGCAATGAACACTTTCTAGCGAACCCGAAAGCGAAACAATGAAAAACTTCAACTAAGTTACCGGCCATGAAGCCGTCACACAGTCATAGTTGTCAACGGCGCAAGTGTATGTAAGTGTCGTCGACGCCTAGGAAACGACAATTTAGCCACTTGAAGTTGTAAGCCGTTAACGCACCTCAGCAAGCAACCTCCGTTGATGACCATCACCCCAGTGGCATGATCTACATGTGCATTGTCGATACATGTTGGTTGTAGCGGTTCAGTACATGTGAGGCATCGGTCCTCTTAGAGGCTTAACGTGTCGTTCATTTGATACGCTTACAACAGCACGAGTACGATTGTAGTGTCACTTTTGGGGTTATGATACTATTAACGCGCGTTGCTGGGTCCTGAGAGGATTCAATGAAACAATGAAAACAGGTTTTCACACCTAGAAGTAAACTATGGTATTGCCGACTACATTTAAAAGAAAGTTGCCTGTTTACCACGCTTAGATAAGTATCGTGATAACTTCCTTGTCAGCTGCATGCATAGATTTGTGACGGCAATCGATATCTGTAGTGCCCTGTAGGTCGTCTTGAGGATCTATGAGCAAGGAGATCTAAGCAAGTCAAATGGCTGCCATTTAGTACGCAGTTGACTGAATTCGCGTAACATGCATTTAGCGAGACAAAATGCAAAGAACCTTTGATCAGATAACACTCTAGCCTGCGCCAAACTGCACCGCAATCGATCGGATAGGCACCGCGAGCTCTAAGTTGTTCTTGCAATGCTACAAAAGTGTGATTAATCATTCCCGAAAACAAAAGGTGAGTTATCCAGGATCTTGCGGGGTTATTCTACTTCGGAGAGGAAAATTTCCAGCATAAGCGACGACATTTAGTTCATGAAGTATTTGTCAGTGCTGCGGCTAGTTGTTTGAACGAGAATATGCCGTGCTCGCAGCATTGTAAACCTCTCACAGACAGAAAGCAGCCTGTTTGATATTATCAGATTAAAGTCGCAAAAGATGCAATAATACCGAGGGTTTTAAGCTCAGTGTCGCTTGCTTCCGGCCGATACCAAAGAAGCGCAGTAAGTCAGGATAGATGAACGGTGGAGAGCGCAACACAGCACAGGGGGCGGCATTGCGGGCCCTGGTGATGCCACGACCTGAAACCTCCACACCAGCATATTTTATGTAGTTTCGATATTCCAAAACTAAGCGCCATAAATAGTGCACTTGGAAAAAATGAAGCCACAAATAAGAGTGATGACCGTAAACTCCATGACGGCACAGTCGACACCGCAGTTTGTGCACGTGAAGCTTTAGCGTCCTTGTTGTTAGTTAAACCGGATCTGCATCTAAGCAGTTTGATTGCTGAAAACCTATGAACGTCTGCATGAACCAGCCTACTCTCGGCTCAATTCCGGGTCGTCGCTGAGATTTTCAATATCGTCGTCTACCACTCTCTCCTCCGATTTTTCTTCCTCGCGTTGCTCTTCTTGATGCCCTTCTTCGCGCTGTAGTAGCGATATATCGTCCTCGTCCAACGGAGTTGATACCGCATGCAAGACCTCATCGATATCATCAGCTTGACCGTAGCTTGATCTAACCGAGAGAAGCTCATGCCGCAGTACCGTTTCTTCTAGCACCGGTGCAACAGCTTTCTCCTCGTACTCAAGCTCGCTCTCATGGGCCTCTGTTACAGCCAAAGCTCTCTCAAGTGAACCCTCAGCTATCGTAGGCATCATTTTCGTCTGTGTTTCAGCCAGTGTCTTGTGTTCGTCTCGATCGTCAAATTCTTCTTCCCTTTCCTCCGGGATGGTCGCTGCTGCTTTCTCCTCTTCGTGCTTCTCTTGAGCTAATCTAGAGAAACCGAGGAATAGTCGTTGCCTCATGGCTTCAGTTTTGGCCTCCAACACCAGCATTTTACCGTCGCTGCAGCGGATGGATACACAAAGTGCTTCACGCTCGGGTGTCGATCTAGCCACGACTTTATCGCTACCGTGGACTCCTCTCTCAACACTTTCGATGAGCTCTGTTCGCAGACTGCTTTTCCGTGTTTGCCGCTTAATCGCACCGATCGAGTTCCAAAAAACAACCTGCATGTCGGCTGTGATGTACAATTTGCGAGAAACCACACGGCCACTTTTCTGACAGAGTTTCTTTAGGGCTAGACCATCAAGTAGCTCGCGGACAAACTCGAGATATTCGTAAACTTGCATCTCATCGTCCTCCAAGTTTTCATAGGACACATCTTCACGTGCCAACGCCACACGTCTCTCGGTTCGAACAGCCATGGATTGACGACGCGACGCTGCACGTACAAAATCCTCCTTTGTCTCCACCATACTAGCACCTGAAGTTGCGCGCGAACGACGACCAATTGACTCGGCTTTGACAGAGCTTGCATCGCTACCGAGTCTGGTGCTGCGTTGCTGCATCCTTCCAGCAGAAGGCGGAGACGGTGGTGTCGATACAAAGATACTCGAGCGGCTCGCAGGACGCGTAGACGTACGTAAATCACCGGTCGAAGCTGGAGTTTTAAACTCAACGACTGCAGTCACAGCTCCGCTCAGATTCTCCTGTGGAGGAGGTGATTTCGTCTCGAAGTCATCCGTAGTCTCAGCGACCGGTATTTTAATACTTTCGTACGTCTTGGCGGTTGCGACCGACGCTGCCAACTGCTGGGTCATATCTGCGTGGAAGCGATAGCGCACATCGGCGTCACGGCTTGGAGCAGACGCGAAAAATCTACGTATGGTCTGCACCATCCAGGTCGATGCTCGCCACAGCAAGCTCTCAGTCTCAACTGGTTCATCTTCTTGTTTCTTCTCAACGCGCTTCACCTTCTTCTTCTTCTTCTTCTTCTTCTTTGTAGATCCAAACCAGAGCACAAACGGCGCCTCCAACTTCTCATTCGTCGCGAAGCGCACCGGGATCACCGACAAGAGCAATAACCCACCCACCACAAACACCACATACATTCCTAGCAGCAACATCCACGTCGACGACACATCAAAGTGCGTCCCGTATGCATTGCGGTACGTATGCACCACCGGCGGCCTCTCTCCAGGCAGCAAATTCGCACTCGCAACCTTCATTCCTGCATACATCCACACCATCTTCATCTTTGTCTTTTTGATAATAAAAAGTATCCGCACACAACCTTTCAAGATAAAAAATGATGTATATCACACTACTTCGTACTTAACACCATTCCCCCCATATCCGCCAGTCCAACAATAGCCATGTATGGCCCGAGTCGTAAGCGCTCGTTCGATGACAACGACCGCGACGGTGGTGGCTACAAGCGCTCGCGCGTGGACGATCGCTACGGAGGATCTCGACGTTATGACCGTCGTGACCGTGACCGCTTCAACGAGAGTGATCGAGCACGAGCTTGGCGTCTGGCCAAGAAGGCTGTCGTGGAGCTCGGAGACGGTGTAGAGCGCGACCAGCTCTCACGCACCAGCGACCTTCTACTGCGTGAACTGGAGCCAGATGCTCAGGACGTAAAGCTCGGTCACTTGGCTACACTCGTGCTGCGTGGCGCGTCGCGTCTGGCCCACAAGACGGCGCTGTACGCGACGCTCGTGGGGCTCGTAAATGCTAGAAAACCGGCGTTTGGACGCGAAATCGTAGCCGGGGCCACGCGTTCGCTGCAGAGAGATGTGGATTTCTTTAGTACCGAAAAGGTTGAGGACGCAGACACGCCTGATACCGACGTACTGCGTCGGGATGGTGATGTGAATGCAGTGGCTACGAGAGTGAGACTTACAGTGAGACTATTGGCTGAACTGGTGGCAGCTAAAGTGTGCAAGGCTGAGGACGTGCTGGCTATGCTGGACTCTCTACAGGGACTCTGTACGCCTGACGACTGGGACGCAGATGATGAGACTCACGCCTCGTTGAGAGAGAGGGAGGACGCTGCAGCGTGGAAGGATTTCTTCGCGTCTGTGGTGCTGGATACACTGCTGCACAGTGGCAAGGCGCTGGCTGCTGCCTCGGAAAATTTATTTGACAGTTTATTGAGTCGATGCAGAGAGTACGTCTCGCATCGTGAAGAGGAGAACAATCCGCGTGGATCCAGTGCCGGTCCGTCGTCGTGGAGGACGAGACGCTTGCAGCTCGATCTGCTCTGGGGACCGGAGAGTGATGATGAGTTACCAGCATTATGTGCGTCAAGCGACGCGCTGTCGCTGGCCTGGGACGCGTTGAATGCCATTCGGAACGGAGAAGGAGACGACAAGTGGAAGTTGCCAGGTATTAACCATCCACAGGGCGTCTTCGCTTCAGAGTTTGAGAGCTCGGAGACTCATACACTGGCTGCGTCACTGTCCATCGACCTGACAAAGGTATGCATGTAACACAGTGCTGTGTTGGCGAGTTTTACGTTTCACTAACAGTCTTGTTATCCTCCACAGCTGGACGCTACCAAGATCCCGACGTATACAACGTGGTTCCGTATACTGTCGGATGAATCTGGTGCTGCTGGTGCGGCGATTGCGACGTTGCCGTTGGCCTCGTACCTCATCACTCGCAGCCATTTCATTGATGCACTGGAGACGTCGCACCCGAAGCCTGCTATTGCTGCCAAGCTGCTGCTGGGTCTGTGTCGTGCATATAACGATCGGTTCGCTTCGACTCAAGCAGAAGGAGCGACTCCCGTCAAGAGCGAGTATTTGCTGGTGGAGACGCTGTTGGTTGCTGCTCTGGGCGAGAGTGCCAATGCCAAGTTGGCTTACTACTGCTCGGTGCTGTATCATCTCGTGAAGACCGACGCTCGTGTTGTGTCGCCTGCACTGGCCGTTGTAGTGGAGCTGCTGTTCCGGGAAGTGCCGACAATGCGAGCAGCTGCTGTGGATTCGTTCGTGCTGCTCTTGAGCCATTTCCTGTCCAACTTCGAGTTTAAATGGCGTTGGGCGGCCTGGGCGTATGTACTGGAAGCCAGTGAGGACGACCCGCAGCGTCTGTTTGTCAGCGCTGTTATCGAACGCTGCGTGCGCCTCTCGTATTTGCAGCACATGCAGAGTGTACTGCCTGCTGAGTTCCACGTGCTGCTGCCTCCTGCTCCCAAGCCTCGTATCCGCTTCCAGGTTGTCAAAGAAGAAGACACAGCTAGCGCTCCTGACTCAGCCAGTCCAGCGTCAGACTTCTATCAATCCGTGACGACGAAGCTGAAGGGCCATCCGCCTGCATCTGCGTTGCGCTCGTGGCTGAACGAAGAACTGCCTCGTCTCGAGATCTCGCGTGCTGAAGCTGTGGAAGTTGTGTGGACGTGTATCTTGGAGGCTGGCGTGGCCACGTTCACGCACATGCGTCTACTATTGGAGAAGTATGGCAAGCGCAACGAGCTGTTCGGTGGTGAAGACCAGTCGGCCGAGGAGACGGAAGCTGACGAACTTGTGGTGGTCAAGACTGTGGCTTCGGTCTGGCTCAAGTCGCCGCAACACATCGGTCTCATTCTCAACTCGATGCTGCGTCAAGGTCTACTCCGCCCGTTGACTATTGTGACGTGGGTGTTCACCGCCGATGCTGTGCAGCAGTACAGTTGGCCGTATGTGTGGGAGATCCTGAACGACACGCTCAAGTTCGTACAGGACGCTATTGGAGCCAAGACGAAGCAGTTGGAGCAGGCTTCCACGCCCAGATCATCGGACGACCGCGACAACGAGGAGATGCCGGACGTTGCAGCACTTGAGGATAGCCGTAAGCGTCTGCAGGACGAACTGCGACAACTGCTCGTGCTGTTGTTCCGTGGATTCAACCGCGTTATTACCGAACACAAGGCCGAATGCGACTCGGAAGGCTCGGACCCGCGCGATAACTGGTTCCGCAGTGCACTGGCTCAGATGCAGGCGGTGGGTCACCGATACCGTGTGCCGCTTGAGGGTGCGCTTGACGAACTGCAGCTCGAGGTTTTCAGCGTCAGCGCCTCGGCTGATGTGGACGCCACCAAGATCTTCCAGCTCGTTCGCGACTCGTATCTCAGCGCTTAAACAACTTGACTAGAAACAACAAGAGCCAAGACACAACAGAATGGATCAGGGAGCTCTTATACCTCAAACAAAAAGTACAAACATTGCTCGTTTCGTCTTGATGTATTGCTGCGATCTTAGACGTGATTTTCACTTGTCAGCAGCCTCTGCCTTCTCCGTCTTCTCTGATGTCTCCGTTTTCCGCTTCTTCACTGGGATCACGTTAACTGCAGGGGCAGAAGAGGTCTGTCCGAATCCAATGGTGGTCACAGCCTCCTCCTTGGAATCCTTGGCTACAGCTCCAGCAATGGTCTCCTTAATGCCGTCCACCTTCTCCTTGAGCTCCAAGTATATCTCCATGTACTCCAGCAGCGTCTTCTCGTCCTTTTTCATCTTGTCCTCCTCGTCTTCCTTGACTCCAACGCACTTGAAGAAGTCCTCCTTCATCGCCTCTGGGTGTTCTCCATTAAACTGCAGCGACAGCGGGGAATCCTCACTTGACGGCGCTTTCCTCTTGCCTTTACCCGTCGGCTCCATTTCTTCTTCCAGTGAATACTTTGGGATCTTCTCCGCAAATTTCTGCAGTTTGTCGTCACATTTCTTGGCCACACGATGAATATTCTCCGCCATGACGCGTCCAGCCATCACATAATGCGTGAGTTCTTCATTAGGCACCACTTCCTTGTCCTTATCAGCCGTAGAGTCTCTGTAGATACAGGCAATAGCCAGTTGACAGTACAGATCCGCCAACTGCGTCGTGTCTTCAGCCTGTGTAGCCTTCAGCAGCTTCCTCCGCAGTAGTAGAGCCTTCTCAAAGTCCGCCTTGGCCTGTTCGAACTGGTCGCTCTCGAGTCCCAAGTCTCCGAGTCTCGTATACACTCGAGCCAGCTGCGTCTCAACCGCCTGATCCCCAGGGTAGCGCGAGTAGATGACGCGTGCCAGCTCCATGACTTCCCAGGCGGCTTCAAGGTCGTCCGCTGCCTCCTTGGCATCCTGTTCGCCGTCTCCGCTTCCGCTGGCTGCCGCTCCCTCCACGGCACCACCGAAGAGACTGGCTGTAACCTCCGTAAGACTCAACAGAGCGTGGCCGTACTCATAATAGACTGGAGCAACAGCTAACGAGTCGCTCTTGCCCTCCGCCTCGCACATAGTGCGTAGCAGATCCCCAAAAGCCACCACCGCCTCCTCAAGACGCTTCTCCTTCAGCAGCGACACGCCGCGCACGTAGCGAGGGTCCGTTAGCGTCTTCTCCAGCTCCTGCGCGGTCTCGGTCGTCATGCTTAATGAGCTCTTGGCGCCAATTACAGTAGTTCGCGGAAGAGTTGAACCTTTAATAACGAATAACGTGGCGCACATGATTTTTGAAATGACGTTATATAGGTTTATTGTAACTTGGCTACATGTGCAAGTTGCAGTTGCCATGACTTGGTTACAAGGCTCGGAGTAATCTCTTGGAGTCCTTGCTGGAGCTTTTGAAGACGCCTAGCACTGCGAGGAGGATGAGGAGGACGAGCACAGCGCAGATGCCCAGCAGGATCGTGAGCTTGACGTTCTTCCACCACATTTGCCGACGCAGCTTTCGACCAGTGTTGCGGAAGACTTTGGCTTGCTCGTTCAGGTCGTTGGTCTTTTGTTCCACGACCTCCATCTTCTCCGTATTGGACAGCACCACTTGAATATTATTGTGCATAACCGTCTTGACGCCGTCCACCTGATGCATCACCTCGGACAGCTTATCCACCTTGGTGCGGTCGTCGTATCCACTGGCAATAGCTGCGAACGCCTTGGCGCAGTCCTTATCCAGTCCATTCTGCAGTCAAAATACACACATACACTAAATAACACAGTATTCCATGCCTTACAGCCTTCTAGACGCACCTCTCGACACGTCAGTGCCTTTGATCCGTATTTTGGCACGATCTCAGTCTGTACCGCAGAGATCATCTGAAAAGCCAATCGGATGGGGTAGTCCTTGGCGGTGATGGCTGCAAACACGAGCTCGTCGTTGTTCATAGTGAAGTGGAACTTATTGGGGTCGCACTCGAGCGAGTGGCGGCCGTTGGGTGTCACTTGTGTCTTCCACGTCGGGGCTCGGATCACCTTGCTCAGCATTTCTCTGAATGTGTTCACCTCGACCTCTCCTCCACGCGCAGGTTTTCCACCTGACTGGTGCATATAACTGGCCACGATCACTTTGTCCGTGGCACGCGCGATGGCCAGGAACTTGATATTGTCGCGTGTCAGCGACGCCGACGCTGCAGTCGCCGGTGCCATGGCGCCCAAGTAGGAATTAATAAAGGTCGCTTCTTCTTCCTGCTGGCGAGTCGCTCAATGCACTTGCAACGTCACCTTCGACGATGCTAAAACGGTCACTTGCCGACCAGGACCAAGTGCCAATTGAGGGGAAGACGACGGAAATGAGATATTTTCGGCCTTTCTCGTGACAATTTATGGCAGAATCCAAGATGGTTACATGAGCTCAAAAATGGTTACATGGGGGTGTGTGCCATGGGGTCTATTCAGTCGATTATTCACTTCTCGACGGTAAGATGAGGCCGCGTTAGAGCTACGATCTGCTGCAGTTGATCGGGAGAGAATCTGTGAGTGAAAGGCAGCGAGGACGAAGCCGGGAGCTGCTCCTCGAGCAATGTGATGTCTATGCCAGAGCTGAGTGTAGCCATCACTGCCACTTCTTGGATACTCATATTGTCCGACACAAGAAGTCCCTTCTCCTTCCACGCGCTCATGATGTTGCTCGCACGGTCAGCGTCAACCAGCTAGCACACGTAAACACAAAAGGTCAGTAAAAGTGTCTATAAGGAAAGAAAAAAACATTAGAAAATCTACCTCAACAGATCCAGTGAAGCACTTGAGCAGCTGGTTCATCGCCATTGAGTAGGCAAAGCCCAGTTCCTCGGTCTCCTTGTGTTTGTTGAACTCCTTGATGGTCGCGTCTAAGCGAGGGAAGATCTGCGTCTCACGGACGTATCTCCAGACCTGGAGGTTGTCGAACTGGCTGTGCTGATTAGCCAGAATGTGTCCCCATGCCACATCCTCCGGTGGTGGGAGATCAAGGTGCTCCTTATCAGGACGAATCTTCTCCACGTACTTCTTCTCCACAGCGATAGCAAGATTGAACGCCGTCTTCAGTAACAACGCCACATCCTCACCTACCATGTCGTTGTAGGTGGTTAGATGAAACGGGTTGCCACTCGACAGCATCGTCTCGAGAGGTCGGTCACCAATTAGCAGCATCTCACGCTCCTTGCGGAACTGCATTACTGCTTCAGGTAAAGGGGAGATCGCACTCCCCACATTCTGGGCCAATTGCAACGAGGCAAACCGTCCAAACTGTTCTGACAACGGAGTAAAAGTTTTCTCCACCAGCTCTTCCAATGGTTCGCGTGACGAGTCGAAACTCGGCAACGAGAAGCCGTAACTCTGCACTTTTCCGTCATTGCACAGCTTTTCTAGTGCATCACACGTCGTCTTCAACTTCTCCATCAATTCGCCACGTTTACTAGAGATCAGAGCCAATTCGTCGGGGATCTGACACACGACGTGGTCAAGCGTTTCGACATCCAACTCGTTCATGGTGATCTCCACGCCCTTCTCCACGTACTCCTGGGTGAGTCTGTCGTCTGCATCCGGATTGGTCGGATGCACCACATTGCTGCCAATCAGAGTGGACACTACGAAGCACTCGCGCGGGATGTCCAGGTCCTCCACGGCCTCGTTAAGCGCCAGAGCTTCTACGTAGGCTTGTTTCTCACCAGCTCTGGTGACCACTGACGGGTTCACTGCCGCTTGGATGAAATTGCTGGTGTATGACGACGTCAACGTCTTGCTGATGTCCACGCGGGGCATGTCTTTCGCCCACAGGTCGGGGCTGCCGATACCTCGAGGGGCGACGCTGACCCACTGTGCATCGGTCCCTGCCTCGCTCACACGGAGTTTGGGAGCTGTGCTTGGTTGGAAGGGAGAGCGGACAACGAAGTCCTCCGTTGCAGGGCCCGTGGCGCGACCGACGTGCAGATGGGCACAGCAGCGCAGCGTCGAGAGCCGCACGCGGCTTGGGACACAGATAGCTCTCATGTGTGTCAATGTGTGTGAGCCACACACACATATTTTGACATTTTCATCGAAAGTTCTAGCACAACTTAAATGGGAATGGAAAAAATATTTCGATAGATCCTGAATGCCATCCAATCAAATATTATTACGACCCAAAATCGGACTATTTTGAAATCGTTCCAAAATAACCCAAATAAACCTTGCCGTTGGATGGCATTCAGACGAAAAAAAACCATTAAAATTTTAATGGCTTTTTTTTCGTCTGAATGCCATCCAGGCCAATCAGATCTCTCGAAATAGATTGTGTGGCAGACACATTAATTTAAACCGGATGTTTGATAAAACAACCAGAAATAAAACCTTTATTTTAAACACATAAAATTTTGCTGAAATAAACCATGACAACTGTTTCCCAAAATTGAATGTATTCTGTTGCCTTAATTTAAAATAATATCAACTATTTCCCCAAAATTGAATATTTAGAACTCATTTTTGAGTGAAGCTCACGAAGAATAGTTTATAAGTTTAATAACAATTATTGCTCTAAGATTTGAAATTTTAAAAATGCTTTGAAAATAGCAATTTTTAGAAAAATGAATGAAACTGTAGAATTCGTGAGTACGAAAGAAAGCAGTGATACATTGCCATTTACGGCGGCACACATCATGAACGTATGGTAGGGACACTGTGAATAATTGATCCGATCTACAAAAACTACTGTTCGAATCTTTGCATTGTAAAGGTACAGATTTCTCGAACGCTGGCATACGGAAACTCTATGAATGGCTTGACTGAAAGCCGGCATCAAATCGCGTGTTTCTCTTCTGGACCGCCCCATAATCTACATGAGGCAATCTTCACATCATCAACGACTTGGGCGCAATACAAGCGAGCCGGAGTCCAGCGGCTCGACCAGCCTGAACCCATGCGTACTTCTCAATTTGCTGCGATGGCTGACAGCGTCGCTTTTCAAGCAAAAGCCACGAGCGAGCTGCCTCGTTCGGCTTCTTCTTCAGCTTATCGAAGATTCTTGAGGAAGTGGACGGGTCAGGATTCGAGCGACCCGAGACGCATTCCACGGAAGTTGGCATCGATCCCGTTTGCAGCTTCGTTGCTAGAGCCATCGTTGACACATGACGATATACTGAGACTCCGACTGCAATTGCAGCGAATCGCTGACATTACTGTGATCGACTCCACGCGCGACAAGAGAAAAGAGCTTGTTATCAAGTTGAAATTGTCACTGCAGCCTGCAAAACCCCGTGAGCGAGTCGGCATTTTCGTCCCAAACAATGCGCCTGTGACGTACGAGACCACAATTACTTTTCGCGACGTGAACCACTTGGACAAAGTGCTGGTATTTTGCGTCAACAAAATGGCGGGAAATTGTCACGATAATTGTGGTTTTTGCGCGCGTTTCCGAAAGTACCTCGGCAATTACTGGGTCAAAGATCCACTCGTGACTGTCATCAACATGGGTGATACTGTACTCCGCAAGCCTTCGCTGGCTCTGCATCTGGCTCACTTGGTGGCATTTGCTACGGGGATACACACGGAGTCTCCACGCATCGCGAATAATCCGAAGAGTAAACAAGTTGCGGCGGTGCAGCTTGTGCCAAATGATAAAAAACGAATCGACGTTGTGGACGTATGCACTGCACAAAACGAGGTCACAGCGGTGCTCTACAATTTCTTCAATGTTTCCAAGTAGGAGGCGGCCGCACGTGCGTCTGGAGGTGGTGTTACATGCACTACAGTGAAAGTCTTTTTGTTTTACTACTTAGTAAGAAAAAAAAAACTTTAAAAATTCACCGTTGCAATAAAAGTTGTTTGACAGATGATCACCTTATTTTACCAACGAAAACATTTTTTTTTTCGTTTATTGAATCAGCACCATCCAGCTGATGAACAGGTAGAAAAGCAGAACTGGGTACACCGTCAATGCCTTACGCTTCGGTGGCACCAATTTGGACATGAATACGACCGACGCTGGTGGAGTGGGAATCATAGCATCACAAACACAATCCTCAATATACCGTCATAGAACAGTTATCAACAGCGACGTACCTCGTGTCGACCAGAGGAAACCCACACTGACAATGATCATTCGGAGCAAGATATGCGAGACCACCACTTTGGCCAGCATGCACACCAACGTCGCGATATTCAGCGGAAACACGCAGTATCCCAACACGCACACACTCTGGAAGAAAGATCTGCTCGGTAACAATATCAACATCCCCCTTAGCACCAAAATAACAAAAAAGGAAAATAATTCTATAGACGTACATGGAGCTGCCAAGTAGCTGCGCGTTGATAGTGACGATGGCAGCGCCCACCCAGATCACGACAAACACTCCTGTAAACACCATGGCGGACTGCGCCGCGGGGGCTGTCACACTCAACATGATGGAGAGCGTTAGACACAGCAATAGCGGGCCCCAGAGGTCCCCTACAAGGCACACAGCAGTCAGTATGGAGTTCTAACCCCAATCAGATTGATACTAGCGTTCGTACAGTCCCGCAGCGCCTTGAGTGTCTCCTCTGACGTGTTGCTTGGCATTAGAACCACACGCAACTTGCCCCCGACCAGCCGCAGGTCGCGGAGCTGCTCAGACACGCGTCGAATAGTCAGAACGCGTTAAATACTGGGGAAAGAGGCGGGCAAGGAGCGAGATAACTGCAGCGTACGATGGTGGTAGACACGGGCTCATCCAGCGTGTTCTCCTCGGCCGACGGGAGGCTGATACTGCCTGAAACCAGCTCCACACCCGCGGCGTCGCTCGCCTTCTTCTCTTCCGACATCGAGGTAATAATCGCTTTTGAAATGTGAAGTTTAGCTTAGAGAGCCCTCTTGTACGAATATTTCACTTCGGAAAGTTGCAATACGACTGGTGGAATTTTTAGAGACTTGCGCTGGTCATTCACCCTTGATATCTGGATTGTTCTCGCTTCAATACTCATAAGAGCTATATATTACGCCACAAGGATATGGCTTCAACACGCCACGGTCTTCCCGCGATATTGGTCTCCTTATTGACGCATTGAGAACGATGCACAGACACTTCATGAAGTATGAGAATTTAACCTAAGGTCAAATTACCTGTTCAGACCACTACATGCACACAGTTCACAACATAAAGGTAGCGTACATCGCTTCTTGTGTGTTGTTTGTCTGCAGCTGACGTCCTACAACAAAATCCACTTAATGTCTCCAACCGACAGTGAACCCACACACTCGATTGCCAGGCTTTCTGAGACGCCTCTCATGGGTAATCGTTTACGAGACGTGATTGGCTGGTTTGAGTCGCTTGTCCGCATTGCAGCACATTTTCCATCTGGTCTTCGAGTAGACAGCTCCGCACTTGTCATTGTGACTTTGCCATGGGCTGCACGTCGAGTAGAGAAGTCTTCCAGCCGATTCCGGACAGCTACAACTCCGTCGGTGCGTGGCGAATACCTCGCTTTTTAACTGCGCCAACTCGTTTAAAGTTGTCTTTGCTTGAAACCAATTGTTCATACCAGAGGAAGTGCAGAAAGCTCTGCGGTAGGCGACAACGTTTTTTCCGATGCGGGTTTTTAGGTGTTCTAAATGTAATTGGGTGAATGACAAACTCGCCGTCGTGGTGGCTTAACAGACAAGTGGGGCTGCAGTCGTCTGACCTGATCATCGCGGTAGGTGCCACTCTGTATTTTATTGTTGTTGATGATGGTAATGTATTTAACGGTGGCCTCATTTCCTATGTTTGTTGATACGTTTTTTGCAGGTGGATTTCACGGAATCGAATCTGGTAAATGAGAAGGATTGACGTGAGGTAGTGACCGATGTTGTAGCTGACAGGAAATGTGTTTGTTGTATAATCGTAGACGAAGGGAGCGCAAACGTTTGAAGGTCGCTCATTGCATTTTGTTGATAAGACTGGACGCGTGGCAAACCCGTACCAGGTACATTGCTGCTTTGATTTTACTCGTGAGGCTGGTATATTGATCGCTGATAGTCTTATCTTACTCATTTAGACCGTCATCTCGGCAATCACTCGCGTGTTTGAGCTGTTCGATGACGACGATTCAATCCCAGCCTTTGGTTTCGGTGGCCATCCTGAACGTCCACTTGAAAAGCGATATTTTCCCTTTGTGGAAGGTCGAGGGTGCGAATTGGATGAAGTTTTGCAGCAATATTTCGCGATCGCCTCCACCATGGAGCTCAACGCTTCAGCCAGCTTCGTACCGGTGATCCACGAAGCAATCAAGATGGTCAAGAAGACTCGTCGGTACCACATCTTGATTATTATCTCCAATGGACATATCGACGACCCTGCCATGGCCCGACAAGCTATCGTGGAGGCATCCGAGTACCCGATCTGTACGTGGCTCAAAACACTCAACATGTTACATATCCAATTGTTAATTTTGACTGACAATTCGTGAAAATGTTGACTCAATAGCGATTGTTATGGTCGGTGTGGGCGACGGTCCTTGGACGATAATGAGGGAGTTTGACGACCAGCTCCCTGAGCGTCGTTTCGACAACTTCCAATTCGTGAACTACAACACCATTCCTAGAGGAAACCTCAACAATCCAGACGGAGGTTTTGCTATGCAGGCACTCATGGAGATCCCAGGTACGTCACCGAATGTGCTTCCAATGAAGACACTCATATTAGTTCTTGTTAGCTCACTATCTGTGTTACTTTTTGCAGAACAATACAACCAAATCCGCGACCTCGGATTGATCAAGAACTAGCACGGCTCGGGACTAGCATGCTCTTAAACGCATACTGGACGTGAGCTATCGACTCTGTGATGTTGAATTTGCCGACTGAGATACAAATGCATACTTCAGTATTTTTCAGTGGGTTCCTATTTTAAAGATGCCATCCTTTTTGCTACGTAATATGATCGCTCTTCCACGAATATCTGCAACTTAATGAAAGACATGTCTTGCTACATATGGATTAGCAGGTAAAAAAAAGCTTATAGCAGTAGTACGAACGGCATGAGGACATTTTTTTACTTTTTATTTTTTAAAATAAATTAATACATATCCATAAGAAATCATCTACATACAATCTATTTCCGCCGCTTTTAGGCGACCTTAATAGATCTAAAAGAGGTTGCGATGCCTCAGGGTTGAGTTTCTTTCTGGGGAATAGCTCTCAAATTTCAACTTGCATTTGCTAAGCAAAAAGCGGCAAAAAGGATTGTTGACCTGTTTCTCTAAATTTAGATAGCCAGAGTGAAAAAAAGGCCACTAGAACCAGCTACAAATGCCCATGTTTCCACTTCAAAACCTGGTCAAAAAAGGGAAAAGGCAAAACACGTCCGTATAATAATAATAAATTTTTTTTTACCAAAACGGGTCTAGCCTTTTCGTAACGTCAATAGAGGTATTTAGCAAATAAGTTCTGTTTCTAAATTTCGATCGGTTTTCAGTTTGCTCTAATTAGCGACTTGATTGAGTATTAAGAGGATACTATTGGATTTGGCTTGACTAGTAAGTGTTAAAGTGCTCTTAATGTACTCCAATACCTCGCTGACCGCCCTCGTAGTTGAAACTCATCACGTTATACTGGCATTTAAACTCAATAAAAGTGCTCAAGAGAGAAGAGTAATCGAAACAATTGGACAGTAGTAAATCTGCAATCATGGTTGACCTCCGAAAAGTATCAAATTTTCGCTTGATCGTAAGAGAAAACTCATGTTAAAGATATTGGATCGGTTATTTTTAATTAAAATACATACGGACATATTTTATCTTCGTCACCCCAAAAAGAACAAATTTGTGTGCAATACACAAACTGAACCTAGAGGTAAACATGTTGACGATTGCTGTCACAGGGTAACCGACAAACGAAGCAGCATTCGATCCCTTACATGCAGGATGGAGACTGTGTACTTGGAGCGCTCTCGTCAGCAATTTAACGGAGAATAGCCCGTGACTGTCACTGACAAGATACGTATAAGTGTAAACACATATCCACACGCAATCGGAACAGCAAGATGCTGACGGAATCGTGATGTCAACATGTGCAATAACCTGGGCGAAGCACCCAGCATCACGTGATGGTCACCAGTCGTGTCTGTCACGATGCGATGCAGATGCCTGAGCACGAACCCGTGCCAAAACCTCCTGTTGGTCGGCGCGGAAACAATCGGTCATTCCTGAATTTGCTTCGTTCCAAGCACTCCAATCCGCCTCCTTGTTCAAGCTTCCTACAACTATGTCTGCTGCTCCACGCACCGTCAACACCTATGCCGCCATGGAGAAGTCCGGTGAGCTCAAGCCGTGGCAGTACACGTCCCGCCCGCTCGGTGACGAGGATATCGAGATCAAGATCTCGCACTGCGGTATCTGTGGCTCGGACGTCCACACTATCGACAGCGGCTGGGGCCCGACCATCTACCCCGTTGTGGTTGGCCACGAGATCGTCGGTGAAGTTACTGCAGCCGGCTCAAACGTGACCAATCTGGCTGTAGGCGACCGTGTAGGTGTTGGCGCTCAAGTCTGGTCTTGCCAGAACAAGGACGAGGACAAGCCGTGCGTCGACTGCGCTGACAAGATGGAGTCGTACTGCGACCGTGCGGTGCTTACGTACAACGCCAAGTACGAGGACGGAGCCTTGGCTTACGGTGGATACGCTGACTACGTCCGTGTATCGAGTGCCTTCGCCTTCAAGATCCCTGAGAATATTCCTTCGGATGTTGCTGCTCCTCTGTTGTGTGCTGGAGCAACCGTCTTCTCTCCACTCAAGCACCAGAACGTTAAGCCTGGCGATCGTGTCGGAGTTATTGGCGTTGGTGGCCTTGGTCACCTTGCCATCCAGTTCATCCGTGCTCTTGGTGCCGTGCCTGTGGCTTTCTCACGTTCGGCTAACAAACGCCAACAGATTCTGGATTTGGGAGCTGCAGAGTTCTACAATCTGAGCGACCCGGAGGATGCCAAGAAGGCAGCTAACTCGGTTAACACGTTGATCCTGACCGCCGACGCCAAGGGAATGCCGTACAACCAGTACCTGGGTCTCCTCCGCAAGCGCGGTACGCTCGTGATGTTGGGTATACCGAATGACGAGATCAAGTTCCTGCCCATGTTCGTGGTGGGTCGTGGGATCCGCGTGGTTGGCAGCCTTATTGGCAGCATCGAGGACATTGAGGACATGCTGAAGGTCGCATCCGAAAAAAACGTCCGCCCGATTATCCAGAAGCTCCCGATGGCCAAGGTTAATGAGGGCATCACCATCATGCGCGAGGGTCGCGCTCGCTACCGCGTTGTGCTTGAGAACTAAGCCAGCTCCCTAAATACCAAAGAAGAGAGCAAAGTAGTTTAAGCTTGATTAACTAAGTGCAAAATATTCATGACTGATTGAGCCTCCTAGCCACTGCACCAGAACGCTGATGCAACTTGTTTGTAGTAACCTGCAGATGTATAGCATTCGAATTAGACTTGACGTGACAGCAACCAAGCTGAATCTTACCATCCTCCTCTTTCTCCTTCATGTTCAGCAACTCAATAGATCTCGGGTATTCCGTTCCCAAACTTGTTTCGGCAGCATTATTGAACGAGGCCACGACTTGGAAAACATCATCTTGAACTGAAGGTTCATCAGGAATTCGTCGAGCGTTGAGACTCTTGATAAGCTCGCGATCGCGCGATGTTTTCCACACCGTCATATGAGGTGAGTATGGATGACGAAAATTCTCCGTCGTAAATCCCAACTGTTCAAATTCTCCATGTAGACGCTCGGCCACCGCACTCAATCTGGATAACCACAATTAACCCTTGATACATTGATATCTTCCTTCAATTTACTGTTCAACTCACCGCCGGCCATCGGCTGCTGCCACATCCAGCTTGGCATGTAGCACGTCGTTATTGCCGAAGAATTCCCAGTTGTTGAAATCAAACCGTGGCGAACCATGCACAAACTCCTCCGCTGCCACTCGAGTAGCTTCCGCGTGAAGCACTTGACACGCTTGATCCGTTGCTACATCAACGACGAAAGTGTAAAATAACATGGCCAATTTTAATGCTAGCGCTAATGCAGTAAATTTCACCTGCATCGTCCGGAAGACGCAGCACACAGAGCGTGACGTGCAGCGTTCTGGGGTCAATGAGGCAGGGTGTAGCTTCCGGACAAGCGTCATGGATCGCAGTCTGTAGTCGCTCCACCCGCGCTACGAGGCTCGGCGAAGTAATGCGGAAACCAACAAAGAAGTTGGGCCTCTCACAGCGACGAGGACGCGGCTTGCTCCTCCAGCGGGGCCTGCGATCGGGTCGCGTCGATAGCATTCTTCGCTGCATGAGACTGTCGCGTTATTATTGGCCAATCGAAACGATTACGCAGACGAAAACTGACGTATACTTTTCCCGAAAAAGGTAAAGTAATCCGAGAGGCCACTCAAAAATGACTCAGCAGCTATTTTCCGATTTGAGACTCAACGATGAGAGCAGTGCCGGTGGCTCTCGCCGTTTTCTGCGTCGTTTTGAGCGTACTGTTCAACCGCTTCTCATTTTTCCTTCCGGAACCCAACGCGCAAGTCGAAGAAAACATCAAGCAAGAGATGGTTGCCCCTTCCAAACACGCCCTCGTCGTCGGTGCTTCTTCTGGAATTGGTCTCGCTGTTGCGAAGGAACTCGCACCCATTGTTGCCAAGTTGACGCTCTGCTCGAGATCGTACCCGGAAGTGCTTCTGAAGACGATCAAGGAGAACAACCCGAATGTGGAGGTTGTCCACGAGAAACTGGACGTGTCGTTAATGCATGAAGTTCGCAAATTTACGAAAAAGCATGCTAATACTCAGTTCGACTGGATCGTTATGAGTCCGGGTATCATGACGTTGAACGGGCGAACGGAAACACCTGAGGGTCTTGACGTGAAGATGGCGACTCACTACTATGGGAGGTACGTTGCCTAGTTCTCGTCACCATCTTTAAGTGAGTGCACTCATGCTCTCTTCATGTACAGATTTATGCTGGTGCACGACTTGCTGGAAGGACTGAATCGTCCCGGTGTGCGTGTTCTCAACATTTTTGCTGCTGGCCACGGTGGTGCAATCGACATGAACGACCTCGATCTGAAGCACACGTACTCTGGCAAACGTTGCGCAGATGCTACGACCCAGTACTCGTACGTTACTGTGTGCTGATACAGCTCTTTGCTTTGGTATTTGCTAAAACTTTCGTTTCTTCTTATTTGACAGAGATCTGATGACTCAAGCTTTCTCGGAGCATGCTTCAAAAGCCTCGTTCATGCACGCAATGCCTGGATTCGTGAACACCGGTTTATCCAAAGGATTACCGTGGTATTTGCGTGGCCCCGCGAATGGATTAGCTGCTTTGTTTGGCCGTTCACCTGAGGCGTGCGGTAAGGTCATGGTGTCAGCACTTCTGAATGACGACTACGTAACTGGTTGGAGGCTGCTCGACTACAATGGAAAGGTGGCGTCCACGACCAAGTATCACACGGAAGAAGCGAAGGAAGTGGTTTGGAAACATACAGTCAAGACAATCGAAGACATCATGAAGCAGTAGGTATCTTAGACTAAGATTCTTAGCCTGAGAAGGTTGCAACGTTGTGACAGCTTTGTCAAGCATGTTTTTAACTTCCACCGCCCCGTTTTCGCTTGAATTAATTGCTAGTTCTTGTACTTAACGCTGTAGAGAAGTGTCAACACATTCTTGCTGGCATGTCGAGCTGGAAAGCAGTTATCAACGATTTCTTGCATCTACGTATAAATAGATATTGTCGCGGTTGTCACTGTGTACGCGCTATATGTATCCTAGCTCCGTGTCCATGATAAATGGCATGCGATGAGATCAAGCTACCTCTACGACTAAGCTGTCAAAAGATGAAATGATGCATTACTTGAAAACAAACTGTATTATATTCCTTCAAACCTACCATTTCCTCTAATATTTTTTAATGAGTACTTTTAATTTTAAAAGAATAGACAAAAAGATTTACAACAGTAGCAATTACAACGATTTCAATCAATGTAACTATTAATAAATACTTATAAAAACCATTATGGTCTAGGGGCGATATTATTTGACATTTGACTCATAATTTAAAACCCAATTTGTGCTCGTCGATCACCACCAGCAGCTTCAGATAGAAGGATCATGAGCGCTGCCGAGCAAATTCAGAGCCTCATCAGCTCCCTGGAGACAGACCTGGGCATTGAGGCTAACGCCCCGATCGGCAACGACAAGAAGCCGCAGCAGCAGAAGGAACAGAAGCCTAAGACCAAGAAGGCCAAGGCTCCCAAGCCTGCCAAAGCACCAGCTGCCGACCCCAACCAACCCGAGATCACCAAGCTCGACATCCGCGTGGGCAAGATCGTCAAGGTCTGGAAGCACGAGACGGCTGACAAACTCTACTGTGAGGAGATCGACGTGGGCGAGGATGAGCCGCGCCACATCGCCAGTGGACTAGTGTATCACTACTCGCTTGAGGAGATGCAGGACCGCCGCGTGCTGGTGCTGTGCAACCTCAAGCCGCGCAACCTCGTGGGCTTCCGTAGCCACGGTATGGTCATGTGCGCTGCTGTGCCTCTGGAAGACGGCAAGGAGAAGGTGGCGTTCGTCACGCCTCCCGAGGGCGCCAAGATCGGCGAGCGTATCACGTTCGAGGGCCTCACGGGCGAGCCCTTCTCGCCTGCTCAGGTGGAGAAGAAGAAGGTGCTGACTGTGCTGGGCGACGACATGAAGACGGACGACAATGGCGTCGCCAAGTGGAAGGAGCACGTGTTCGGCACGTCGGCTGGCCCCTGCACGGCTCCCGTGAACAACGGCGTCATTAGATAAAGAAAGAGAGACTGAGAGGAATGGCTTCACGAGGCACAGTACAAAGCAGTTTCTTACATGGGGAACTCTTAACTAGTTGCGTTTACGTTTGGGTCGAGAACTTGTAGCAGCATTGGACTTCTTGACAGGCTTGGTCTTCTTCTTGGCTTTCTTCTTAAGTGGGAGTGGCACAACTTCTTCCTCGTCCCGATCTTGTTGTTCATCTTCTTCGTCTTCGACACTTTTCTTTGCCTTAGCTTTGGCCTTTGCCTTTGCTCTGCGTCGAGAAGTGTTGATTGTTGGAGGCACGTCTTCTTCCGAGTCACTAGCAGAGTCGAATGCTACATCGAGGTCTTTCTTCATGCGGCCTTCGAGATCTTCTTGTGTGAATCCCTTCTTGCTGCGACTCTGAGGTTTGTCTACTGAAGGGGACTTGGCAGTCACGTGCCAGTTCTCGTTGGAGTGGCCCTGGCTGGGGGAGAAGATCAACGTCGAAGTCTCCGATGGCTGTGGACGAGCTTCCTCACTGGACACATCACGCGGTTTGACTCCACTTCGAGACGGTGTGGGTGTTGAGGGAAGACTCTGACGTCGTCTATGCTTCTCGTTGCGTAAGCGCACGGGGGTGTGACTCGCCTCTAACAATTCCTCTTGTGGTGTCTGAGGAACACACGAGGTCTTGTTAGTCTGCGGAGAAGTAGGCGCTGTTTGTACATCCTCTGGAGCGTAGGTCGTGCGCCGCGACTGCTGTTTCTGCTGCTGTTGGTGCAGGTCAAGTTGGCGTAGATCGTACTCCACTTCCATGGCCATCTGAGGATCCGTATTCATGAAAATATCCTTCACTTCTTGCCGATACATTTTGAACAGCTCGCGGATATAGTGAAGCAAATAACGCGTCAATGGACTGTGCTTCGCTTCGAGTGTGTGCTTGAGACCGATGAGTACAGGCACGACGTTCTCTAGGAAGTTCTTCTTGGACATCTTGGACAGCAATTTGCCCTTCGCTGCTGCGATCTGTGACGCCACGTTGGCGTTCTCTCCAGTGGCTGCATCTTCTCCGTCGTCCTCATCGTCGCCCTCCTTCGAAGACGTGAGTTTGATCTCTGGCGAGCACAGAATCGCGAACGTATCTTTAAGAACTGCCTCTGTGCAGCTATCGGTGATCTGCGAAGGATTCTCGCACAACGGAAGAGTGCCGTCCATCACTTCTTCCAGTACTTCGCTACAGAGTTTCATGGATACTTGCAACTTCTGCTCGTCCGACATGTGCTCCAACAAAAAGTTGTACAGCTTGGCTCGTCGAGGGTAGAGTGCATTTCCCAGCAACGCGAGTTCGCGCGTCCCTTCTTGTTCGTATGGCTCCGAGAACTTGATCTTGTCGCCTTGAATTCCGTTAAGCACAAATATCATCTCGATGAATTTGTTCGTGAAAATGTGTGGCGATTTCTGCAACAGAGGACCACAAAGCACATGACGCGCCAGGTTGGCCAGTTCCTCATCTTCGTCGACTGCAGCACGAAGGAAGAAGCGCAGCAGAGACTCGCGCCACTTGATGTAGTCTTGCAGGATCAGCTGCGAGAATAGCAGTAGCGTATTACGACGTAACAAGCGACTCTCGTCCAGTAGTGACAGCGCAATAGTTGGAACATACGCATCCACGAGCGACGTGTAGCGAATACAGAGATCGCCCAAGATCAGCAGGATGTTCGATCGGATGTCCTGTTCCTCGCAAGTCCGAAGCTCGCGAATAAACATCGTCATGCATTGCTTGGCTAAGTCTCCGTCGCGTAAGCATAATTTGCCTAGAGTTACGAAGGCGCACACTCGAACGGGAGTCGGCAGCGGAACAGGCTCCGAGATAATGGGAATCTCGTCTTCATCGCCTTGTCCTGCAGCTTGTGACATGGTCTGGTTGATAGGGACGAACTTCGGCGGCAAAAAGAGCTGGACAAGCGACTTCAGACTCGAACTAACGGGTAACAGAGCAGCTTCTCCACTCTTGTCAGCGTCCTTGTTGAACTCAAGCAGAGCCACCTCACCGATAGAGATAAGCTGCTTCTGCAACAAAGCAGTTTCTTCTTCCACACTGTCTGGACTGCTTTCAAAGCACTTGCGCAGGTTGATCTCACACAACTCGAGTAGCTTGTTCCCCCACGCATAGCTGATGTCGCGACTCTTTTCGGGGGAAGGAGCTTTGGCTTTGCAAATGCTGTTCAGAGCGAGAATTCCATCGGCGATGACGTTCAGAGGGATGGCGAACGAATGCAACGACGCCAGAATACCGTCAGCGATTGACTTTGCGTCCTGCGCGTCAATAACAGTCGAAATAGCAGCAATCACACGTAAAATACGCTTCGATCCATCGTTGAACTCCATCGGCAATGCCTGATCCTGCAGCTTGTTCCAGCACTCGACCACGATGCTGAGGTTCTGCTGCTTCCCCCTCGCAGTCTCAACAAGATTTCCAGAGTACGCCAGTTCCTCCAATACGATCCAGCTGAAGCCCCAGTAGCGCGTTAATAATCGACGAGTAGCTTCGTCTTCTGTTTCTTCTTGTACTTCTTGACCGGAGCTGTATGGACTCACGCTTTCTTTGATGGCAAACACGCACGTCTTGATGATCTTTTCGACGTCGATCTTGTCGCTTTTAATGAGCATTCGTAATGCCTTTTGCAAACAGCGAGCCATAACACCATCAAGGTGCGACACTTGCATCCATACACAGTCGAGAGCTTCACGCAGCGTCTTGTTGCGACGTGAGTCGTACCACGTTAGAACTCGGTCAAACACAACTCTTCCTGCCGCTTCCAGTGCGCAAGATTGCACACTCGTCTCGGGATCTACACACAACGGAAGAACGCCAAGGTTCCACAACTTCTGTGCTTCCTCATCACGTGGGAACTTCAGTAGAATCACCGACAACGACTTGATAGACTGCACACGAACAACAACTGAGGAGTCCGTACAGCGCGAATGAATGTCAAAGAGATCTTTCTTCGACGAAGCGTGGACAGTGTCACCTGAATGGGCCGTCAAAAGCGCCTCCAGAGCGTGCACTGCAGCTCTACGCACAAACGTCTTATCATCCACCAAACGCTCACGGAACAGGTCAACAAGGCGCTGCATCAGTAGCGTCTCCTGGAGATTCTTGTTGCCGTCATCACCGATCACTGATTCGTACAGAAGACTCTGCAGTGAGCTCGCGATCGCTTCCGACCTGTTCCCGTCCATCTGCTCGTCGTTGTCTTCATCTTCGCTATTAGCCAAGTTAGACAACCCGAGCGTCAGCATAGCTGAGATTCCAGCAATTGCCTTGGTACGAACTTGGGACATCTTGTCGCGGGCACGATCAATCAGAACTTCAAGAAGCGGTCCGACACCAGAGTACGGGACTAGCGACTCGGGAAGCTCGTTCTCCTTCACCTTCCAGAACCTGGTTTCCACTACGAAGCGGCTAATCAGCTCCACTGCGAACTGACGGTACTTCAGCTTAGCGTTGCGGGAGTAACTGGTCAGGAACCGCGCCAGTCTTACGCACTCTTCATCTCGGAATTCACTCGGTTTTGCCTGCTCTTCCAGTTCACTTTCTCGCCGTCCAGCCATCACAGTCGAGAACACAAAAGACAGCACACGTTGCCGCTCATCTGCAAGACCTGGAGCCTGTAGACAAATATTTTGAATCAAACCCAACAGCATCAACGAGTTTTCCTGCCTTGCAGTGCCTTCAGCGTCGTCCTCTTCGCATGCTTTGACTGCAATATGGTGAATCCTAGTGATAACATCAATCGTGAGTTTGTGGAAGCGCAAAGACGACCGATTTTCCTTCGCCACGGTCTCCTGGAACGTCACACCGGGAATATAGCAATGCAGAATCACGCGTCCAATCTGTAATGGCTCACCGTGCGTCCCACTGACCAGCGCCTCCAACATCTGCAGCGTTTTGGTCGTCATAGCAGACGCTGTGCCCTCGTTATCAGGAGGTAGTGCTGTCTGCAATGCAATCGCAGTCTCAATGGTCGGTACAATAGATTCTCTACTCGCAGAGAGGGAGAATCCATCTAGAAATTGCACCAGCATGTCCATTAACTCCAGTCCGTAGCTCGTGAGCATCTGGAACACTTCGTGGCTGTCCTCGTCACTGTCCTCATCGCTGCTCTGCTGCTTTCTAGCTGCTCGTTTTCGCCCACGACCTCCGGATCTCTTCTGTACTGTTGCTGATTGTTCTGGTTCCTTGGAAGCCATTAGAACGACCCACTTTTTGAGTGTGTCCAGCACCTGACGATACACGTACGACATGAACAGCCCATACGCGGACCCTCCAGGCAGCTGTAGCCACGCCAAATATACTTTAGCGGCCACTAGAGCCTTCAGCAGCGCGCTTCGCTTCTCGGCGTCGTTCATATTGGCGTATACGTCGCGTACGTTCACGACAGCCTGCAGCAGAGCGAAGAGAGAGCGGTAAACGGCTTCGCTGTTCTCGTTGCCTTCCTGAGCTGGCGACACAGCATCAATGGCTTCCTGAGACGCGAAGAAGCTCCAGAGATTCGCCACTTGCTCGTCCGCTGCCTGACGCCGCAGATACTTGGCGAACACTTTGTCCAAAGCGCGCAGCTGGCGGCGGGAGACTCCGTCAGCCCATTCTTCTCGCACAGCAGCGGTGCCGCCCGTGTCAAATAGTGAAGAGATGGCACTTGCCGGCACGGAGCCCAGAGCCAAAGGCTGCAGCACGCGCGCCAGCTCCTTCTCCATGAATTACAGTAGTGACGCTTGATGCGGAATGGTTTGCGCGGGAGGTTTGAAAAAAATTGTCCATGGATTGTGTAGCCCATTTAGAAATGGCTACTTGAGATAATTATTTTTAGGTGATTGACATCTTTTAATTAAAATTATTGGCGTCAATATTTATCAAAGTCATTATTAAAATTTGGTAAAATATGTTTCCATCAGGTGCTAAATATAAGTTATTTTTCAGTGCCTTGATGGAAAATTTTCTAAATAAACAAATAAGTGCTGCGAGCATGTACCACCCTTTGGTACAGTTTTGGACAGATTGATATAACACCGACATTTTTCTTTACAGATGAACTGTCTACGATGCGCTCGTATATCATGATATCCTTTCGTACTTGCTATTCTAACTTGAAACTTGATACAATGTGATGTCTGCTCAGCTCAGTATACTGCAGGTTAACTTATACTACAGGTTAACTTCCCTTAGTTAATACAACCCGTGGAACAACTCTTGATCAAGTATAGCAAGTTGACCATGTTAAGGCGGTTGGTACTGTGCACATTCCTGATATTAGTGGGATTCGAACAAAATATCTCAAATCTAGACATTTATGGGTATATCTGACGATACATCAAACTCTGTGGCCATTTCAGAAGCTGATTTCCGATGAAATCGACTAGAATCGACGAGTACGTGTTTCATGTCGATACGTTTCACTGACTCCTTCTACCAGTAGGTAAAACCGTTGATTTTGACCAAATTTGACTTGGATTTCTATCACACAAAGATGTGACACGTTCAATTAAGGTTTTAGCCAATCGAAACAGAGAATAACGGTGTGAATAAAACCAATCGAATGATTTTATTTTAGGCCAGACTTCTCCCACGCTCTCAAGATACATTTACCGCTGATCAATCTTTACACCTTACTAGCTATATCAACCAGAACTTCCCAATGCTTCGGTGCTGGAATATTTCTCAGGAGCATCAGTCGGTCTCATAACGAGCATTACGATTCTGAGCCATGAGCTAAAGCTCGTGGTCCAGCGACAGTGCGCACATCTTCTTCTTGACAGGGCCCAACAGAGTTCGTCTTATGTGTCTTTAAACTGTTGACCAGCTAGAGCCGGCGACCAGACACCCACACCTAAATAATAATAGCAAAGACAAATTAGATAGAATTGTAACATTGTTTTAGTATCACGCAATAAATTACCTCGCCAATCCACTGCAACATGAGTTAAATTGCATAATGACGAGATTTCACCTTGTTTGAAATGTACCATCAGAAAATATGGATATGCCATGCTTAACTTTATCTAGTACTGTAGTCATCACTATACGCTGTAGCTAAAACGATAGTTCAACATCCCCGTACCCAATGGTTCGCTCTTTCGAAAGCGGGCCAACCTGATTCTACCAAAGACAACATTCGTTCTTCCGTCATTGGCGGTCTGCTTAGCGCGACGCGTGCTCAGGGCATTCACACTTACATCGTACTGGTATTGCAGACGCACAGGCGTCTCGTCGAACGATAGATGGACCTCTAGGTACGTACTGGAAAAATAATCGGAATGTTCCAGTACGGATGAAATGCGTCACAACAAGCCATGTAGGGGAAGACGCATCTCTCACCAGTGGATGATAATTTTCTGCCATCATTGCTGCCATAGGTAGCAGGACACGTGAACGTGTCCGAAGTTACTGCTATGCCCACGCTATGGTGCCAAGATATAGACAAATTTTAACAATTTTTATTTTGCCAACACGCACATTGTTGAATAGCGCAACTTCGCGTTTACGATTTTCGTTCGATCATTCCGAAATCGTTTGGGTAGATATACATCGCGGGGCATTCGTCCTTGTCGCCTGCTCATACCTCAAAGATATACTTTGTATCCCCTAAAGTTTCTTTGGTCTCTGCATCAATCAATTCGCCCAAAACCTCGATCACAAAGGTCTGGCGAGGAATTTCTTCAAGTGTTTTTACTCCAAATCCACGTCCATCTGTCGTTTCAAACAAGCACAACGCAGGCTTGTCGTCTTCATCAAAATTCCAGCTCAACTTAATATACGGAAGCGGGAATTTCTCAACGTGAAGGTTCCGGTGTATCGTAGTGTAGGAGGCCACAACGTTCCCTAGTCTTCCGGTGGGTGTTTGCTCCTTAATTTCCTCCTGCTCAACATTTTTGGCTTCCAAATCGTTTTCACCACCGTCTTCAATGCTCTCTTCAACTTTCTCGTTACACGCTTCCCGACGTTGTTCGACGTCATCGTCGTTCTTGGCTTCCAAATCGACTTCCACGCCGCCTTCAGCGCTCTCCTCACTGTACTGTTCGGTAATCTCGCCGGTCTTCGATTCAGTATCATCATAATTAGCACCGTCTTCAATGTATCCACGCGATCGATAGTAGCGAATTCGCATTTGATTCTTGCGAAATTCTCTGTAAGACCGCTCTTTTTCTCTTTTTTTGATTCGAATACTCGCGCAGTTGCGCCAGCTTCTCCTCTCTTGCCAAAGTCTCTGCTCGCATGGCTCGTTTAATTGGCAGGGTCGCGCTACCGGAAGAAATAAAGCGGCCATCGGAGCCGTGGCTGCGTCGGAAGCGTTTCTTCTTAGGACCCTTTTTCCGCTTGTTGTCTTGAGCTGATAGAAATCAATTGAGCTCTGCGACGGCTGTAGTATGATAGTCAACAACTGTAGTTAGTCAACTATCAATCAACAAGTATAGTCAGCAGTCGAGATGCCTTTCTTCGAAGTAATACAATTGAGTAATACAATTGAGAGTATGAATTACCGGGAGAGTGCAGTGCAGTTTGTGTACAAGTCGTGTGGTGTGACCGTTACCGTGACCGTGACCGTGACAGGGGCCATGTTGCGACAATAATACATAGTTCTTACGAACTGCGAATTTAAATATTTGCTATAGACAGCATTAAAACATTAAAAAGTAATATTTTTATACCGGTATGTGCGTTTTTTTCTTCATACTCTTTTTGAGAAGGTCTTTTTGTGATGTACAGTTGTCTGGACGTTCTGTCCTAAGCTACCGAACTATGTAAACGCTACGAAACCAATTTAGAGAGATAACAATCGTTGCATTAATTGTAAGTACACCAAACAGTTGTTTAACCGCTTCAAGTTGAAGGTGCCAAAATCTAACAGATCATGAACCGCTAGTTGCTCTGCTATAGTCCGAATCGCAGCTCGGCAAGCGTGCCATACAGCGATATCCGCTTAACGGGCGGCAATTCTACAAAGCGAGAAGTGAGCTCTTCAGCTGCGGCAAACTCGCCCCTGCGAACATGGATGTTTGCTACTGACTCGATTAGATCTGCTTACGTCAAGTTGAACGAGTCGATGGGGACATCAGTCAACACACGAGTTAAACTGTTGTAGCATACTTACACGGATCTGTCGGCGATGAAGCAAGCAGCTCTTTCAGCAATTTGAAACGGAGATCCGTCAGGCTAGAAAGAGCCAAGTCAGCAAATCATTGCAAGGTGACAATTGCTGTTGACCTTCATCACGTACTGGCCGAGGCTGTTGGTATTCCGAATGGCAAACGTGATCTCATCAGGACTCGCAAGCGTCGGGTCTTCGATGTATTCCTGTTCACGAAGAATTCTACCAACACCCTGAGAGCATGTACTCTAGTCGTTGTTTACTTAGTACAGACCTGTCCACGTAAGCAACGTCCTTCAACCTGTCCTCGGGCAGCGCAAGTTCGATGAACTTCGACAGCAGGTCTGCACACAAGGTACGAGTTAATGAAATACAGTAAGCACAGCGAGAAGTATCGACTGCGTCTGTGCCGTACCGGCAGCTTCTTCACGTTGTTTCCGCTGAAGAGCCCGTGAGAACAGAAAATGCAGCGCCGCCCTCCGCTGCAATATCACACAGTGCTTAACAACAAATGTTCACATTCTAGTAGCAAGTAAATTACGCACCCGTAGCCGCTGCTTCTCTAGAACTTCCTCCAGCATTTCTGGAGGTATTCGAGCAAGTTCCTTCTCTGTCATCACCTGGCAAGCGGACTCGTAATTCTCCAGACATCGTGCTGTGTCGTGGAGGCGATCCCATAGACGAGCGAGCTGCAAGTGCCCAACGCAACAGCATTTGTACCCGACAAACCATTATCAATACACCGAGACGCACTCACCTTCAAGTTCGCCACATAGGGGTCGAGCATTGTTTGACGCTCGAGTTTCACCGCTCGGATTTGGTCCATGAGCTGCTTATATTCCGTCGCCGAGACCCTCTCCGAGCGCCGACTCTGCCTGTACACCATTAGATCTGGAAGGGACACAATTGCTGCCGGCGTTGCAGCGCGACTGACATTCCCCGCATACGAGGAGCTTCCTGGCCGCACTACAGGAGGTGCCGAGGCCTCCAACTGCGTCAAGTGGTGGCGCAGCGCCATCACGCCCCTGTCACGCACAGCCTTGGCTCGTTGCAGTATCTCATGGCGCTCCTTCCTGCAGAAGAGACTTTGCCGTGAGTCGAATCCGACTAGCGAGACCACTATTATCGACACGCTGCAAGATCTACGACACTCACTTGTCCGGGATGGAAGGAAGCCGCTTCTTCTCGGCTTGGTAGCGGTCTTGTAGCAAACAGATCTGCTCCAGTATTGCGGCACGCTGGTTGTAAAGGGCAGCGTTCTCTAAAGATTGCACACATGCATGCACATTCAGCAGTGCAACGTCAGCACCACCGACTTGATTTGCGAGCACGAACCGGCGTGGAGCGCGATTTTGGCCTCGTCGCGAGTGTCGAGCTGCATGAGCCGCATCAAACTACGCGTGCGATCTCGCTGAGCCTCACGGCGCGCAGCTTCCTCGCGCTGCTTGGCTGAATTTTCGTCGTGCAGACGCTGCAGCTCGGCCGCAATGATGGACCGGTATGTTGAAGTTACGTCGCTCATCCTCTTCAAGCTGATAATGCCGCGAAGCGGCGTCAATGTATCTATCTCCCATGAACGGAGGCCTCTGCAGGGCGGAAAATAACCGCAGGGGTACTAAGGATAGCTCTGTCTAACGAATGGAGGCGACAGCTCCGTTCGCTACCGTCACTGTCATTTGAACCCATGGATATGAATGCCAAAACCACACACAAATGTTGTTGGTGGTCTTCCTGCAAGTCGTCGTACTTAATTGAAGTTCAACCGTCTCCGTTTCTAGCCACAAAGATCGCCGCATACAAATGCCAGGTCATTCGCATGCGTACGTCACCTTGCGTGTCTGCGCAGCCAATCAGCTCGCAGCGGGATCTTTTCCGTATCTTCCAACGTCACAAAACACAAGTTTTCTTCCTCCTTCCCATTACAAATCCCCATACTAATGTCTCCAGACCCTTCATCCATCACCTCCGTAAAGCCAGGTACCCCGCCAGCTTCGAAAAAAAGACCGGTCGCCGCTTTCCGTACGTCAGCAGCGCCGCTATTTGGCATTTGCCTCCAAACCACTCAAAGCTTCAGTCAGCGCAGAGCCGAGGCACAGCACAGCGATCGCACGAGACAAGAGCGCCAGCCAGTCAGCAAGTGCACAGTACCAGAGTTCAATTTCTAGCCAGCCAGACGCATGTCGCTCGAATACGGGATGCCCATCGTGCTCCCGCCCATCGGGCCGCTCTTCGCCAGCAGCGGGTCCCCCACGACGGCTCTGCTGGCCTACGACGAGGAGCAGCGCGAACAGTACGAAGAGGACATGGCGCGCTACTTTGGCGTGCCGCTAGCTCCTTTCATCCGCCGCAGACCCAACAGCGATGAGGACAATCTCCGCACACCCACGAGTGTACAGCCCACCAGCGGCTTCCCCAGCTCGTCCCCCGTCAAGAAGGACGGTGCGAAGACTAAGACGGCGCTGCCGCTACTACATCTCGACTCCCCCACACAGACTGACGGCGCTAACGAGACGTCAGGAGAGGAGGAGAAACTGCGCGTCAGTCGCGAGCGAAACCGTCTCCACGCACAGCGCACGCGTATTCGTAAGCGCGAGCTGTTGGAGAGTCTAAAGGAGCGTATCGAGGCGCTCCAGGACGAATACGAGCTGCTGAAACAGGCCTACGACTTCCACGCCACTGCCGTGTGTCTACTGAGACTCGGCAACGTCGTGGACGTCCCGTGCGTACAGAAACTCGAGCAGGTCGGCATCAACTCGACGGAAGACAGGGACGAGGAAGGACAGCTCTGCGAGGCAGCCAAGAGCTCGCACGAGAGCGACGGAGACGAAGAGTCCCATGAGCACGACCAGCTCAACGCCAACGGCAAGAGACCGTTATCGTCCACAGCCACTAACAGCAATGTGCTCGTCTGCTCCAAGGAAGAGCGCGAACGCGTGCGACGCGAACGCAACCGGTTGCACGCACGGAGAGCGCGACTTCGCAAGAAGCTGGTGCTCGAAAAGAGCCAGCAGGTAAATATGCTCTACAAGTGTATGTTGGAATGAGGAGCAAATTGAACTGATGCTCGTTAACTTGCAGGCCGTACACGACCTACGCGAGCGCAACGACCGTCTACGCAGTCGCCTGAGCGTGCTGGTGTCTTCAATCTACGGCTCCGAGGCCTGTCTGGACGACCCGGACGCTACGTCATGATCTCAACCCCGTACCGGGACGTTGGGAGCTCCGACCCGCTTTTAAGGCGGGCTCTATCTATCGCTTATGTTATCTTTATCTATGGGCCGGCACTTTGACCGGCTGGGGCTGCTTCAATGTAAATACAGCAGCATAGCATTACATTTCCATCTGCTTCTTGGTGTTTCGTTTGGCTTTATCGTTCAATGGTGCAGGAGTCGGGGTGAAGCGTCGTGCTCATAGATATCGCTATCAGCGATGAGTCGACGCCATCCTCGTGATTCCAAGCTGAGGCTGCCGATATCAACGTCACCTGTGACGAAACGGGCTCAGATTTCGCCATTACACGATGTTGCGCCAAAGTTTCGCGACGATGACAAGCTCAGTAATATCAGCGACGATGTGGATACCAACCTGGAAGAAGACCTACTCATGGAGATCCGAAGTACGAGACAGAAAATGTAGGAAATTTTGTATTGCTGATTTTTTTTTCACTGTTCGCAGCATTGGTGAAGAAGGAGAAATATCTGGAACAGCTAGAAGATCAACTACGAGAGTTCGGTGACGACTTGGATAGCGACTCTAGTGGCAATGGAGAAGCTGTTTCGACTTTAACGCATGAAAAATTGTACGAGGACGATGATGAAATGCCATTACGTCGAGTCCAACGCATACCAGAGAAGGATCACTCCTCCAGAACGCGAAAGAGATCGCAGCAACGGACTGGAGACGACACTATCAAGAAGAAATCTCTGCCATCCCGAGCTGTTTCCAATAAAAATGTGGAGATTGCTCGGGAGCACTACAGAGTTTGTTTTGTGGAGGTGAATCCTGTTCAACTTCGAGATATTCGAGCGTTGGTCCTTGTGAATCAAGATCTAAACATTCATCATTTGCGAACATTGAGCAAGAACCTCTTCCTGTTCAGCGCGCTAAAATCCGTCAATTTGTCGGATAACCAGCTCGATGACTCTGGCAGCAAGGAGATCCGTGAGTACATCGCATAAAATGTATGACTTAATGATTTAAACCTTTGCTCTTGCTCTTCTAGGGGAGATAATGTGTTGTCCAGGACTCCAGGCACTCGACTTATCGCGAAACTTGCTAGGACGACTGACAGCTCGTACACTTTGTGAACGACTGCGACACCAAGCCAAATTGCTGTCACTCGATCTCCACGGGAATTTATTCTTCTCAGACGGAGGTGATGCAGCTCGTGAAATTGCTCGCTTGTTTGCCAAAGGTGAGCTTAAACAACCACGGCATAGTAACATTCTCTCTAATACTCTTGCCCACAGCCGTTGCTGTGAATGAATTTCTTTTGCATTTCAGTCTGAGCGTTCCAGATCAACTTGGAAAAACCGTGTCACTTGGAGATCAATGGACAGGCACTACTATTCAGAGAGGACCACGTCAAGTAAAGAGCAAATATATACGAGACAAACACACAGAAATCAGTGCTGCCACGGAATTTAGTCAGCATTTGGCCGATCAGCTTCGACAAGGTGGCAAGCACAGCAGTCTCCAATCACTTAGACTATGCTACGCCGAATTCTCGCGTCGAGCTGTTGTTAACACTGTCAAGATGGCGAACAGACTGACATCGTTGGATCTGTCGTTTGCGTTCATCGGCATCCCGGGGGCTCAACTGGTAGCTGCGGCCTTGAGGATAGATGGCTACTCCACACTCACACAGCTCAATATGCGGTGCAACCGAACGAAATCCATGGGCGCGCGGGCGATTCTGGAGGCATTGAACAAGAACGAAAGACTGACATCTTTGAATCTCAGTCACAACGAGATCTGTAGTGACGTTATTGATGCCGTGGTCGACCTGCTACACTCTAACAAAGCCCTCTCTCAGCTGGATCTCTCACAGAACGAAATAATTGGAGGCGAGACTGAGGAAGAGCTGCGTCGTCTGCGAGATGCTATTGTAGAGCATCGAGGATTGCTGAGCCTGGGCCAGTTGAACAGGTACATCTAAAAGCGACTAAAGAGAGCAGGAGTTGTACACTGATGTGTTTGTTGCTAGCTTGGGTGCGACCGAAGCTCAAGTGCTAGAGCTGCAGGATGATTTGGACAAGAATCGCATCGCCAATGATCACGATATCCTCGCCTCAATCAACAGTGTGACTTCATCGCCCACGGATGAAGCTGCTCCAAGAAAACGTCTCATGGCTAGTATGATAGTAGATCTGGACGACCCAGCATCGCTTACGACGGTGTGGCAGCGGAAGATCTCAGAAGATGGCCGGATTAGTTTGAAGTGGAGAATGGCGGTGAAATCGAAGCTGTCAGGCAATAAGGCGTCAGGTAGCAGCAACGGTGTTGGTGAGGGGTCACACAACTCACCTCTTGTATGGACGCTGATTGTAAATCGGAGGTGCGGAGTGCGTGGTTCACTAGAAGATGAAGCAGCATCGGCACATTTCTGTTTAGAGGAGCCAGGTAAGTTTTAACTAGTGGTGAGTGGTTAAGGCCGACACTTACAGGAGATCATCGTGCAGGGTCCTCGTTTGTGTTGTATTCTGCAGTGGCGTACTGCGGTAATGGTGACACGATATTCCTCAAGCTCGGTGTTGACCAGGAATGTGGCGAAGCCAAGCAGCTGTACAGAGTCTTTGTCAAGGATATCGTATTCATTCTACATCACGTAGGTGTCTGCTACAAATACGTTGACTTCCAACTAACTTACTTGTTTACTTGTGTGTCCCGAAGCCACAAGATCGTCGGCACTTGCTGGTTAACATCCCACGAAGTCTTTCAGAAACAGCAATTCAGTGGCAGATGAGGACCCAGCGACATATTGTGTCGTCTTCAAAGAACCAAGAAGTCGATCACTCATCCTTCTTGTGGGAGGGTGTTGTCCAGAGAGTATATATCCACACCACAGGAGTTTATCGTCTGCTTGCCTGTATCCAGTATCCTACGAAACTCGAGACCACCGTGTTGGAGTCACGCTACTGGTGGAAACTGCAGCGTTCTAGTTGCTGGGATTCTCGTACCAACCACGTCGTGCTCGAAGGAATGTATTTCGACATGCACGGAGTGGTGCAAAGCGGTTGTGAGGTTGTTTTCTACCTGCCTGCAATGGAGTGGATGGCCGGTGAATACTTGCAGCTCTCCGTGACGACACCAAGCCGCGATGTGGTTCTGCAAGTTGTCCAATTCCAGATTTTTCACGAGGTGCGCTACTTTTGAATTTTCTTTACTTTCCCTAACTGGCAATTTTGATTCCATTACTGTTGCAGGTTTCCAACTGGGAACACCCGTCGTCAATCTCCTGTCTTAGTTTTACAGCTTAAGAAAGATTGGCTGAACAACCAGATCCAGACCCAACGTTTCAGGCCGCTGAATAACGGCTCGACGTCTTCGGATCCTCGTTCTCCTTCAGGGGTCGCGTTTACTTTGTCAAAACCTATGCATAGCTCGGATTCAGCTCCGCAAACTCCAATCTTCGCTCAACGCGAAGAACCCCCAAGAAAGATAGCGTCACTATCTCAAGCCGACGGGGAAGCTGTATCCACTCCGGTACAGCCTGTCGAACTGGAGTCCCGCCCTGTGTTAAGTCGACGGACTTCGCTTCGTGCTCAAGTAGTAACGCCGCCATCCCAGCTACAGCTCGAAGAGGAGGAGGAGATAACTGCATCAGTTGAGAGGGATAACGCAGCTCCAACGGAAGAAGGTACCCCGCCATTAAGCGTAGAAATGCCAGCCCCAGTCCTGCCAGTTCGACAGAATACTGCATCGAAGATAGAGGAAGTAACGTGGGCCAACATGGAACCGATCGTCCCGATACAGCCGGCTCCAAAGCTTGGCACTCCAGGTACAGCCCAAACAAGCAAGCGACGCATCACATACTCGGCAGACGAGATCAGTCACCACGCGCTTGATCGTCTTGGGGTCAATTCCGACATCTTGAAGAAGGAAAAGGGAATGAAAAAGCTTGGCATCTGCGACAGCGACATCATTCGAAGCGAAGAGCTACGTCGGTACACTGGAGTTTCCCAGATGGAGCCGTCGTCCAAAGTCGAGTTCATGTTTGGCTTCAACGACCAGCAATTGCATCGCGAGAGAGCTATCAAGCGTCTGGGCACCACCGAACAGGAGATCATGGACGACTACAGCCGTCGAGTGTCTCGCTTGGGCATGTCGAGCACGTTTCCTGTTAAGCTATAGCGATTTATCCATTTGCCAAATGTTGCATGCCAAAAAATCATTCATCCATTTTCAATTCTCACTCTTTGTTTCACATGTACTGATAATTGTTTTTGTCTTTTTCCAACTGGTCGAGTTTGTTGCCGAGGGAAATCCCGTCATTAACCGTCCCGCTTCCCACGTTGCTGCCAGATCCGACAGTATTCACTCCACTGGAAAGATTTGCCATCGAGTTGCTTCCCGACAGTGAAAAAGGTGGCGGATATCCACTATTTGAGCCACTCGGGCGAAGCTGAGCCGACGAATACGAGCGATACGTGGAGCCTGACCCCATGGCAGAAGACGCAGTGAAACTGTGTTGCGAGCTCTGGGATCCTAGTGACGCCTGCTGTTGCTGTTGCTTCTCCAGGAATGATTTCTTGGGTCCACGTATCGGTGCCTTTGTCTCCTGTTTTTGCTGATACTGTTGCTTCTTCTTCTTGTCTTTAGACACAGCACGTTGGGTGGCCAGTGCCGCAGCACTCGCTCGTTGTTGCTCGATAATTTCAGTTTGATTATCATCGCCCACGATTGGCAAGTCAAGGTGTTGACACTGACAATTGCAGTCCGTGACGGGGCATACTGTGTGCACCTTGAACCAGTCTGCCAAGTGGTGCGCATGGCCTCCGTGTTTGCAAGATTGACACCAGGTAAACCACTCCACAAATGGGATACTGGACAGTTGGGCCAGATTCTCGTACTCATTTTTGCCCATTTTGGGTTCTTTCAGCACGCCTCCATTGTCAGCGGCGACGCTGCTCACCAAATTGTTCACTGCGTCCGATGTTTGTCTTGAGCGACGGTGAGCCAGTTCAAAGTAGGGATTCAGCGATCCAAAGGGTAGTAAACACAATGCACACTGCGGGAGCGGCTTGCGGCACGTCGGACAGCACGTGAGCTTCGGCTTGGCACGATTGAGCCACGACGAGTGAGAGCCGCCGAGGCGAAGTAAACTAGCCAAAGAGAGCGAGGCGTTGCAGAAATTGCAGCGTACAAACAGTTGCGGTGGAACGGAGAGCGTCGATGGCGCGGAAAGTTCGGCTTGGAATTCTTCAGCGTCGAAGTCGCGAGAGAAGCTGGTGAAGCCGTTAAGAAGGTCTTCTAGTTGCGAGCGACCAACATCGAAGCGCGCGCGTTCGTGGAAGAGCTGCCACTGGTTGAGTAGGTCTTTGTAAATCTGGATCCACTGCTCCAATCGAGATGATTTCGCCACGTACGAAGACGGCAGTCGTGCAGCTAATAACGCTAGTGTTTGCACGTCTCCCGTCATATCCAAGTAAGTCTGCAGCAGTCGAATGCCGTCCGCGTTAAGTCCAGTCACAATTAACCCTTCCAACCGTCCAAACTGCTCGCTTTCTTCTTCGTGCTGAGCCACAAACGCCAGCAACTCGTCAGCTTGGAGATAGCGACAAGCGAAGGCCAGACGATCGCTTAGAGGCAGTGTGATATCGTTCAGAATCGCTGAGTAAGCTCCAGCACTTGCCGGTCTCGCTCCAAAGGCTGCTAGTCCGTCCACACTCCCCCACTGTTGTCTACGATTATTCCCACGTCGTGGAGGCTGTTGACTTGCCCGCATGGTGTTCATATTTGTCGAATTAGACGACGAAGCTGAGCTCGCGACGCACAAGAAGGACAGCATCGCGTGGAAATAGCGAGGGTTTGCTTGTGACATGATCTCACTGCGTTTGAGCAATTGCTGGGTCATGTTCGACCACAGAGAGAGCCCCCCAGCACTTGCAATGGACGCAGAATACCCGGCAACGGACATGGCGATCAGTTGTAGTAAATCCGGTGAATACGGCGAAGAGACTCCAACGTTCAAGTGCTGCATCTGACTCAGCCACGTCGCTCCTTTCTGAAGTAACGCCACGGCTGCATTCAAGTCACCGTGGAAAACTGCCAGTGCTGCTGCGCGAGCGTAATTACCTTCCAACTCGCATCGATTGAGGATATTTTGGAGCTCGTGTCGACCATTTTCGTTCCAGGAGCGGTTCGCGAAGTGCGCATTCTCATCGTACTGCTTCTGAGGGTTCCAGATACTTGAACTACTGCGATGCATGTTCCTCCCTGCGGCATTATCGAGACCTGGCCCTCCCACACCTGTTGTCGACGATCGAGAGGCCCCTTGTCCACTGTCGGGGTCCCAGTTGCATGCTAGCAAACCCAGTCGTCGTCCAGGTCCTTCAAAGTACTGACAGCCAAGAACTTGATCAATTTTCATCACAGACACGACGGTAACAACAGGCTCTTCTTCTCTGGAATCCTCCTGAGCAGTGGCAGTAGAGCCCGAAGCAGGTCTTGAGGTTGTCGAAGGATCTCCGGAGGCTGTCAATAAGTTCTTCACACCAGCGATAACAAGCGCGTTGGGATCAACTGGCCATCCCCGTAGAGGACCAGCCATTGCAGCATTAACAGCACTGTTGCCAAGTCCATTGCTGGTAGAACGCGACTGCTCCACACGTGACGCTCGAATCCGACGAAGAGCTTCAACCTGGTCCACCCACAGCCACAAGTTGCGCAGTTGACGGCCACGTTGTGTAGGCTCGTTAAACAGCTTCAGGTTCTTGGATAATCCGATAGAGTAGCCTTGTTTAGCCAGCTTGTACATTTCATTTGAGATATCCTCTTCAACACGGGAGACAGCAGCAACGTCTTCTTCCAACGACAGTCGAGTCATAGCTGACGTCCCCAATCCAGGTCCACTGACAGCCCCGCCGAACAATAATCTTCCACAACCGAACGTCACAGCTCCGTGAGATGATAGCGAGAGTGGCATAGCATCGTGCACCGAAATGTCTCCAAGTTCGCCAGATACTGATGCGGTCAGCAGGCGATTCGGGAAGGCTGCTGCAGTAAGCTGGTGTTTCTGTGCACTGCTGCTCTTGCCTACGTTTGTCGCGCGTTGCATCGGTGATGGCGAGTCCACATGCTGCCACGAGAAAGATGTGAGTGGTTCTGATGTGTAGCGTCTACGAAAAGGCTTCTTGAGGGTCGAGGACCCGCTCTCTTGCTTCGTGACATCCCATAATGACACCCATTTCTCCTCGGTAGACGCTGTGACGAGAATCCCTGGCTTTGATGGACACCACGACACTTGTGCCAGGTTCTTACTGGTCTGGTACAGCGATAACAGCGGACCAGATGAAGACTCTAATTGTCGAATATCCCACACCTTCACTGGTTCCTGTGGCGCATCACTGTACGTTGCGAGCATGTGCGGTCGGTGTTGATCGAACACGACTCCCAGTACCGCCTTATTGTGCGCTACCACACTCATGGGCGACGATCCTTTGGCTCTTAAATCATACACTCTCAACCATTTAAACCCTGTACCAGTGGCCAGACACGTCGGTTGTAGCGGCACCCACGAAAGCGCCATCGTAGCTTCCGAATTGGCCAATTCATGGACCGGTTTCGAGTCTGCGGCGGAGAATCCATTACTTCCTGCCCCCACCCCGACACTAGCACTCCCTCCTCCATTGCTGCCTCCTTTCCTGCCTCCATCTTGGTCCAATAATCCCTCGATATTGCCACTACTACTGCTTCTTGGCATCCCTTGACTCCCAGCTGCTGCTCCCACTGCGTTACTCGTGTTCAAGTCCCACACTAACGTGCAGAAATCACTGCGAACCTTCTCGAAGCCTGCAGCTAATTGGTTGGGCACCGACGGGTTCCAGGCCACAGCATGACAAGGACGACTGTACTTGGGCAGGAACTCGCGCATGACGCGGGCTCGCGGGTCCTCAAAGTCGCACAGTAAAACTTTACCCGATCCGGTACCGGTGGCGATTAGCAGTGGTTTGGCTTCGAACGGATACCACTGCAGGCACTTGAGCTGCGAGACTTTGGCGTTGATACGCACGACGCGGAAGGCGCGTTTGCGCTGCGTCGTGAGCGCCGAGGACTCCGGTGCGGCGTCTGCATAGTCGCTGGAGGATGAAGAAGAAGTTGTGACCTCGAATAAACGCAGGTTGTCCGAGCCCACAGCGAACAGCGACGCGTCGTGAGGCGACCACTCCACCACCGTGCGCTTACTCATGACGGTGCTTGTGATAAGGAGGATCAAGGAAAGGAAGTGGTGATTGGTTAAAATTTAATTAATAGAAATTACAGAGTAATTAATTTCATAAAACAAGTTCTTTTATATAAACATAAATCTGTAATTACATAGAAATAATTGTTATTTTATTTGCTTCATAATTTTTATTATTTATGGGTACCACAATTGGATTTATTGAGATAGAAAGTGTTCCCATATTGAAATAACTCTGAATTGTACCTGATGCAAAGCTCTTTTACTTTTCAAAGCTCAGAATCGCCGTGGTGAGAAAATATTGACACGAGTGGGATTTGAACCCACGCCAACGAAGACTGGTGCCTAAAACCAGCGCCTTAGACCACTCGGCCATCGTGTCATTGCACAAAATTGCTTTTTCATACTAACTTTTGCAAGTCAGAATACCTTATATTGCACACTGACACTTACGACAAACCACTAGCAAAGAAATCTTGGCATTGACGATGCTAGTCTAGCTGGCATCCACGTGGACGTAAGAAGAGATGTCGATGATAAAATCGCATTGTCAACTAACTGCCTGTATCTGTTAGATGGCTACAGTTTTTGCCTGCTTCGCTCGTTGATTGGTTGGTGCTTTTCTGCCAATCGTAATGCCTTTACCGCCGACTCCTCCCCTCCAGGCTCATTTCCGCCCTTAAGAGAAAACCGCAGCAGCCACCGCTAAGCCTACAGTCACCATGGACGACGTGTCTCTCAAGCAGAAGCAGACGGACGACAAGGACATGGACAACCTCCTCTTTAACGGTGAGAAGGACGAGACCTCGGCCAAGGAGAACCAGCCCCAGACTCACGACGCTGACTCTGATAGCGACGAGAAGAAATCCAATGCCTCGGCCAAGGCAGGCGACCGCTCCTCTATCGGCAACGTGCTGCCCGTAGATAAGCTTAAGAATGGCGCCAACACTGCCTCCAAGTGCGTCCTATAACACTCATCCTCTAACGCATTGCGCTTCGAAAGCTAACACGTTATCTGATAAACTTGCAGGGTGTTAGGCCAGACCTTTTCCATGTTCAAGGAAAAGTCGGGAGCCGCACTGGAGGCGGCCAAGGCCTCAAACGCTGGCAAGACTATCGCTGGTGGCCTGAGCACCGCCGCCACTGCCAGCCAGGAGCAGTATGGGAAGCTTAAAGAGACAGAGGCCTTCAAGAAGTCGTCGACTCTTGCAAGTGGCGCGTACGAGCGGACGTCTGTCGTCGCCTCGGGTGCTTTGGAGAAGGTGCGTCCGTAGTTGATTATGGATGGTATTCTTGATGTGGAGAACTGACGTACGTGGTTGTTTTGGTGCGTTTTAGGCTCGCACAGCCTCCACTGCAGGACTGGAGATGGCCAAGCACACGGCTGCGGCTGGTATTGAGACTATCAAGTCGAAGACAGGCGGCAAGAAGGGCGAGTAAATTGTTCTCCGTGTCCTTAAGCCTGGCGCGATCGACGAAGCGAAGGCTGTATCCTACGAAACAGCTTGGTTCTCGGTTGACTCATCGCAGACCCTTCTCGTCTGGCTTGGGATTTGTTTATCTGCTTTTTCCTCCACTACAACTTTCCTCTTGCATTTAAGCGTTGCTTTTGCGTACTCGACTGCAGTTAAAAAGACAGCAAAATACAGATAGTCCATTAGACCTTAACTATGGATACATCTCGAATCGATTAAGCCAAGGTGTCCATGTTGCACGAGCCAGTCTCAGCTATGCAATGTGTATCCATCTCGTGGTAGAAAAGATTGCAGCCAATCAGAAAGCGCTTGAACCAAAAGATACGCGATTGGCGAAACGACGCAATGATGACCTTCGCTGCCGAGCTGGAGCGCGTGACTGAGGAGTTGGCAGCGCTCTGTCGACGGAGCTTCGGACCTTGTGGAGAGGAGGCGCTGCTATTCCGTCCTCCAGATGCGCCGATAGTTACGGGCGAAGGTCACGCAATACTGGCGGCGTGGAAGCGAGGGTTGGATTCAGATGATCCACTCGCTGTATTCCTACTCACTGCGGCCAATGGCGTACATCAGCAACTAGGAGACGCATCTAGTGAATTTATTCTGCTAGTAGACGCAGCGGTGGGGCGTGTGACTGGGCGGTTGAGGAGAGAGAAGAATGCTTGGAGTGTAGTGGACCGCGCTCGATTATCACGAGCTTATGGTGAGCTGAAATGGGAGCTGCAACGCGAGATGGAGACGCCAAGTTCCACTCTGTGTGACTTGAAACTAGCCGTGCCAATTGAGTTGGATGCTAAGACAATGCAGCCGTCACAAAAGGTAGGTGGATGTGGTCATGACTGGGACGGATCGTGCTCTAGTGCTGATTGTTGATGCTGAGGAACAGTTTCGAGACGCGAGCGCTAACATTTTGGCTTCTGCACTACGTGGGGTGCTTGGCGAACAATCAGTGGAGTTCGTGGTCGACTTAGTGCTCAAATGGTTTTTCAGTGCATCGCTAGGTAGAAAGCTTGATGCTGCGGAGAATACTGGCAGACTGTTATTCCGCCGTGTGCAGCAGTTTTTGAAGTGCGCTCCAGACGCGATTATTTTCATGGCGGCGCCATCAGTATATTCTTCATACGTTGTTCCAAGCGACGAGTTTATTCTGAAGAAGTCAGTGGTAGCATCACAGCCTCCTGGAATACTCGGTAGATGTCAAGGAACCGTTCGGTTTGCGTGTTTTACGTGCTCACTGTCGTTATCAACTGGATCAAACAACGTCGAGTTCGCAACTTCTACAGATGAGGAATTGTTCACAGCACACGACGCAGCGCAATTGTTTATCTCCAAGTTTGTGCGTCGTCTACACGATGCTTTTCACATTCAGCTAATCGTCAGTGTGGAAGCTCTTGATGACAGCGTAATTGCGACCTGCACCCGTCAGGACATCGCGTGTGTGCAACTTGCAGAGCCAGAAGATGTTGAGGCGCTTTGCATTCGCGCTGGGATATTCCCACTGGCCAGTGTCTTTGATGACATCGAAGAGACTGGCTATATTGGAGTGTGCATGAATGGAGTGACCCGAGTGAGGTTCCAGCAACAGGCGTGTATACGACTGTGTGGACTCTCAAGATCAAGTAACCAACTCAAGGGAAAGCTAAACAGCGAACATCGTTTGGAGGAAATTGTAACCCCTCAGCTTTTGATCCACGCGCCGACGAAAGGAGTCCACAAGCAATACTACTCGGCAATCGTCAAAAGTCTACGAGTACTCAGAAGCTGGTGGGAACCAGTTGATAACTCTGTCTCAGTACTTTATAGTTGCAGAGGCGGGGGAGCGACAGAGCTAGCCATTGCACAGTGGCTACGAGAAGAAAGCGAGACAATTTCGAGTGATCCAGTTATGTTCTCTTTGGCGAGAGAGATTTTCGCCCACGCTCTCGTTGAAATTGTTAGCGTTCTGCGAAACAACTTGACTGAGACTAGCTCAAGCGGCAATGATGAACGATCAGTTGGTAACCAGCGACAGGTTCTTCTCGACGCGTTGAGTAATATGAAACTCACGGATCAACAGAAGCACGCCAAAGAGTATACCGGATATATACTCGACTACTCTCAGGTTATCGAGACCCCCGCAGGGCCAATCCAGATCCCCGAGCTCGTATTCGATGATCCTACAGCATTTGGACTTGTTCATCCGTGGAGACGTATCGACACGCTGTTGTTTCTCGTTCTACAAACGCTAGAGCAACTCCTTCGGATCGACAAAGTCTTTCCGAAGACACCTGCAGATAAAACGAAATAGACCATCATTTCTACAGAAAAAAACTTGATAAAGACCAGCAATATTAGCAGGGCACAGGTTACAGTCGTTCTTTTGAACTGATCAGAGAGAAATATCCAGCAAAGCTGTCGCCCACGTGGATCACGTTAGGAACCGTAGGTGTCATTGCTTGTTCAGGCGACGTCGGGATGTGCACAATGCGCGGCACGTGCCTCTCCAGGTCACGAACGACTCCAGCGTCAACTACAACAAGAGCACATCAGTATTCCCTTTCTAATATTCACAACATTAACTTCTTTCTTACCTTCCACATGAACGTGAGGTTCAATCTGTCGCACGAACGCAATTTTGCCAATAGACGTCGTGCAGAAGAGGATCTTGTGCGCCTTGATGCCGCCAGTCGTGGAGTCATTGCTCTTAAGATCAGGGTGGGTCGCTACGAACTCACGAATACGCTGCATGCTCTGAGCGTCTTTGGCGTCCTTTACCATAAACAGCAGATGCACGTCACACACATGAGACAGATCTGCTAGCAGCGCCGGCACCTCGTCGTTCGTCCAAGCCAGCGCCTCCGGGTTCTCGGTTTTAAGCAGCGCGTCGCCGCTAATGGTGACGGTACGCGCACCGTTGTGCATAGGTAATGTGAAATGCAGACGGAGCTGACGATCAGTAAGACCAGCAGTGGATATGGCGGCGCGCTCGGGCGCTGAAGCCAGCGCCGCGCCGGTGGACGGAGCCATTCGAGCCAAGTTGGCGGCGGCGTTTCCACGCTGAGGCGCGTCCCCCTGGCGCAGTTGCTGTACATACACGTAGCCAGTGCTCAGCATGACTACCAGCAGGATGATGAGGATACCCAGCAAGCTGTCGTCGATCATGCCGTCCACCACCTCGGGGCTCTTGGCGCTCATGGCGATCTGTCTACTGTCGGATTACGATGGATAATGAAGCTAGCCACGTGTCACAAACATGTTCACTTTAGTGACTTGTTTGTTTTTCAATTATGGTGAATAGCATGCCATAATTGAAATTGAGCAACGAGGATGAAGGAGGTGGCGGACGGCTGCTTCCAGCAGCTCTACGGCGAGATCGTGCGCTCCATGGTGCGTCATTCTCCCTCTTTATGGCTAATATAGGTACCTGTGCGTGTGTTGACGAGAATTGCTGCAGCTGGAGCGTTACCCTTGGCAGGTGGAGGGCGCCGACGCGACGACGCCGACTGCGGAGGAGGAGGCGGCACACCGTGAGGCCGTCATCATCAAATTGGAATCCATGGGCTACGACGTAGGATGTCGCTTTGCTGAGCGTGCAGCCAGAGACCGACCGCGCATGCTGGAGCCGCTGGACGTGATCAAATTCGTGTGCAAGGACTTCTGGATCGCCATCTTCAAGAAGCAGATCGACAAGTTGCAGACCAACCACCGCGGCGTCTTCGTGGTGCAAGACTTCAGTTTCCGCTGGCTGGCAGGGATCTCTGCGGCCACAGAGCAAGAAACGAGGGAGATGGCGTTGCTCTTCCTAGTTTTCCCCTGCGGAATGATACGAGGCGCACTCGCCAACCTCGGACTCACTGCCATCGTCAATGCTGACGTCCCCGACGTCCGCGCGCTTCCTGGATGTACGTACTGCACTTAAAACTGCATGGGAGGAAAGTGACTAACTAGTGCTGCATTGTGTCGTAATTGACGAACTATGGACAGGTTTATTTAACATTAAGCTAAAGCAGGGGTGACCCATTTCAAGAGTGACATTGTCCAGGGTACCAACACCCTGATTCAATCCCACAGGCCGTTAATACCCCCACTATCAATTTTCGCTTTCTTCTCTCAGCTTTCTTCACTGCCGCTGAGCAATGTTTGCTTGCCGAAAGTCTCGATGAACTCGTCCAATTCGTCCGAATGACCGCCACGAGCACGGCCCCTCGGCAGCTGATCCGGACGGTAGAAGTCGATGATCAGCACCAGACGCGTCTCATCTGGATGGTGGTTGAATGCGTAGTGCAGTTTGCTGTCGTCAAACACGATGAACTCTCGCTCAGCGTGGTACGTGGTCTCTCCGCCCACTACCATAGCACAGCATGGATCTCCGTTGGGCAGCCTAGGCACTACGAGAGGAAAGTGGACACGGAGAACATGATTGGCCAGGTCCGCCCAGCCACGGTGTGCAGTCAGCGTCGTGTTGGGGCCTAACTTGGAGAACAACGCAGTGCGAATGTTCGGCAAACTCTTGAGGATTTCTGCCGTCCGAGGACACATGGAACACGTGGTAGACACCCACGTCGTCTTGGACGCGTCGTAGGCTGGGAACGTGTAGCAAAACGGGAACACACGCCACTCACTGTCCCCTTCAGTATAGTGTTTCTCCGGCCAGAACGGCCACGTCGCCATTTGCTGCACAGCCTGCATCTCCTCCAGAATCACATTGTAATTATCCTTCAGCGTGTCAAGTTGTGGGAATAACTCTTGATACGGATAGTAGTTGGGGGCATCATCATCCTGAATCTCTTCGTCCGATGAGTAGTCCAATCCGTCACCAACCCAATCAGTTACATGTCGGATATCTTCCTCTTCGTCTGTGCTGCATTCGTCAGTCTTCCGCAGACACAACAAGCGGTAGCCCATCTGGTCACGACGTAACAATTCATATAGTGGCGAGTGCTCGACGAAGAAAAAGGTCTCGAGCTCCGAATGGAACTCCTGGGGTGTGAACTGATGGATCAACTCGCGGGTGCTGCCTGAGCTGAGTTTCGCACCCATCGCTGCTTCGTATGACACCAATTGCTCCTGTACGATCTCAAATAGTGGAGTTTTGTTCTGTGCTGATGAAATAGGGGACAGCAACGAATGTTCCAAGTGATCCGCTGTCACGTCAGGCGGGATAAAGTCCGCGACGAACAGAAGTCCTCCAGGCTTGAGCACGCGTGCGATCTCGTTCACGGCTCTGCCGAGATTCTGCACCTCCTGCAAGCTTTGAACGGCTACTGCCACGTCCACTGAGTGGGTGAGTAGTCCCTTCATCCTCTCGCATGAATGCTGATACAGTCGCAGCTTCTTCTCCTGGAACTCAGGCATCTGCTCTGTGAAGTAGTTCCACACCTCTTTGCTCCGTTCCAGAGCTTGGATGGAGATGTCCAGTCCCACAACCTCAGCTTTAGGGTACAGTGTCTGCAGTTCGCACAGACCACCGCCTGCGCCACAGCCCAAGTCCAAGATCGTAAAGATCTCGTTGCGTCGCGCGTCGTGCTGCGCATCGACGTCCATCAGGTTGTCGTAGAGCTGCAACTGGAACCTGTCGGCCGGGTATTGAGCCTGGAATTTGCTGGAAGGCGCGTCCCCGCTCACATCCCCACTGGTGACGGCGGCAACAGCAGCGGCACTCGAGTTGACATGAGTGTCACCGCGAGGGTGGAAGCCCACATTGCAGCACACTCGGTGGTACTCCGCGTAGATGGGAGAGTGAAAGATGCCGTCGTAGAATTCGCGCACGCTTGGGCACCGCGCCTCGCTGCCAGCCACACCTTCACCAGGCGCCATGCTGCCTGAGTCTTGGACGTCTTGTCGCCAAATGACGGCTTCAAGCCAAGTCGGTGATGCATGAAAAGAGCACGTCTATGCGACTCGACATCTGAGTAATCAGATCTGAGTCTACTTAGAAAGATATATTTTTAAAATATAAATTATGGGAAAAGTAAACAATATTGCCAAAAACAAGTGCCTATTTTCAAAATAGGTATTTTTATTCTTTAGAAACAAAAAAAATGGCTGATGCCGAGCAGCGCGAAGCAGCCACCGAAGAGGACACCCTCGGGGCCGAGAATGAGTATGGGCTGCAAGATCTAGCGCGGCTTCCTCTTCTGGAACAAGTTCACCGCTTATTCCACGCCATCCAGCACAAGTATCCCTACAAGGAGGTATGTACAACTACCAAAAGCCGTGAAACAGTCCAACACCTCACTAATGCATCAACTACGTATAGACCAATGCATGGAAGACTCTGCCACTGGATCAGAAGAAGAAAATGCTGAATTACATTCGCGACAAGCGGCAACGCAAGCAACAGAGCGATGCGGAGTCCAAGAGCGAGGCAACTGCTGATGACGACTCCAAGTCGGAGGACAAGGAGCCTCCAGTGGACCCTGCAATGGCTGTCAAGTCCGATCCGTATCTTAAGATGCTGCAGCAAAGGAGTTTACGTTCGGCTGGTCCCGTTGAGACTGGAGAAGATGGAGCTGCTCTACCCAAGCACCCAAATAGTGCCTACGTTGCGCCTGCGCAGGTGCCACATTATACCCAAGTCAAGCCCAAGTATAAGCCGCGCTGGCAGGTCGCGGAAGGAGAGTTCTTTGAAGAAATCTGCGTGTGTGGTGTGAAGCATGATACCGGCAAAAAAGGCAAGAAGGCGTCCTTGATGCTGCACACTATCAGCTCTATGATGAGCACGTTCGGTGACAGTACACAATCCTGTGTGACGGCTGTGGAAGAAGTGCAGGCGCTGGGTAAGTCCGTGAAGAAATGGAGCTTTATGTGTATGAAGTTTACTGATGATAGTGCTTGTGTTACCTGGTCATAGTTGGGGATCATATGAAGAAGGTTTTAGGCTCGGTGAACCCGGAGGTGCTGACAGCTTCGTCGTGTTTAAGGGTACGGTTAGCTTCGCAAACGACTTCATGGTTTTGCTGTGAGTTGTTGCTTATGGTGGTGTTTTGCTTTTGCAGACACTAGTAGAAATATTCGAGGAAGAGGCAATATATTACGGACGTTGGCGAGAATTCCGCGGCGAGACGAAGCATGAACAGAACGAACTGGAAGATGTGGAGGAAGAAGAACTTGCAGAGGAGCTGGACCTCTTCGCTGTATCGGAGACCGACGACGTGTTTAACGAGGCGTTTCTGGTGCGGTGTATATAGTTGATGGGCTGAGGATTTAGTTACTGATACTATCGATGCTTTGGACGTACTTATGCAGGAGCGGATACGCTTCGCCGACGAGCGGACAAAGAAGATGGACTGGTCTATCTACGACGTGTTTGCAAGAGGCCGCAAACTGAATTTCATGAACAACAAAGCGCAGCAATTTCGCGAATGGTTGGGTCTCGGAAAGATCTCGCGCGCATCGCTCGAGTTCCTCAACTTCGTTGCTTATCACAAGTACGATGCGTCTCAACAAATGCCCCCCACTGAGTTATTGACTAACCTTTTCGTTCTCCACGTGTTAGCATTGGCCGGTTAGTGGAGTTGGCAATCAAGAATCGGACAGGTGGAGAGCTGAAACAACTAGAGTCTCCTTTGCTGAAGGATGACATCGAGTGAGTATCATCATTTTCTTCCTATTATTCCACATTAGAGTTTTCTAACCCTTGCAATTCCTCAGGTCCGTGGCGTTGACATTCCTCCCAGCTCCACCCCTCCCTAAGCTCATCGACCGACCACCTGCCGCGAAAACTCGACGCGTTGGCGCTACTACAGCGAGCAGCAAGAGCGTCCGCGTGGAACCCCATTCCAGGATAGATTCCGAGGCAAAAGCATCCACATCAACAGAGTCAAGCACGAAAACTGAAGCAGTAGGGACAGTCAAGCCAACGATCGCACCTTCGATCGTCAGTGCTAGACCTACGCGACTTAAAAGGCTGCGTTAAACCCCTGCAGTAGGACCTACCGAACAATCCATTCAATGCCTTTTAGCAACCTCAACTATGTTGCCTCATGTGCACCTCTTCGTCGCGTCTTTGAACGATCGCAAATCAGAAGAACTCTCATGGTCTCGAGTCGAACTCCGCTGCTTACATGCGTGAGCGTCGTGTGGCGCGAGCGTCAGGAAGCGCTAGGCCTCCTTCCGCACGTGGCTGCTCTGATCTCGGCGTATTTGGACAGCTCGCAACTCTGGAACATCCCTCAAGCTCTGGACTATGGCTATTTGCATCTGCTGCAGCGACTCGGCGCCACTTCACGACGGCTGCGACCGCTATCGAATCGCGGTTGCTTCCTGTCGGCAGCACAGAGAGGTAATATTGCACTGTTGCAATGGTTAGCAGCATACGATCCGGACTTTAATGGTTATGGTGGAGTACTGGACCACGCGGCTGAACATGGCCAACTGGAAGTGGTCAAGTGGTTGGATAAGAACATCTTGGACTTACAGGCCAGCACCAAGGCAATGGACTTGGCTGCAGCACACGGACACCTTAAGGTTGTGCAATGGTTACATTATAACCGGAGTGAAGGATGTTCACATCATGCCATCGATGAAGCGGGGGCTCGAGGACACGTCGAAGTTGTGGAGTGGTTGGCCACTAACCGTAACGAAGGGGGCACTAAATACGCGATGAACTTTGCTGTGTGGTACGGTAATTCTCGCATGGTGCATTGGTTGTATGAACATCGTAGCGAAGGGTGCAGTATCCACGCCATGGTGTTCGCAGCGAAGAGAGGGGATCTTGAGCTGCTCAAATGGCTCTTTGGACACAAGGAGGAGCTTCTGGCCTCCGATGCAGAGGACAACTCACCTTTGATCATGGATCACGCAGCGGAATACGGACATCTCGACGCGGTCCAGTGGCTACACGCAAATACTACTGGTGGATGTTCCACGGACGCAATGAATGGCGCGGCGCGTGGGGGATACTTGGAGATCGTAAAGTTCTTGCACGAGCACCGCTCTGAAGGATGTAGTAGCAACGCGATGGACGGCGCTGCACGAGGTGGTCACCTGGAAGTGGTGAAGTTCTTACATGACCATCGCCGTGAGGGCTGTTCGTACTTGGCAATGGACTACGCGGCTGCTGAAGGTCATCTGGACGTCGTGAGGTTTCTACATTCTCGCCGCAATGAAGGCTGTAGTCCATGGGCAATGAACTCAGCAGCAGGCGGTGGACATCTTAATATTGTTAAATTTCTACATGAGAACCGAAGTGAAGGCTGCACTGAGCGAGCTATCGATCGAGCGGCAGGCGGCGGATACCTTTCTATTGTGAAGTTTCTTCACCAAAATCGAGCGGAAGGATGTACCGCAGAGGCCATGGATGCGGCCGCTTGCTTTGGACACTTGGAAGTGGTTAAATTTCTTCACTTTAACCGCAGGGAAGGATGCTCTCAAAGCGCGATGGGCGCTGCTGCGCGCTGTGGTCATTTGGACGTTGTGAAATGGCTGCATGACCATCGTTACGAGGGCTGTTCGACCGACGCAATGGACGGCGCGGCTTGGTTCGGACACCTGGATGTTCTTCACTTCTTGAAGGAAAACCGCGTTGAAGGGTGCACTAGACGAGCTGTGCGCGACGCGTTAATTGGTGGTCATGTGGAAGTGGCTCGGTGGCTTGCAGAAAACTACCCGCAGTGTCGAATTAGCGGGGTGGAGTTGAGTGCTTAAAGCTCGAGGGCAAATTGACCGTGTACAGAGCTCAGGTCTTACTGGCATGAAACACTTACTACATGTAGTAACGAGTCGAGGAGTTCTGCATTCATGGTGGGAGAAACTTCTCAGTGAACCAAGAAATACAGATCAACGCAGTGAACCAAGAAATACAGATCAACGCAGTGAACCAAGAAATACAGATCGATACTCCCAGTGGATCATCGATCTGTAGTACTACGAACTTGATTCATACGCTCCATGGTCACGAGCTGCACAATTCAAGCATGACTCGAGCAGCACTCTTGTATTTGTTGTGCGTTACTAGTATCATAGAGTCTTATGATCTGGCTAGGCTCTCGCGCAGCAGACATCGCGGAAACATCAACATTATCTTGGCAGGTCGCCATGACGGACTTGTTGGAGCCAGCAACGGCAAATACCGGAGATCTTATCCGTCTCCGTACACGCACGACACGATGCCGCTTTCTGACGCGCTGGCAGCATCGTGTAGGCTCACCGCTTTCTAGGGGATGAGCTCTGCATCCAAGCTGCTGCCCAAGTCGGGCACAGCTTTGCAATGTTACGACGGGATCCGTACCGGTTCAACGATCCAATTCCATCTGGTGGTCGAGCTCGACCGGATCCCGTGGTTTCCCCCGCTTGCGTTTGTGTGGGTGACGCTCATGCCATGGGCCCCATGGCTGTCGAATCGAATGCCACGGCTTGCTGAGCAACATCCAGTACAGTTGGTTTTTGTGTATGATCCTCTCCAAAGCTCCGAACTGTTTCAACACACAGACATCGGTTCGCATTACCCGTTCGTCCAATTTGGAAGCTCCAAGCCACATGTACCGACCGACGTTCGACTCGGACGTCGTGACCCCGAGACAGGCATCAAAGCCTTGAAGAGTTCACTTCAATCAAGTGCACCACTCCTTGTAAAATGGTGTCATGCCTTACCTTACGTACCCTCCGAGCCCATCTGCAATGTACTGTAGACTATAGGGGCTGTGGCTCAGAACGACTCGTTCTGCAAGTTGCTGAGAGCGGCGACGGGATCAGCTCCAAGTGGGCCACGCCCGGCAGTATCGTTCGCGGCGATTGACACTATGAAATTCGGAATTTTTTCTCGGACAAAATGTGCCATTTGGTACTGCAGTCCAGGAATGACTGAACTCTCGCGTTAAATACTTGCGTAAAGTTTAAGAGTGGCTGTGCCGTCGTTTTCGCGCTGGGTTGATGGTGAATCACCATTGGTGGTGAATTCCCTCCATGATTCGCTTTCACTCTCGTTCGATTTGCGGTATAACTTGTATCGCCAAAAGCGGAGATGGTTATCGAGATAGTCGAAAATGAGATCTGGCATACAAATCCCAAGCATACCATGACATTTTGTAAGATAATTGTACAAAGTTCGGTACTGTAAAAAAAAACTCTCGTTAATCCTGACCACGTTTTACTGTCCTCTTCAAAGAGCTCACTTCAGTCGGTTTGCCCACGTTCTGCCCGCTATCCGGTTCGACCTGCCCATGCGCATGTATCACTGACGCGTTCGTCAAGCAAGCAAGGCGTCAAACCCAATGGCAGTGTCATCGACCTCGCTCAGCACCGCGTCATAGCCTTTTCTGCATTATCGGATCGCCCGGGGAGGCCAAACCACTGCCATGAGTAGCGGCCACACGTCTTCCAGGCGTTCCAACAGCTCGGACAGCGCCTCCACCGTTGCTGGGCCTGTCAGCGTTGCTGGCACTACCAACGGCTATGGATTCCGCAGTGCTGGTGGCGATGCGTTATCCATCGAGATGCAATTCCTGAATCCGCGTAGACGCTTCCCACTTGCAGACGAATATCTGCCAGCTGTGCATGTGACGGAGGAACAGGTGGAAGATCTTCGAGAGACGTGTGAGCAGCTCACCGCCGACGCTCTCGAACTCACCAGCATGTTCGCGTGGGAGGACAGCAACAACAACGATCTTGTGGGCGAACACCGCGAGCAATGGAAGGTGCACTACAAGCGTCCACACGTGACACTATACCGCAAGAAGCGCGGGAAGGACGTCACATCGGACGAACAGGAGGACGCGTCGGACACCACCAATGGCGGTTTGCGCCACTACGTCGTGAGCGGACAGATCCACGACATGAGTCTGGAGGACGTCGAGTACGGACTCTACTGCGACGCCACGCTGGACGAGCGCGCCGTTATGACAGACCTGTACCGCGAACTCTTCTTAGACGCAGCCGTGCTGCGTAGCTTCGAAACACAGACACCGGAAGATCCGTTCCACTTCTTCGGTATCAAGTGGTTGGCCCATTTAAGTCCGGCAGACAAGTTCATCTCACCTCGAGACTTCGCCTTCGTCGAGTATTCACAGCGTGTAGTTGGCCCCAAGGGCGAGCCGCTACTTGTCAAAGTGCAACAATCTCTAGGTCCCGAACACGTCGATGCCATGAACCGCCGCGAGTTTGACCTCGTACGAGCTCAGATGAACTGCACCACAGTATATCGTCATGACAAGCGCGCTAATAACGTCCAGGTGATCGCCCGTGGTTACCTGGATCCATGTGGAAGTGCTCCTGCTATTATGACGCGATCATTCTTAACACGATTAGCACCAACTCTTGTCGAGGTGGAGCACAGCGCTGACGTCAAGTACATTATGCGTCACGGACTAGTGCTACCAAAAGAGCAGTTTCTAGCGCGTCGCAACGCGTTAAAGGCCCATGGTCGCCACCGCTTACAATGCACTGCATGTGGCAAACGCTTCGGTCGTCTAAAGCGCCACCTGACGCAGTGCCGTGCGTGTGGTGAAGCTGCTTGTGGTCGGTGTCTCATGACGTTCACATTGTGTCTTCCTAACCACGAACACCGGAGTGCTGAACATCCTAGTGCTGTGATTCCCGAGCGCTTCTGTCTGCGTTGCTTATACTCTGGTCGTCTCGATCGTAAGGGCCAGCGTATGGACGACTTCCTGCTCGGTGGGACGTTGCTTGCATCCACGACCGTCCCGACCGTCGATGATGACGAAGAAATAGACGATGACGATGTATCGGTGGTGGAATTCGCGATGCTCGGTGACGATCCTGGAGCAATGCATGCAGCCATTTCAGAAGCACAACGTCTGCAACGCTTAAAACAACGGTATCTGGACAACGAGAAGCGCAAATATCTCGGTGGCCATCAACAGACTCCAGTGCAGCGTTTGGTCATGGAGCAGCAGTATCAGATGCACCACTACGAGCAAGCTACTCGTCGTGTCCGCCCACCTATAACTCGAAGAAGCAGTCAGCCGGTGAACGGCACCTCAGTGGATTCCGGTTCGATCTCGTCTGCGCACAATTCCGTTTCGTCGGCGTACAGTTCCCTGTCAATGGGCAGCTCCACGTATTCATCGGCAGAGGCTGCAGCGGCAGCCACTGCTGCACTGCAAGCCAACGCTGGGTTTCATGAGATGGAACATTCTATCGGTGAACAAGAAGCACTGCTGCGCTCACTTCAGAACGAGTATGCCAAGATGAGCATGAACAGAAGTATACAACGTACACACTCGAACCCAAGTTTCAACGCACAGGAATTGCGTGATAAACGTTTGGCCGAATGGCAAGCTGCAGAACATTCGACAGCATCCAACCACTATTATGATATCGACGACTAGAAAGAGAGGTATCGTCGTTAGTGAATGAGTGATTACAGTAAGTAGCGAGCAGAATATCCTACCCTTATAAATGTGACGAGCTTGATAGTGATAAAAAGGAGTCTACTGCATCGTGTTTCGAGAGATACAAGTCTAAACGCTGATGCCAATGTGTCTAAAGTACGTACATATCCGGTTCGAGACTTCAGCAACCTTCCTTCCTTCGATGTTGGGAGTGCTGTCGTCACAAATATTCCGCTTTCAAAGCCTGAATCGACGTGATATCCGCGTTGAAGTCGATTCCGAGTTCATCCAGTCGCTCTCTGTCTCTTTCCACATATGAGGAGTATGCACCTGTGTGTCGGATCTTCATGAATGTGTTTCCGAGTCTGAGCCCTCGTGATGCTTCAGGCCAAGGCTCTTCATTGGGAACAACAAAGTCAACCGGTACCCAGCCAGATCTGTATACTTGTTGGAATGTTTCCAGCGCCGGCATAATCTTGTAGGTCCATCGGTCGTCTTCCGGAGACCAAGTGAATCCTATCGCCTCCAGTTTGTCCTTGTCTCGCTCCGTCATGTCGTCGTAGTTGCCTCTGCAGCGAATGTTGGCAACCGTCGCTCCCAATCGCATTCCTCTAGTCGCTTTCGGCCACTTCTCGTCGTTCGGCACGACAAAGTTGAAATTCACATTGCAGTGTCCAAACTCGCGCTTAAACGCCTCCAAAGCCGGGAAGATCTTGGTCTCCCACATGCGGATCCTCCAGCTCTGCATGGAGAAGCCGATCCTCTCCAGTTCCTCGTGAGAACCCTCTCGTTGGGCTTTGTACGTACCGGCATACTTGACACTCATGACAGTCTGTCCAAGTTTAAAGCCCCACAACACCTTTGGCCATTCGGCATCCCCTGCCGGGACCACGTACTTGGCGGGAACGTCACAGTGACCATTAATTTCGCTGAATTTCTTGAGCGCTGGCAGCACCAGCACGTCCCACTTGCGCTGCCGCATATCCCATGGGAAGTCGAGAGTCTCCAGGTCGTCCACTGCGAAGAACGGGAGACTTTTTCCCTGCTGCTTAAGCGCACGCAAGTTCTTGCAATACAGGCCTAGCGGGTAGCCCCAAGTCTTCTCTGGCCATTTCGGGTCTCCGTGCGGCACTGTGAACCTGAGAGGTACCAGCAGATGCTTCTCTAGAGTTAGGAAAGTCTGCAGACTCGGGGCGATTGTTTCGACCCAGGCGCGTGCGTTGTACAAATAAATCGGGACGGATTTGGTTGGTCTAGAGGTAGATGAGATGGCAGCGCATCGGATGGTACCCGCCTTAGTCCCTATAGCGGTCTGTGGGCGGCATACCAAGCTGGCGCGTACAGCCAGGAATGCACGGAGCATTCCTGTTGATACGCGAGTATGTGGTCACTGGCAATCTCGAAATAGGACACCGATTAGTGACTACAGGTACGCTATTCAATGTAAAAATTGTAATGCCGATGGTGTGGCGTACATAAAGGCAACTACTGTTGAAGTGGGAGTGATTTGTCCCCTTGATCTCATGCTGTTTTTTTTTACTGCATGGGATGCGTGCAGTGTGTGGTCCAGCTCTGTTGCATTGATATTAACGCTAGTGGTGGATGTGATCAATGCTGTCTATTTAAGGCTGTGTGGGATGTGGGAGCGAAAATATTGACAGAACAATGTGTCCAATGGCAGTTCATTTGTTTCAACGGACCGATTGTTGGTGTGAAGGAAAGCGTTGGCTATTTCTCCGTTCACCTTCACTTGCTCACAGACGTTTGAAGCATCTCGAAGCAAATTAGCCCGCAAATATGATGACTGAAAGCAATAACCTGCTGTACCACCCGCACGGCGCAGGGTTTGATCGTCTCGAGGAGATGGAAGGTGGAGCATTGACACGATATCCAGTTTTACGATCGGTTCCAGCGCACATTCCTCGTCCTTGGAGCACACGTGGTGCAATAGCCCTTCTCATGGTGTGTGGCGTGATATTCGGAGCCATCGCGATAGCCACTTTAAACGGATCTTCAAGTGAGGCCACCGCTGCGGATACTGCCGAGGCGACGAGTGCAGAAGGAGTGTCGATTGTTGGTGGGTCGGGGCCTGACTCAGGCAGCTTTGAAGCTGGTACTGTGGACACGGAGTCGTCGTGGCTGGATGACTCCAATCTTAATTCAAAGGCTGACAGCAATTCGAACGACTCATCAAAAGACACAGCAGTCGATACAGCAAGTAGCTCAACTGCTATTTCTCAGGACTCCCAGCAAGAAGAGTCGGCTAGTAGCTCGGATGACAGCATGGCTGATTCGTTTTTCAAAGATGTGCTGGACGGAGACTCGCAGTTCGGGTCGTTTCAGAGCTCGACGTCAGATGCTTCCGATTTTGATGATGCTTCGGCAGACAGCGAGGAAAATGTTGTGATCTCCGCATCTGATTCCCAAGATGCTTCCATGGACAACTGGTTCAGCGAGTCTACTTTAGGTTCACTAGGCGCCGAAAGTGCTTCAACATCTGACTGGCAGACTTCATTGTCAAAGGGTGATGAAACTAGCGACTCCACAACTAGTTCCACAGACAGTTCCATAGATTCCTAGTAACCGACTTAACATCCAACCACTTTCAAATGCAAGTTCTTATTATACTTATCAGCATTTACCTACCCGGTCAGGCACCGCATACGGTTGTAGTAAGCAAAAAATTATACTAGTAGCTTTCAGGTGGCAATAATTTTCACTAAAGCAAAGCAGTGAAATTTAAACTTTCACTTTAGCAAAAACTGTAAATTAAAAATTGTTTATTCTGTATCTTAGGTTTCCATCATTTGTGTGTACTTTGGAGTAATTCTAGAAAATGACAGTGGCGAAGAACTTGCTGGCTGTGCGTGCCAAGGTGGCGGAGGCTGTAGCCAAGAGCGCCTGGAAGCAACAGTGTACGCTAGTAGCTGTGAGCAAAACCAAGCCCGTGGAGGATCTGCAGGAGGCGTACGACGCTGATCAACGACATTTTGGCGAGAACTACGTACGTGTCGGTTGTCGTTGTGCTTTTTGGATTTCTATCATTGTGACGATATTTGTGGCAAATGATAAAACATAGATCCAGGAGCTGGTGCAAAAGGCGCCTCTGCTGCCGGCAGACATCAAATGGCACTACATTGGCCACGTGCAGTCCAACAAGGCCAAGCCGCTTGTGCGTGACGTACCCAACCTTTTCGTAGTCGAGACGGTGGACTCGATCAAGATCGCCAATGCCCTTAACAAGGCATCAGGCGAGTTTCGCACCGAGAAACTCAATGTGATGGTGCAAGTGAACACCAGTGAAGAGGAGCAGAAGTCGGGCATCGATACCGACGGATCGGTTGAGCTGGCGCGCCACATTGTGGCGTCCTGCGAGCACCTGAACCTCACAGGACTCATGACCATTGGTCGTTATGGTGACACCACTTCCAAATGCTTCGACCGTCTGGTGGCCTGCCGTAAGAAAGTGGCTGAGGCGATCGGAAAGGCCGAGACGGACCTGGACCTGAGCATGGGAATGTCCGGAGACTTTGAGCTGGCGGTAAGAATAATTAGAGTGGGGCAGGAGAGATGGTGGTGTGGAATACTGAAGGGTTTTGTGTTTGATATGCGTAGATTTCCTGCGGTAGCACACACGTCCGTGTTGGATCAACCATCTTTGGTGCTCGCAACTACGCTAAGAAGGAGTAGACTGAAGACAGAAGAAAAAGAAGCAACAGGTGTTGGCAATCTAAATTCTTGATCTAGAATCTACATTTTAGATGAGTTAGAGCAGATCAAAAGCCAATGCAGACTGCAGGTCGAGGTTGCTGTTCTCGTTGTTCTCGGACCATTTCGCAGCCAATCGCACTGCGTCCTCTGTGGGCATACACTCTCTGGTTGGATCTTCCTCTTCTTTTTGCTGTTCCTGATGCCGATCGAGTCGCTCTTTTTCCTGCCGAACAATGTCTTCCATATCGATATAGGTCGTCTCCGGCTCGCTCGGATACATTTCACGCCATGTTTTCCCAGCCTCTGTCGCTTTCTTTTGCATTTCCTCTACCTCAGCACGTCTCTGCTTCCGCTTGGTCTCGGCTTCCTTCGCTTTTTGTTCACGTTCAATTCGTCGCTGTTCCAAGATGTGCATGGACATCATATCCTTCCGGTGAAATCTGTCCTCTGGTAGTTCTTCGTCTTCTAGTACAGGGTCCCAGCGAGGAGTAGTTTTCGATGTAAGTCCACTACCAAGTGATCTGTCATTGGACTCCGCTGCATTGGCAAGATGGAACATCTCCACTAGTGACTTGGGTTTTCTAGATGTAGCCGTTGTTCTTCCCTCTTTATCGCCACCTTGAGCCTCATTTTCTTCGTTCAGCGCTCGAGCTAGTAGCCATGGAGCTGAGCCGCAGTCGGGTCCAACATTATTCCACGACTTATCGATTCGGAATGCTATCTCCATCGTGTTGCGACTCTGATCCAAGCAAAGTTTAGAAGAGTCTAAATCTACGGGATACGGAAGAAAGATATCTGCACGAAGCACAGAATGTTAAGCCCTCGCAGCACTGAAGCAGTGAAAAGTATCGCACTTACCCAAATCATGGTGAGTAGCGGCCTTGACGCTCAATAGCTCAGCATGCAATTCCAGCCCGATGTCACTTGCTGCTTTAATCTTGTTTTGAAACTGAATGGAGACGACTAACCGATCCCCTGCTTGCTCCAGTACCTCAGGCGACAGTGGTGTACTGTCCTTCGACACAGAAGGCAGCCTCGAGCAAACCTTACGGCTGTCGTTGCGCTCCTCAAACATATCATACTTCGCTGTAGCTGTCTTAGGTGCGTTCGATGCGGTTACTGTTTTCTTTGCAGCAGATTTTGCCTTCCCAGTTTTCTTTAGCACAGTTGCTTTGTTCGCAGCAACTTCTTGGATGATTGGAGCTTGCGTTTTGCGAATGTAGTGCTTCGGCGGCGGTAGTTCTCCACGATATGTCAGCCGCGGCAGTTTGTAGCGATCATCGAGCTTGATTTTGTACTGTAACAGCCAGAATGCGTAAGTTTATCTCGTCATTACAGAGCTCACCAGGAAGATCATAAAACTCATACCTTCTGGTCGATGTACTCGATGGCGAGCTCACACACAAAGTTGCGGAAGGCTCCTGTTTTGTCAACTTGGCAGTCTTCCACCACCTTTGTATTCACCGCCACGTCAAAAGCCAGCGAGCTCACTCCTTTCTTATCCTTCACCTCATGTGGCGCACCTAGACTAAGTGGTACGTGAATTCCCTGGTCACACATAGCAGACCGATTTCAGTCGACAAGGAAGAATTCCAGTATCACGGTAATTACTTCAAAACCCCTTACTTCTTGCTCCTTTCCCTCGTCGTCTAGCTTCTTCTTCTCTGAGAACGCTTGAATTTCATCGGCATATACTACATTTACAAAAACCTGTTACACCACAGCGTTAAGGTCACTAAAGGTAAATATCTCCAAAGTCCTTGGGAAACAGGGCAGCTTTTATCAAACCTTCTTCTTGCTCTTGACGTCGGTCATCTTCATCACGAAACCAGGTTTTACATCGATATACATCTGCCATTAATCACACATTAAAAGTTAGCTGTATAGTCAACCAATGGACTTGATGGAAGTTCACTTCGTACCCCCTCGGGAGTGGCTTTCAAGCCGTCCTCCCCCATGACCTTGTCACCAGGAAACCGAGGTTTAAAATCTAGTACCCATCAGTTATACAATGTGCCACCATATTTAGGTTAGATGAATCGCCAAGACCACTTCATATCTCGACTTTCGAATGTGTCATACCTGTCGAATTGGCGTCCGCAGCTCCTCCCCGAGCACCTGCCGAGCTCTTGAGCATGTCGAACAGTGCTGCGTCTGCGTCACTTTGTGGTGCACCAGCAGAGCCTTCCGGTCCCAGTCCAGCAGCTTGCATCTGGCTCTGCATTGTAGCGATGAACTGGTTATAGCTTTCCGGATCCGTCTTCTCCAAATTGTCGAGCCACTGTTGGCACGGTTACGAGGCAGTGTGAGCAAATTCAACCTTCGTTGTGAGTAGAATTCACAGCTCTTCAAGTGGATTATCAATAAGGATCGTACATCAGCATACTGCTCCATGGCCGCGTCATCCATCGGCGCATCCATCTTCGCTGGTTATGAAGAGTCACAAAAATGTGGAAATGGCCAAAACGGATTCGGATAAGTACGATACGATATGATACGATTAAGTAGGTCATATACGAATGCAAAACCTGGACCTGTATGACTATGCTATGACGATGATTAGCGTGGCGAACGATAGCATGGAAAAGCAGACAACAGAGCAGAGAACGCCGTGGATTTGACTCGTTCTTTCATTTAGCCCAGCTCGTTGGGGTTACGACGTGCCCGGAAGCGACTGCATGAGCCTCACCACAAGCCGAGCGCAAGATCCCAACAGTGTTTGTAGCAATAGTGTCGAAGTACACCAAAAGCCACTTACATGAGGTCCACGAACGGCTGCGCAGCCATGGTGATAGGCTTGGTGCCCTTGGTCTTCAGCGTGTAGGCCTCCTTGGGCTGCACGGGGGTGCGCTTAATCTGAGCGCGGACGCCAGTGGCACGGGCCTCTTTCTTCTTCAGCTCGTTCTCCTTGACGCGCGTGAGGAAGCCAAGACGGCACTTGGACTGGTGCACGTGCTCAATGCGCACGTTGATGTGCTTGTGGATGATGCGGTTGCCCACAATCTTGTTCACACGCACGCCGACGGCACGCTTGGTCACGTTGTACACGCGGCCAGTACGGCCGTGGTAAAACTTGTGGGGCATACCCTTCTGCACGGCACCGTTGGCCTTGATGTCAACGTAGTCACCCACCTTGAACGTACGCAGGTACGTCGACATCTTGATCATGCCGCTCTGACGGAACGGGCGGGCGAACATGTCGCGCGTGCGAGCACGGTAACCGAAGGAGTGCGGCATCTTTGACTAAGCTGTAGCAATATACATCACAAACTCGTTAGTAACTGCACTTTGAGGCATCGCCAGCACTATTCGAAGCCATAGTCGTGAAGGGGAGAGAGCTGTGGATATAACTGCAGTAGAATCATCGCTGGTAACACCATCATCTCTTCGGGACGGAGCATCTTTTATCTGCTATGATCTCTCCAGTCGTTGGCCTGTATCTCCATCATTTCCAATGCTCTGACGCTCATTCTTGCGGACGCCTCCGCCCCAATTTGATTGGTGTATCTGATCCCCCCACTGTACATCGCTACGCGCTGCGCTCTCCCCTCCGCGCTGCCTCATTACATCAAAAAGCCTCGCCTACCTGCAAAAGTCGAACGAGACAAGAAGAACTGCGTGAGGCAAGACTTGGGGCGTTGTTAGGACCGTGAAACTATTGGCCGCGGAGGCGCCAGCATACAAAAATCAAGTGAATAGCCTTAACAGCCAATCACCGGATCGAAAGTACATACTATTTTTGCTCGTTTAAGTACGCAAACGGGTTACAAACCCGACCCGTCGCGGGTCGTCAGTTATGTGTCATACATCACGACCCCTTCATTATTGTGGGTCATATCCGGGCTGTTGCTGTCATGGAGGACGAAGACTTCGGCGAGGATGTGCTGGTGACGACGCGCACGGACGTTGTCAGCGTTAAGGAGGAGGCCAAGACTGAGGAATCTCGAGCCACGTGGGAGGCCAGCGAGGGGTCTGTCGTTAAAACCGAGAAGAAGGAAGAGGATGAAGACGAAGACGAGGAGCTCTACGGCGGTGTCTCCATCAAGCTCAACGCATCGGCCACGTCGCAGGCTGAAGCGGCGGCGGCCTCTGCTGCTGCTGCCAACAGTTCAGCTGACTCTAAGCCCAGTGACGACCCGGCGGCGGACTCGGATGACGACGAGGATGATGAAGACGTGGCCATCGTGTTGAGTACAGACCACGGCAGCAAACCTACACTGCGCTTCACAGGTGGCGGCAATCGCTATGTACGTGGCACCTTCGGAGGCCCGCAACATGGCAGTACAGGAGCTCCAGGCGCTGGATCCATGACGGGCTCTCAACCTGGAGATTTGGGCGGATCCGCGGTGGACGGAGTGGACGACATGGCCATGTTCGGAGGACGACGCACAGCATTCGATGTGGATATCGACCTGCTAGAGGACAGACCCTGGCGCAAACCCGGTGTTGATATCTCAGACTATTTCAATTACGGGTTTGATGAGCATAGCTGGAGAGAATACGCTGCCCGGCAACTGAGATTAAGACGCGAATTGGCTGTGGAAAAGTCAAGAGAGCAGGCGTCCAGACAGGCGGTGAATGCAGCCAACCAGCAAGCGATGCGAGACCGTGATGCTAAGATGCAAGGACGTGGAGGAGGCGGGATGCCTCCGCGTGGATTCCCTGGACAGATGAAGCAGGAAGGTGGAGACGAGCGGCCTGGAGAGTGGGGTGCTGGTGGAAATGGCATGCCTCCGATGAACGGTGCACCGCCTCGAGGTGGTGGCTTTATGGGAGGCCCTCCTCCACGAGGCTGGCACCCTGGAATGGGTCCGCCGCCGGGCTTCATGGGTCAGCAGAACTGGAATGGTCCTCCTATGGGAGGCGCGCCGTGGGGCTCTGGACCTGGAAGAGGCCCGCCTTGGATGGGTGGCAGAGGCCGCGGTGGTGGCCGTGGAGGCTTTGATGATCGCGGTCGCAGCGGCAAGGATGACCGCGATGATAGACGTGGCAGTAGAGCGAGAGAAGCGAGTCGTGATCGATCGAGATCTCGTGAACGCTCTCGCCGCGATGACTCGCGAGGCAGTGGACGTCGAGATGGCGCTAGTGGCAAAGATACTAGCGAGAAGGACCGAGGCCGTGACAGGGACCGAGACGATAGACGTGGACGCGACCGGGACCGGAATGGACGTGAACGGGAGCGCGACAGTGGCCGGGAGCGCGACAGTGGCAAGGATCGTGATAGTGGGCGTGACCGTGATCGCGGACGCGATAGGGATCGTGATCGAGGCCGCCCTCGAGAGCGTGAGAGCCGCGGAGGAGGTGGATCAGCTGAGCAGGAAAAGGATCGGGGTGGACGCAGCCGAGGAGATCGAGGCGGGCGCTCTCGATCTCGAGACCGTGATTCTCGCAAACGAAAGGGACGAGACGAAAGCTCCAGTAGCAGAGGTGGTAGCAAACGGCGGCATTAGACAGGAGGCCAACAGGGCAGAGGATATTCAAACATCTAACAAAACAAGGCACGAGTTGCGTTTCGTTATACCGTGGTGTTTTTTTTCCAGATTAACTGCTTGTTATCTACAATCCCGCAGTTAAATCTGCTTGTGCAGCCAGAGCTCAGTCTCCAGTTTATCGAGGTCCTGTGCCGTCACCTGAAGAGCAGCTACAGCATTACCCTGAATGGCGTCCACGGGTACAAACGTCATCCCCGGCATGCTCTTGACTCTTCCTCGTGCAGTCATAACCTTGTGAGATGCCTTAGCGAGCTCCACCTCGCTTGAGAACGCTGTTGCCTCGTAGAACAAGCGCACGTGAATCACACGGTCCCACGACATCATAGCCTGCACCAGACAGTCTAGCACGCAAGTCCAGATCCCCTCAGCGACAGCCTTCGCCAACGCCCGCGTGTCTGAAAACTCTGCCTCTCCCTCAACTGACGCAGTGCACATGATCTGACACAGCGCTCGCGGAATGATACTGCTCTGCCAGTTGAAGCGCATGTTGTTTGAAACAATTGCGCTTGTAAAGCTGCGAGGCACCAGATACTTTAATGCAATGTGCGTGAGTGCCTGGAGCTCCACCTCCACCAGCGCATTACGCGGTAAGCGTGACGTTTGAACCACCAACAAAGGAGCCTCCTTGACGAACTCCAAGCGCGCTTCGTTCTTGTCAACTTCGTCGTCGCTCTCGTCACTGTCGTTGCCATCTTCAAATTCATCGACTAGCTCGGCGTTGGTAAGGAGATGGCGACGGCAATCGACTAGTAGACGCTCTCGAGCTTCATGATCGTCGGGGTCTCCAGTGGTGTAGATGACACCAGAGCACACGTGGCGCAGGTTCGACTGAAGCGCTTCCAACACGCGGCAGGCATTCCGAAAGCACTGTGTCGTCTGAGCTGCATGGTCACCTGGTACCAGCTCCATCGTCTGAGGGTATAGAGCGATTTGTCCGGCCAGCAGAATAAGCGCTCGATGAAGCACATTCGCTTGGCTGTACGGGCCGATGCAGCATGGAGCCCAAGCTGAGATGCTCTTCACGTGTAACACGTCACGACGTACACGCAGAGATTGCAACTTCTGTACTCCACTGCCACGCAACGCGAAGAAGTCCAACAGCACACGGGCGGGGACGTTTGCCAAGGCCTTCACTTCCACACAGCTGCGGGACGGAGGTAGATTCTGGCCCATGTATTGGATGTACTCCGCGTTGAGCTGCCCGAAAGAGGACATGTCTTGGACATACAAATGCACGAAGCAGACGTCGGCTAGTACCATTTTTTGGCTCTCAAGGATGGCCTCAAGTTGAGCAATAATGTCTGCCATTTCTTCTTTCAGAGTGATTGATTCGTCGCCAGCCTTGCTGCTCATGATACCGGAAAGGTACAATTGGTCTCGGAACTGACCGAAAGCAGGCACAACATCCCTTGCTGCCTCTGGAGTAAGTGCCAGCATAGTGGCCATCTTCTTCTCCGTGTGGTTATCGTTGCTTGGTGGCTCGGTAGGAGGAATCTCCGGGATCCTAGAGGCCAAGTGCGATGGATCGGCAGGCTCTTTGTCCTCAAGATGACACTTGTCAATGGCCAAGAAGGCCACAGGCGCGACGTAGTCGTCTGAATGGAGGACAGTGTGGCTCTCATCTCTGTAACAACAATAACAAGGTAAGAAATTTCACCAACTATGAGATATCGTACAAATATTGGACGTACATGACAATGCGCTTCTTGAATAGCGGGCAGTCCAGCGTGAATGTCTCGTACTCACCACCTTCACCGCACACGTTCATCTGATACTTCTCCTTCTACTCAAGAATACAAAGATATCACACCAAAAATTGAGCAAACGGTACAGTATCTCCCATTATTCAAATCCTTTCCCAGAACTTACCAGCATCATGAGTTGCGGCTGCAGCTCCGCAATGGTCTTCCCCAAGTGCCGTCGCGGTTGTAGACCAATGGACGCCACCTTGACCAAAATGGCATCCATATCGGAATCGATCATCTCCTGCAGCAACTCGGTTTGTTCGCGACGCCATAGGTACCCGAGCGACGTGAGTCCCAGTCTCGTGCAGCTACAACAACCATCGTTAACACTTCATGCATTGCCACAACCTGACAACGCCTTCTACTCACACGTTCTCCACTCGGTTGCGCTGATAACTGGAGAAAATTGCACCAGTGCAGACGCCCTGGACGTCCGGGAACTGCTCCTTAACCTTCTGTAGCAGGCGAAACAGGTCCTCGACCTCGTCACCAGCAGCGGACTCGTGGTAGTTGATGTCCGTTGTGACTGCAGTGCCCGTGATGGTCTCGGAGATCAAGGGCAGCTCCATACTTTCAGCGACGAGCTCTACGGTCTGATGGCCGATGCTCTGGAACATGAACGAATCGATCTCCGCGTCATCCGCCGACAGCTCCGACGGCGGATGCAAATGCGCTAGACACACGATCTCATGCCCAAAGCGCACGCATTCCATCATGGCGTAGCAGCTGTCCTTGCCTCCACTCACGAGAGCCACCACCTGCATCGTTGTCGTCTAGATAGGAGGCGTCTTGATGCTCAAGGGAAAGTGATAGTGACGCAGCACATTTTGATGCTTGGACGGGAACAAAGTGTAGCCATCTCAGCTTCAGACCTGATGTCTGATACACAACGGCAATGTACGCACACCAAAATAATTTTTGCGGGAAATGTGACACACATTAATATGTGGTGCACACCATCAAAATCGTGCTGTTGCGTCACTCACTTCTCGTTAGTGCGGTTGGCACGATGGCAGTGCGTTCCGTGCTGCTGAGCGACATCCAGAGCGTGTTGAGTCTGGCGCGACGGCGTCATGGCTATCTTTTGTCCAGTACGAGCGGCCAGCGCTCGAAGAAGGTGCGAAAACGCTCTCTAGGCTGTAATATTACACTCCACTGATGGCTAACACTCTCGTTCTTACACTCTCGTTCTAATTGCTACAGGAGAGTCCCCTCGCGGTCTTTCAGAGTTTCTCGCTGCTTCGTGGACGTCTGCTAAAATGCGACAGTAAGTTTGGACGTTAAAATGCTGTAGGTTGTTCTCGTTTTGACGCTTTTTCGACCTTCCCGACACAGATATGGCGGAACTGTCGCCCGTGACCGTCATCAAGCCCTTTCTAGATGTAATTCGGCACGAACACGCCGGCAGTATAGTGACTGGAGCAGCTTTACAGGCTGTAATGAACTTCCTGCAGTCGTGGCCCTGGACGGACGTCAAGGACCAGAACGCGGTGGCAGATGCGGTCTCGGACATTGTGGACGCCGTGAGCCACTGCAGATTCCAAGAAACGGGCATCGAGAGCGATCAAAACGTGTTAGTACTGGTTGTACATGTGCTTCACGCGGTGGTGCGCTCTCCCTGCGGCGCCAGACTCTCGGATCACTCTATGTGGCAGCTGGTGGAGGCGCTGTATGCACTCAGTCGCGGCACTCGACACGATGTACGTTATGTTATTAATTGGTATACTAACTAATTGAATACTGATAGACTTGTTGTGTGGTCGTACAGCCGCATATCACGCTACCGCTGCGATCGACGGCCACGAACTTCCTACATGACACTGTGGCTTTCATCTTCTCTAACCCTGCTATCTATTCGGACTCAGCTCCTGCTGCTGACTCTGCAACTTCCTCTTCGGAGCCTCTGAGACCGGGATTTGGACTGCCGTGTGCTGTAAAGATTGTGGGTTTTCTCTGTCAGAAGCTGCACCAGAAAAACTACGTGCCTCCTCCTGCTCCAGACGCACCTGCCACCTCGAGTGCGAATACAACAAGTCGGCGTGAAGTCTTGCTGTCATTTACGTTGCTTCAGCGCGCACTGATGGCATGCGACGCTGAGCTCATTACGGGCGTGCCGGCGCTGATGCTTTTCATTAAGGACGATCTGTGCAGCGCCATTTTGCGCTACTGCCGACTAGGGTACGTACTGTTTTGCTTGTCTACTGGTTATTTTACGTTGATCTAAATTTCTTCTTGTTTATTTGATGTGCAGCGCCTGTGCGGACCTCATGATTCCAGTCGTGGGTCTCGAACTGATTCGACTTTTGTGGTCGAAGCTCCGCTCGGAGCTTAAAATGCAAGTGGAAGCTTTGTTTAACGGTGTGTTCTACCACACGCTGCACTGGTGTCTGGCAAATATGGATGTAAACAATCCAGACTTTCCTCATGGGGACGATACAGCCCCACCTGCCGCAGACGTGGACGGTCAGACGGATAACAACCCTGCTACGACGGTGGACGCCGCACTCGATGAGTTTTCTGGGGAGATGCTGTCCAAAACCCGACTGTACAACATCTCGTTTGAAATCCTCGACTGTTTGGTGGATTTACTGGCAGAGGCGACGTTGTTGCCGGATCTGTATGTGAACTATGACTGCGACGGCAACCGCTGCGACTTGACGCAGACTTTATTTGAGCTGCTCTCGCAGACTGCGCAGCAGTCTCATGTCGCTTGCTTCGAATCGCATGAAGAAACGCATTTCTTGTGGGCTCAGGCAGTTGGAGAGATTGCTCTTCGCGGAATGTTCAATGCATTGTATGTCTTGCATCTTCGTACGCATCCCGAGACGCCTGCAGTCAGTGACGACAGCAGCAGTGGCCCCAGCGACGAAGAAATGAATGAAGATACGCTACTGGTGGATCAGGAGACTCTAATGCCATCTGAAGACGCTGAAGAATTCGCTTCAGCTGAAGCTTTGTTCAAGAAACGACAACGTAAAAAGTTTTTTCAGCATGGCATTCAGGAATTCAACCGGAAACCACTGGCTGGCATCAAGTACTTGCAGCAGAATACGTTCCTGCCTACCCCGCTTGATAGCATGTCACTTGCGACGTTCCTGCGATCGCTTCCTCAAGGTCTGAACAAGAATGCAGTGGGGGTGTACTTGGGCGCAATGGGTAAAGAAGTCAAGGGCTTTGAGAAGACGGATATCCACGAAGCCGATACGATGGACTTCCATCGCGACGTACTCAGCAACTTTGTGCGGTCATTCAACTTTGAAGGCGAGAGTATTGTCACCGCATTGCGTATGTTCCTCGCAAGTTTCCGTCTTCCAGGAGAGGCACAACAGATTGATCGTATCTTGAACACGTTTTCGCTCCAAGTGTACGAGCAGTGTCGCGAGCGGTTCCTCATGGCGTCGGTGGACGTGGCCTATCTGCTGTCGTTCAGTCTGATTATGCTGAACACTGATCTGCACAACCCGAACATCCGACCGGACAAGAAGATGAAGCTGGCTGACTTTATCAAGAACAACAAGAATTACGGTCTGGAAGTCTCTAAGGGTCTTGACTTGCCTGAAGATTTCCTGACAGAGTTATACAACACCATTTCGAAGGACGAGATCAAGACGTTTGAAGACGGAGGCAAACACGGGGAAGTGACGAGCGATCGATGGAAAGATCTACTTAACCAGGCCGAAAGCGACCCGCGTAACTCTCGCTTGATTGTGCACCAACCCTCGCTGCATCTCCGTTCATCAAGCACACCTCGTGGCATTGGCGTCCAAGGCGCCAACTTCGCACCGCTCGCACCGGATGCGATGCGAAAAATGAAGCAGGCTCGACTCACAAAGAGCGCCTCCAGTCCTGCCGCCAAAAGCGGAACGTGGACGCAGCAAGAGAGTATGGATGGACTTGTTTCTCTGTATCCGTCGTCAGGCAACCAGTACGACCGCCACATCTTCGAGTTGGTACAGCAAAGCCTCGTTCGAGCATTCAGTAGTGTATTTCAGCAGTTTGTGGTGGATTCTCAGGCAAAGGATGCGTCACGTGGAGAAGATCTCTCGGTCGGTAGCAGCTATGAGATGCACTACGTGCCTCAGAAGAGTGCGCTTCAGCTCGCATGCAACGGCTTCGTGTTATGTGCAGCGGTGGCATCGCATCTGTCACTAGTGGAGCACTGCAACTCGCTGTTTATCCGTCTTTGCAAGTACACGGCACTGATCTCGTCGGACATTTATCCTGTGGGCTACCACGGCCGCGAGAACGGCATCTGGGTGTATTGTGACAACCAGAGTGCTCCAGTTGCGACTGCTGCCGTGCTGAAGCTCGTAAACACGTGCAGCTTGTCCCTTCACAGCCGCGCGTGGAAGTATTTCTTCCACATCGTCAGTGGATTGCGCGAGTTCCACGTCTTGCCGTCACGTATTCTGTACCCAAGTGATGATATGAAACTAGAGCTTATGACGGCCGACGAGCGTCTGGAGTTTATTGACCTGGTTTACCAGAACAAGGAAGAATTGGTACGGAAGATTGCACTCAGTGTCCAAGAACAGGAAGGCGGTAATGGAGACTCCGGTGGCTTTTTCAGTGGTGTCGCATGGCTGTTATCTGCACTCGACTCGAATCTAGGCGGCTCAGCACCGGGTTCTACCGCTCCGGTGAATCCTCACTTGTCTCCTGGATACGAGCAGTATCAGCTGAGTCCAGCGGAGCTCGCATTGCACACTGAAGACCTTATGATTGAAGGAAAGACACCAAAGAAGCAGGCTTCTGATGACCAGGACCCGAGAGGCGAGTTTGGAACGGACCAGTGGATCCGAACTACGTTGCAGCCTTATCGACTTGAGTTCTTAATGGAAGATGTGGCTAGCTTGCCATCTCGAGCCTTGGCTGAAGCCATCGAAGCTCTACACGACGAGATCTTGCTGGTGCTGCGTGGTCCTGACGAAAAAGAGTCACAAAAAGACCGGAAAAAGTCGACGAAGTTGTCGCTCAGCCAAGGAGGCTGCGTACTGTTTGAGCACCTACTGAGTCAAGTGATCGCGCTCAGTGGCTCGCTGTTTGATGGAGGTGCAGACGATGAAGATGGGATATCTGCTGTGCTGGAAGCTCACTACACGCAGATCCTGGAGTTCCTGCGACCAGTGCTATTAACGAATCACAGTCCAAGTGGATTGACGTACGAGAACGCATGCTTCTTGTTGCACAAGTCGATCAACGGATTGTTCGCGTGGGTTACGCGTACACGCAGTGACGCCAATGGGATCCTACTGGTGACTTTCTTGAACACTTTGATGGAAATGAGCGGCGATGACGAGCTGATTCGACCTTTCCTGACGTCAATTATGTGCGGATTGGATCGATACGTGGCGCTGGTAAAGCCTAGCAATTTGCACTACTCACGCATGGACTGGCTGACGATCTGCAACTTGATTAGCTGGTCAGTGGGACGCTCCCACGCAGCGTCTCATGCCTTCGGCCTGCTTGAGCGACTTGTGACGGAGAAAATCTGGAATGGAGACGGCAACGAGATTCTCATTAGCGATTGCTACACGAAGATGATCATGTTCGCGATGAAGACCTGCGACCCACGCGATTCATGGGCACCGTCGAGACCGGTCGATCTGCTGCTGTTCATGTTTGATACACTCCGTCCTGACGCGCCTAATTACGTTGAAGAACGCTTGCGCTTCTTGGGTGGGATGGCTGTTGTATCGAGACATCTGCTGTTGAATCAGATCAAACAGGAGCTTTCTAACGACCTGGTTGTGACTGCAATTGAAGGACTGAAGCACATGCTGTGTGAACACGCAGGAACAGACCAATCGTTTAAGCCCATGGCGTGGCTGGATGTGCTTCGATACGGATTGGTTCCTGTCGGTTTTGACTTGCTCAATGATGCTGAGCCCAAACATTCCGGTGGAGGGATGCACTTTGGGGATGACGAGGAAGAAACCAACTCGCCCTTCCTGTACTACAGAAGACAGCTGCCGTTTTCGGACGATGAGAGTTCGTTCAAGCACTCTAGTACGAATCACAGCGGCAAGAAGCCAATTGGTCGTCGGCGCCGACCATCAACGATGAAAGACCCGTTGGCTCTACGTCCACATGTGGTGGTGGTTCAGTTGCTGTCACTTGTGGTGTGTGAAGAACTGACGAAGCTGCAGGCATGTGCAAAGTTCAGTTCCGTGTGGGAAGATGTGGCGGAGCTGCTGGTCGGATTGCTGGAGTATACAGCTATGGAGAACCCTCCGCCATCAGGGGAAGCTGCGAGTGGAGAGGTTCTGATTGCAGCTCTGGAGCGTCGAAGCGTGCTCTCGGCTCACGAGGAGATTCTCGAACACAGCAAGGGGATCGTTAGACGCTTAGCGGTGATTCAGGACGAAGAGACCAAGGAGGAGGAAGCCAAATCGGAAGATGCTGAGAAGACTATGCAGCCTAACGTGTTGATGCAGGTACTGGAAGAGAAGTGTCACTCTAATCCGGACTTGCTGGACCAGCTCTTCTCTTCGAAAGACGAAACTGGATCGACGGGAGGACGCACTCCTCCTACTGAAGAGATCGATGGAGAGAGAGTTGACGAGAACGACAGTGACGAAGCGAGCTAAACCGATGCAGGTTAATGATTGTTCATAGATGTATGCAGATACTTAGTGGCGTGTGCTGATTGCTTAGCTGACGGGCCTAACGACTGCGTTCCCGCTCTCTGAAGTTGGACCGTGTGCATCCAGCAGACTCACAGCTTCGTCAGCCTTAGAGTAGACGGCCTGGAGCTTATCAGAGAAGCACTGAGTGAACGTCTGCGTGAGCTTGTTGATGATGACATCCTTGAGGTTGGCATCGTTCTGCTCCACTGCGATGTCGCACAACCGCTCCGTGATGTCCACTAGCTCCCTTATCTGAAGAGAGAAGACTCAATTAGCAAGAAGACAATAACGAGAGCAAACCTTCCTCTGCGTACCTGTTCACTGACACGCGATACGTTCTCTTCCAGTCGCCTGGACCCCGGGCTCTGCGGTGCATTTCCGCTTCGTACACCGGAGAGCGCCTCCGCCTTACGTACGATCTCGGCTGTGTCATCCTCAGGAGCTTTCTGCTTGTTTTGAGCGCCGACGCCAGCACGTTTCTCCAACACTTCGAGCGCTTCCTTGACATGACCCTGGACGAGAGCAATCTGCTGGATGTTCTCGGTGCAGTTGGCGTTCACATGAGTCGTAATGTGATCAAGACACTTGTGGACGTTCTCAAGTTCCACCGCCAACTTCTGCGTCTCCGCTTTCGCTGCCAGTCGCTTCTTGTTTGAGTCTTCGATCTCGCGCTTCGCTGCTGCGAGTTCCTTTGCTCGCTGTTGAACCTTCTCCGACTCTTGAACAGTAGCGAGAGCGTGCTTCAATTGAGCCACTTCGTCCGTGAGATTTTGAATCGTAGCATTACTCTGAGCAGCCTTCTCGTTTGTCTCCTCTCGAAGTTGCTTGACTTGTTGGTCGTTGTCGACATTGCGCTGGTTAACCTCCATCCTCAATCGATCAACTTCTTTTTGGAGACCGCTTTTGGCCTCGAGTAAGCTCGTCTTCTCACTGACTAGCGACTGCACAAGAGCCTTCGCCTTCTGACGTTTGTCCGTGTTCTCTTTGTTGATAGTCTCAATCGATGTCGTTAGTTCTTGATTCTTCTTCTCAAGCTGTGCACATTTTGTTTGCAGCTCCTTGAGAGTCGTCTCCGCCTTCTGGAACTCGGTGTGGACCGACTCGGAGCGTTGGCGGTGCTCTGAGCTATCAGACTTCAGCGTGCTGTGCTGCGCTTGAAGCTCAGCCATGTCCATGCTCCACTTTTTCATCTCGGCCTTCAGCGTTGCCACTTCGATCTCCTTTTCAGAGATCTTCTCGTTGAGCTTGAGATTCTGCTTCATCATATCATCGAGACGCTCCTGGGACGCTAAGTACTGCTGCTTGATGGTTTGCATCTCTCCGAGCTGAGATTGAGTCTCGGCGATCAAGCTGTCGCTACGACTTCTACCAAGGTTCACCTTCTCATAGAGTTGCGTGATCTCGGCAAGCTTCTCCTCCAGCTCGGTGCATTTGTTGCACGAATACGACGACAGCTCGTTGCTCTTGGTCTGCAGTTGGCTCTGAAGCGAGGAGATCTCGGCTTGATGCTGAAGGATCTTGGACTCGCTCTCATCCGCCCGTCGTCGGTAGCTGTCCAGCTGCTCTAACTGGAAATCCTTGTCTGATAGCTGCTTCTGGAGATGCTGGTTCTCAATCTTGTGCTGCTCTAACTGGAACTCCAGCTCTTTAGTCTTCGTTATGTCGGCTTCAAGTAGACTAGGCTCCTTCACTTGATTCTGTTGAGAGCTGAGTTCTGCTTGTAGCGAGCTTTCACGAGCCTTTAGTGAATGAATTTCAGCTTGTAGCTGACTGCGCTGCTGCTCTGATGAGGTACGCAGCGCCTCGAGCTCCTGGCGGAGACTCGTAGCTTGCTGAACTGCCTGGGCAGCATCGGCTTCTACGCTGCGTAGACGCTCACGTAAGTCGGCCATTTCAAAGTTCGCAGAGTTCAACTGAGACTGCACTGCGTTAAACTCGTCGTCAGTGTGCGAGCTAGCAGTCACCATTGGTTGAGAGAGGAAATCCATGTCCTTAGCTTGATCTGCAGCGGCCTTCGCAGCTTCAGCTGCTGCAAGAGCCTCAGTCTTTTGCTGTAGTTGAGCCTCAAGGGTACGGCATTTCTCCTTCTCAGCTTCCAATTGCGAGTTCATCGCGTCTGCAAAGGACTTGGCGCGTGTCTTAAGATCGTTCTCGCGCGCAGTTGTCTCCTTCTTGAGCTTCTCGATCTCCTCCGTCATACGCTGCTTCTCCGCGTTGTCTACAGGCCGCTGTGCTGCAGCAGCAGTGGCAGTAGCCTCTTTTAGCTTCGCCTCAAGTGTTGTGACCTTCTGCGTCTCGTTGGCCAACTGGCTGCGCATGTTGTCGACGAACGCCTTAGTCTTGGCTTTGAGCGCATTCAGCGCCTCCTCCTTGGCATGCACTTCGCCCTTCAGCCGAGCAACCTCTGCTACCGGATCTACAGCCGCCGTCGAGTCCATCGTGCCTCGCTCGCTCCTGTTCTCTCTCGCTCAGCTCGTGTGAGATGCAGAACTGCGTGGCGTCGGACGAACACGTAGCTCTCGTGACAGAAATACCTCGCAGGGATGACATGCATGAGGAACCCCATTTAGATCTGCAGCTTTCGTTTTGGCAACATCCATTCATTGCACGAGCCATATTTAGTAAGCAACAAGGCCCAGACGCCTCGTTACCGTTGCAAAAGCGGCTCACCGTTATCTTCAACACCGTTATCTTCAATTCAGAGTGCATGTGCAACTTCAACTTGAAACATTCACTCCTTTTAGTCACTAAAACGACTTGCTCAAACCACTGACATATTTCTGTTTTATTACAACTTAGAAATATATTATTTTACAGAACAAATGGACTCAGGAGGCAACGGCTCCTTGGTTGGTGACGTGCACAGCAGCGGCGGTGACATCGATTCGCTGCTCACGAACGACGCAGATGTGGCGAAACAGACTGCGCGCCGTCTCCACGAGCCGTACGAGCGGCATCGTGCCCACGACCTGCGCGCGGAGTGCTATCGACGCGGTATCCGCCCCATCAAGAAAGGGCCGAACGCTAATGACAATAAAGGGGGATACATTGACTTACTTCGCAGAAACGACGGCACCATTCCTTCTGTTCAAGGACCCCCTTCCAGTAATAGTATCCACCAAATATCCAAACGAGGCGATGAAGAGACCGAGAATGAGAGCGTCAGCAATGGCGGCGACAACAACGAAGCCCAGATTATTAGCAATATGACTAATAAGAGGAAACTTCCCACCATGACCATGCAGACCCAAACAGAAACTACCTCCGCTGGGGAACTACAAGGATTCTACGAAGGAGGTCAACCGAGTTTGGTGTCAGTGCTGCCGATGCAGTACCCGTCATCAAACATGGGCAAGCCTACGACCTCTTCGGCCAATAATCCGACGACGGACTTGGAGATTTTGAGCGGGATCGCCAATTCTTATACTCAGAACACGTCAGGCGATGGACAATTATGCGGCAATTGTAGAACAGTTGTCACGGATCAGTTGATGGAGTCCATTCGACTGGGCAAGACCAAGATGAAGCTACAGGAGTGGCAGAAAATGGCCGAACAACGCGATCGAGATACGCATCACTTGAAGGAGGTGCTGGACATTTTACAGGATTTACGGAAATCGTACCGAGAGGCGCAGATGCATGGGATGAACCACGAGATTCTGGTCGAGCTGCAGGATGATATCGCGTTTTTTCGGAGTTTGAAAGAACAGAGCAAGGAACGGATGCGACAGGCGATGCAAGACGCTCGTGAGCGCTCCAACACTTCGAACGCCACGGCGTAACTATTAGGGAGATCAATTGGCTTCTTCAAATTCTACATCTGGTTAGATCTTACGCGTTGCAGTGTGGAGAATCGATGTTGGTTCCTGACGAGAATTCGTGGATATTTGATGTCGTGGTTGGACAAAGTTAGATGAAACAGGACAATGGTATGTGCAGGAAGTACAGAATCTGATAACGAGCACACACAAGGATTTTGGCGCTGTATTATCTGCATACTTGAAATGTAAGATCATCGCAAGACTGAAGCGCGCTTGTGAGACTAATGAATTCGTTGAACTTGAACATGTCAACTGAGTTGTCATTTTCGAAAAGATCGAACGTCTAGCTGCCATTTGTGAACTCGCCAGCTTCGTCCACAAGCCAGACTACGAGCTCTTGACGCCATGACTGCTCATTTTGAGGTAGCTACCCCAACGTACAACCCAGCCGAGTCACCGCCTCTCCGTGGATCGACTGCATTGGGACTACCTGATCCTCCTCCTAGACTCTCTACGTTCTCACACCTCGACCTGAACGACGCTGGTGAGAGTAAACACACTGTTGGGTGTTCAGTGGGGATGCTCGTGTTGCTCTCCTTACCACGGATGGCTACCAATATGGCTTGGTCGGCGCAATGGGCCGCTCTGGGCCCGTACCTCGGTACAATGCTGCCACCGTTTGCGGTGCAGCTCACACAACTGATCGGTCCGCTCTCCGGTATCCTCGTAGCACCGACAATTGGTGTCTTGAGTGATCGCAGCTTGAATAAGTGGGGACGTCGTCGCCCGTATTTGGTCTACGGAGCGGTAACAAGTGCAGCGTGTTGGGTGCTCATGGGAAACACACGCGAGCTGGGGGAGCTACTGGGTGACTCGGGCGATAATCGTCCATGGACTGCATGGCTCACGATCCTGTTCTACACATGGATGGATATCACTGTGAATGTGGTCCAAACGCCAGCATTCCTCATCATCAGTGACTTCGCTGGAGACCGACAGACTCTTGGAGCTAGTATCGGACAGGCCAGCTCGACACTGGGCTCTATTTGGGTGGCTGGCTACATCTACATGTTCGGTGCTGCCCATTTAACGCTGCGTTGGTTTCTCGGCATGCTCTCAGTGACCATGCTGGCTTCTGTGGGTGCTGTGTGCGTGTTTGCCAGAGAGGAAGCGCCAGTTTCAAAGGACTTGGAGTTGGGACCAGACGAAGAAGTTCCTAGCGCAATGAAGCGGATAGGAGAAGCCTTCTCCTCCATTTTCTACGGCTTGAAGACGTTGCCTCGCACGCTGACTATCTACTGTGTAGTGTTCTTCTGTATCCAGTTTGGATTTACAGCCTACAATGGCAGCAAGGGACAGTTCTTCGGTATCGAGGTTTACGGCGGTAACTCAACCGATGCAGACGTTTGCGGGCCTGATGAGTGTACAGGGAGTCAAGAACGCTACAACGACGGCGTACAGATGGCTGGAGGTCTCGCGGACTTGCTGTTTAATGTGTTCGGATACTTGTACTCGTGGGTGCTTCCGTTCCTGGTCTATCGTGTTGGTACGCGTTGGGTCATCACTGTCGCGTGCATCCCACAGGCACTGCTGATGGTCATGGCTTTCACGAAAGTTGTCGCTGTGGACGTGACGATTGTTGTCCTGACTGCCATCACACAGGCCACCGTCTTCGCACTCATCGTGCCTATCATCGTGCACGTCTTCGGTACCTCTGCGCATGTTGGAATGTATGTTGGTGCCGTGAACTCAGCCAATTGTGTAGGCCAGTTAGTCAATTTCTTGATTGGCGCAGCGCTCGTGGAGACGTCGCTCGGATACGCTTTGCCGGTGTTTGCGGGAGGCGCATTCTCGTTTGTAGGTGCACTGATAAGTCTCGTTTTGCTACGGATTGATATGCACTTCATGTAAAAGTGGTACCTTTAAATTAAGCAATGATGATGAAATTTCATTACCATCTTAACCAATTTCCATACTGAGCTTACTATTCATGATTGGCTTGCCTCAGAACATGTTTCGGCGTCCAGTGTACCCCACTGTTGTCCCGTGGCTGGAAGAATCGCACAGATTATCGTTAGTCTTTGTCCTCACAAGGCGTTATAATGTAGTACTCACTAGTTTTCTGCTAGGAGTGTCTTGGATGCTGCGTTTGTGTAGCTCTCCGGTAGATGGCGTTCTGGTGGTCTGTACAGGGATAGTGAAGCGTAAAATTCAGGTACCTCAATACTCGTCATATCATGTAACGCACGGGTGTAGTCCGTTGAGGTCCTCGGCTGCAACGAGCTTTCCAATACCAGCGAGTAAGGAGCGACGCGAGTCAATACGACGACCAGAAAGTGATCCACTGCTGCCACTTTTGCTAAGCGATGGTGATCCTTGTCCACTTCCCAACGATGATGAGGGGGATTGGGTGCGTGCAGAATTTTGTTGCGACCCACGGCCTTGCTCATACTGATTAAAGACGCACGATAGTAATTCTGTTAGCGCATGAGAGCTATTACATCCATGCGAATTAGCTGCCTATCAAATACCATTGGCGTCACGTGGCGTTTGGGTTGTGAATTCTGTCTCGTTCCTAGCACAAATGTGTCTTTGGGAGTAGCCTCCATCGACGTTTGTGATGCATACGATCTAGATCCAGAGGCACCTAGTCAGCCGGTGAATATGGACTTAATAACTGCTTTCACCTACGTTTTCCAGTCGTTGGTGCTAACACTGCTACCAGGTCCAACCTACAGACAACGACATTACTCAGTTTCCTTTTGATAACTGCAAATCTGGTAACTCTTACCTGATAGACAGCACTTTGAAAAGGAATTCCAGGCACTTGCTCGCCCGATGGATTCTGCTGAGGCTCAAACAGTTTCTTTCCTGATATTGTTGATTTTTCGGCCTCATCACGAGGCATGATGCCACCTTTCTCATCGTACGTTAGACTCTACACCGTGAATCATGCAGTAAGGTTAGTTTGTACAGCAACCAAAACAATGGTGGAGAACTACGTTCATACGTCTTTGACTCCTGATTGATTCGTGTAGAAGCGCTTCTTGTACGAACGACGCACGTAGCCTCCCCAGTCTGCATCAGGGTGATCAGGGTCGTACTTGTCCGCAACGTGTGGAATCATAGGTGACGAAATCTGGTTATCGGAGGTTTCTTCACGATCACGAGGTACTCCAGAATCGAAGCGCGCCATCTCAGCTTGCGTTTGAAGGAAGCTTTTCTTCATAGCTTCACTACAATTGTGCTCTGCTTCGAGAAGATTGGGCAGTTTCTTATGTGACTCGTCGGCGATTAATCTCCTCTATCTGTTCCGAAATGAGATTCATGTGATGTTGGACATCACTCGAAAACAGTTGAAAAGACGTTCGCATCGATTTCATGACCCCACTCAGCGTCTCCACGCGTTGTGTCACAGACGTGACTCGCTCGTTGTACACTACACGATTGAGTTTCGAGGTAGACACACCGTCCTGATTGGTAGATCGATCTTCGTTCAGGTTAGCTGCAGCAGCTACGGTTTTTTTGGCTTTCCACTGCATGGGAGGAAGTTTGTACTTGTCCTGAAGTGTCGTAGGTCCAGAGGGATGGGGTTCCTCCACGCGCGTTTCTTCAAGTTCAATGGTGGCGACTTCTTCTTGAGCCTCCTCACGCTCGAGCTTTTGCTCATCGTTTTCACTCTTTTCTTGCTCGCTATTTTCTCTTTCAAACTCCGAGGATGCCTCAACAGTCTCAACCGCAGCCTTCGTTAACAGACCAACAACTTGTAGAGATTTGGCTGTCACAGCCAATGATATAGGGTATCGAAAGGTGTGATCTGGAGTCGGATTCGCTAGAGTTTTGGCAAACTCAGAAGAGCTTGGTAGTAGAACGACGCTTTTTACGGATTTGGTTGGAATCTGCGCGCACAGAGAGAACAGAGATAAGTGAATCGCTTCAAAATTCAGCGCTGGGGTTAGAAAGCTCACCATAAATGAGGGGAAACCAAGCGAGTCTCGCACTGACGGCCAAATTAAACGATACCGCTTGGATGGTTCGTCGCCAACTTCTGTAATCTTTATCCGCCATGTTCTCCAACGCATTTCTGAGGTGATGTGAAACTCAAACCCAGCAGCATCCTCCGAGTTGTTCTCAACATATTTAATCGGCTCAGAAATGGTTCGAACGGCATCGTGTGTGCCCGACGCTAAACCGGGATATATCTAGCAGAGGACAACATACAGTGAGCAATCAATCGAAGTCTAAATACAATCATGCAGTGATTCAAACCTGAACAACTCTCAAGTCAACGGCACCTCGCGCTTCGTCATTTCCTTGAACGAGTTTTAGTATCTGTCAATACATTGCAATATTTAAAACCCTTCATCTCCTCAGCCTTAGCATCATTTGCAACCACGTACGCTCAGCGATCCGTCTTGTTTGCCTGCAAGAATAAAAAGCTTCTGTTGATCTCGAATATTGCACATCCACCACCGGAGACTTGTATATGTAGATTCTATTGCGTTGATTCCTAAAGTATGAACAATGCGAACGTGCTCCAGTGGGTTGTCACGCGCTATCACTCCGGAACGAGAACACACACTAAGCTCCAGTCGTTTGCCCATATTTTGCTGCATTTTTGAAGAAATGTCACGCACATCATATTGAAAATCTCTGAAATTGATCAGCGACAGTCGTCCATTAGCATCTCCGACCAGCAGATATCGACCATCGTGGTCGAACTCGGCAGTAACCAAGCTGTCCGATTGCTTGATCTGCGCCAGGCACACCTGTCGATCACTAAACCGCTCTTTCCAGCTGAATACGCCAAACACTTTTGAGTCCTCAAGTAGAATCAGCACAGACCCTGCATCTGGCGTCATGTCATGGCGAAAACCTTGCATGCTCCGAATACTCTTCCCTCCAACCCCCACAACAGGTTCCACGAAGCTAAAGTAAACTTGAACGGAGGTTGCAACTTTAAGAAGCTTTTCGCTATTTGCAGCATCAGTAAATTGGGTGGCAGAACCAGCATACAATCGGAATCCGAGCAGCAAAACGGGAAACACGGTACTTTCAGTTCCCGAAATCTCGGATTCCGGAACGTCCAAGAGAGCGCCGACCAGCAGAAAACCGGGAACGGGAAATGATACACACGTCGTCACAACACTTTCCAGATCTGGTGAGATGTCGCCCTTCAGGCTTGAGCTACGGAGGCGAGATACATGGTCTGAGATCGAGATTTGGTGCAGGAACGCGAAAGGATGTAATCTGTTATTGCAGATACCATATACGTCGACGAAGCGGCCATTCGCGATCGTGACCACGCGAGTTTTGTGGCAAAGAGCGATGCACTGACTGTCACTTCCTTTGAGTTGGGAGCTGATGCGAGTAGAAGACTCCACAGGCACGCCAAGGTCGAGCACCTCGAGCCGATCTTCCACCATGACCCGGTAAACTGAAGTGTTAAGTTTACGCCACTATCTGATTGGTAAGAAATCGTAAACTGTCTTATTTGATACAGTACTATCAATTCTCACAGGTTAAGTGATGTGCCGAACACGAAAATTCGTCGGTCCATCCTGACCAGTCAGCTTTCCGCCACTCTTCTGTCTCGATCAGTGTCGAATTTACTGCGGCGGACAAGAAGCTGCTTTCTGGACTCGCCACGATGCATGTGTGTATTGCATTGGTTATATGTACAATTTGGGAGCGATGGAGTGAAGATACCTATTTCGTTACTTCGTGAAAGGAGCGAGGACCGTTTTGGTCTCTCCTCCTTCTGTGAGCATTACACTTTGTCATAGTTACACTGACCATCCGCCATTCCACCAGTTATGCAATGTTTGGTAGTTGCACATTCTAGTAATAGTATGTGTTAGTAAAGTTTAGTCAGAGTGATCGAAGCTGAAGAATGAGAATTTTCCAGCCAAATAATGATTCATCAGCACCAACGCTGCAATTCCACAGCGGCTGTTCTGTTGATAAACTCCCCTACAACTGACTTCACGCGAATAATGTTGGCACAACTCTAGCATTTTTCATAAGAGTGATCGAGAGAAGTTCTAATTTTTGTCGTGGCAGAAATGATGAAGTATTTCTCCCTTGGTTTTTGCATTATTTTTCCAGGGGCAGCACCAACGACCCATGGGGAGGATAGTTCTCTTGAGACAAAAACCTGAGCTTTTCCGCTGCTTGCATATTGTGTGTATGGATGTTTAAACGAAATCCCACAGTTAGTGGTCTGCTTAAAGCAAGGTAGAACCAACTATGCGTATGCGAATTCACATCGCTCCTCAGACACGGTACATCTTGCACTGGCCATCTGAAGTTCCCCCCTACCACTACAAGTGCTAGTAGTAGTACTACATGTATTTATTTGCACGGCACTAGAGTTTTTGATACCTCACCTAGAATGAGGTTGCCGGGAGGAAAACGTACCGGATCGAGTTAGCGAAACCCTCTTAGCTAAATGTCCCTGATGAATTCTCGGTAGTAAGCCGAAAATGTTCCAACCTTCCAGAATACACGTGACTCCACTTGTACCAGCCTCAGCATGCACAATGTGAACTCCTTGTAAATGTCGAGCGCACATGTCGTAAAACTCCAGCAATAAATGTTCTTCGCTCTTTTCTTCGGTCGATTCTGTTGCGTTGGTACCTTGCTGGTTCGCTTCGTGGCCATGGTGAGTTGCCATCTTCATTTCCTGTTGAAAACCATTGTGCAGCTTTGGCTCGGACGATTTCGTTGTTTCAGCTGCTCGTGACGTTGGGTGGTGTCCATGTGCTGTTCGCGTTCCAGCTCTAACGTAGCTAGAATCATCAAACTCGGCACGTAACGAGTCTCCTTTAGCTTTCCACTCTTCAGCTAAGCCACCGGGAGTATCAAACACATGCTTGAGTAGCTTAAACCATTCAGGTGAGAGTACACTACGAAACCATGGATTCTCTCGAAGTGCAGAGCCTAGATTGGTAAAAGACCACAATGAGCTCAACTGCTGTGAGTGTTGAAGTGCATTAGCAACACGCCGAAGCGATTTGATCAGCATATGCTGGCGGCTTTCAGTTTTAATCTCTGCAAACACCGGATTTTGAGGATTTCTCACTTCACGGTCATCTCGATTTGGTGCCGATGATCGCTGGTTCGGCATTAACGATTTATCCTTCTTCTGCTCTCGTTCAGCATTCATTTGTGCAATATACTCAGCGTCCTCGAGCTCATGAGCCAGCTCGGCTTCGAGGTGATACGCTACTTGTGAGATAATCTGAGCCCAAGCCTGCCGGCTCAGCCGTACGTCCATTTGAGCTCGACAAGACCATTGAGCTCCGATATTGAAGTTCTTCGTAACCAGTATATCCTCCAATGAGTGGCTACACAGAAAACGTAGCGAAAACCGCTGAAGGAGGTGGTCAAACTGCATTGACGAAGGCAGGCCGAGCGACTGCATCACATGGTACAGATCCATCTTGCCTGTAAACAAAATTACCAGTCGAATCACCACGGACGGCGACCCACTAGCACTGGTATTTGTTGGCCCCATGCGTAGCTGCTGCTTTGATGGTAGCGAGACAAACCAGCGATGAAAGAATGGGAGAGATTCGATATGATCTCGGAAATATTCTCCAATAAACCAAGTTATCCGGTCAACCAGGAGATGCGAATCGTTTTCTGAAAAATAAAATAAGTCAACTCGGTTATATAATGGACGCCCCAGTATCAAACAAACCTTTCGTGCCGCTCCGACAAGCTAAATCAATGTATAGGAAACACTCAGCTCCACGTTCGAGGTATTTAAGCTCATGAAGCGTAGCGGCAGCTAGAAAAGCGCTGTCATAATTAGTTTTTCGATGCTGTAAATGCGTTAGATATTTTACTTACAATCGGCGTCTGAGTTGTACGTGATATGAATGGTCGAAGTTGTGGCAAACTTTGGTCCAATATCCATTTTTAACATGTAGTCACCGCGGTCGCTACCAGGAGTACGCGATAGCAGACAACTTGCTGATAACATCCCAGTCGATGCTACTTGGCGCACACACGTGAGAGCCCAGTAAACTCGTCGCTTGAGTCGTCTCAACGCACAGAAGGACTGCAGCCTGCATTGCAAGAAGAATTGACGCCAGAGCTGTGGCGATACGCACATTAGACAATACTATCCACTCAAAAATTGCAACTCAACTTACTGTCTTCAGCGCTGGAGACCACGATGAGAAAACGAGACTCAGCAGTCCGACTTGGCAGATTCGAGGCTGCTCTTCATTATTTCCAGTCTTATTAGGGAGACCTTCGTTCGTAAATCGGAGTGCTGACTGCTGTCGATATCCAAACAATCTTAATGTACGCTTTAACTGATGAATAAAACGCTGACATCGTGCATGTTGATATCTCCTTTCAATGATTTCTATCGTCTCTTCGCTTGTCAGTAGAATCCCCGTCTCCGCCAATAGATACTGCGCGGCTTTAGCAGTGACAGTACCCATTGGATCATCAACATACTCGTCAAAAAGCCGCTTAATCATTGTCACTTTCTCTACTTCCTCCCACTGCAGTGAAATCCCCAAACTTGCCAGATCTCGTTGCAATGGCTGGTCCTCTTCTACCAACTCTCGATACATTTTAAACCCTTCGAACGTGAGTTTTCCTTCCTCATCCAGCTCGCACATATCACTCGTATACATCCTCCAGATCTCTGGACTGCCCTCAAATGCTCTCAACTCCACAGAATCCGTCGAACACTTTAAGCCTACCATGTATTCGCGGAACTCTTCGTGAGTCCATTTATCGTCCCTATCTGCGTCAAAAAGACTCCAAATCCGTCGACATTTGGCCTTACCCAACGGTGTCAGTCTCCAATGATACCGGACTGGGTCAGGAGCATCGAAATTAAAGCGATGGGATGCATAACGAGCCAGAGTTGCTTTAGAAACGTGCTCAACCTGTCGAAGGAAGAGCGAACTCGAGAGTCCATCCCAGTGGACATTGGTCGACTCCAACCAGTACGCACTATTGTAGCCATTCGTGACAGCTCCAGCTTCTCTCAGAGAGTTCTCTACAGCTCTCAGACTCGTGCGGATCTCGTGACGTCGCTCTAAAATCGCCTCTTCATTTGCAGCGACTGCTTCCTCCATTGTATGTAAATGTAGCTTGAAGCGCTCCGATCTTTCGAATACGGCGGCATTTGATTCGCTGGAGTTATTATCCAATCAAATACTTTAAAACATGTAATTTTAACCAACCAGAAGACAATTTTGGTTGTGGCTTCTAGAAAAAGGGAGAATTTGATTTACTTCGTGCATCATGGACAGCTCGAGCAAGGCCACGCTGTTCAACGCGTTGGCGTGGGTGGACGCGCTCAAGTCGCGCGACGGCGTGAACTCCCAACAAGTGGACTCTGCTCTTACCAGCCTCACGTAATTCCCACGCTTTAATTCGCAGTACAAGCTGCAAAAATCCATTTCAATCACTCAATCGTCCCTAACTATCATCTATCACAATTCAGTGAAGCGTTCGGCGTGAACGTGCACGATGCAGAACAGAAACGGCAGTTGGCAGTCAACGGCGAGGCCTCGTTTGACGAGATCTTCGCTGCGGGACTCAAGGCACTGAATCTGGAGACTGGAACGACAGGCGAGGCAAAGTCGATGGCGGACGAAGACCCGGTCGTGAAGAAGCGTACGTGGCACAGTTTATAGCACCTGGAGGGATATTTCTCATTGGCTGATTATCTTCTATACAGACCCGGAGCTGTGGAAGAAGTGGGTGGCCAAGCTGGAGAGCAAGGGCTTCTTCAAAGACGCTGCCCCTGGTTCCAGTGAACATGCTACGCGTACGAACAAGGCATTGGCTAAATTTAAGGAGAAATTCGGAGACGTCAAGCCGGAGTTGTCTAAAGAAGAGAAGGAAGCCAAGGCTGAGGAGGTGAAGGCGCAGGGTAACGCTGCGTTGAGTCGCCAAGACTACGAAGGCGCAGCTAAACTGTACCGTGAGACGCTGCAGCTGTCGTCGGACGGCCCGTCGTCCCACATTTACCACTCGAATTTGGCTGCTGCGTTGATGTATTTGGGCAAGTACACAGAGGTGATCGACCACTGCGAGCAGTCGATCGCTCTTAAACCGTCGTATGTGAAGGCGTACTCTCGTATGGGCAGCGCACAGGTGCAGCTCAAGGACTTTGACGGCGCAATTGACACCTTCAGACGTGGGCTCGAAGTGGACAGCACGAACGCTGCGTGTCGTGACGGACTCGCAGAAGCTGAACGTAAACGTCGTCAGGTGCAGACGACGCCAGCGGCTTCAGCTCCTGCCGGTGGCGCTGGAGGCATGCCAGACCTGTCGAACCTGGCCAGTATGTTGGGCGGAGGCGGTGGCGGCCTTGCTGACCTCATGAACAACCCGCAAATGATGCAGATGGCCCAGAACATGATGCAGAATCCTCAGATGATGCAGATGGCGCAGAATATGATGCAGAACCCCGACATGCTCAACAACCTCATGGGTGGACTCGGTGGCGCCGGTGGACCTGCTCCTGGTGCAGGAGCTGGTGGGATGCCCGACATGAGTGGCCTTATGAACAGTCCTGAGCTCATTGCAGCACGATCGGACCCGGACTTGGCGGATTTCTTCCGTGACGTGGACAACGAAGGACCGTCCGCTGCAACGCGTCACATGTCGAACCCCAAGGTCTCGCAGCTCATGCAGAACGTCATGTCTCGGATGCAAGGTTAGACAAGAAGGCAATGCACTGCAATTCGACCCTGTAAAGAGGACTATAAAATGCCAAGTAGTGAGTGAGTGGGGGCTTCAACTGTTCGATTTAGTGGACCAGTATGCAACAATACACTACCGAGTGTGTGTTTTAGTGCTTGACGAACGTCTCGGTGTCCTCGAGGAACGCCAGATACTCGCGTTGCTCCTTGAAATCGGCGAATTGCGTAATGAACTGCGCCAACTCGTCGTCGATGTTGCGCTCGGCCAGGAAGTTGTAAAATTGGTCCTGCACGTCGAGTTCCAGGTCGATGAAGTTGGGGCCAAAGTACAGCGTCTCGTCCTCGGCGTCCTTGGCGAAGTCCTTGAGGTAGCGCAAGCGCTCCACCGTGAGGTTGCTGCTGGCCACGCAGTCGAACTGCATGCCCTTGTTGTCGCGCGTGATGTCGGCTGTGAAACGGATACCTGGGAGCTCGTCCTCCTCTTCCTCGTCTTCATAATCCTCGTCCATCTCAGTGCTATCTTCTCCCTCATCATCCTCATAGTCCTCGTCTTCCTCGAGTTCCACGGTATCTTGCGCGTTGAACTTGATCTTGATCGAGTCGGCGCCCACTGTGCCCTGCAGCACGACGTCCATGCAGCCAGGAGTCTCCTGCAGCTTGAACACCTTCTCAACCTTAAGACGCAGGTTCTCCAGTTCCTCCTCCTCGAAGCAGTTGGCCTTTTCCTCCTCAATCTCACGCTGTAAATGATAAAACAACGGATTATTTTGGTAAAAATTAGCTTGTGATCATGCTAAATTCCAGCGAATCTACAGCGAATTTTCACCGTACCTTCAGCAAGTTGGAGATCGATGACTTCTCGCGGCTCTGCAGCGCACGCAGGCCCAACGAGGGCGTGCGGCGGACGGCAGTAAGCGAGGCGACGCGAGCGACTCGAGCGAACATGATGCTCTTCCTGGTAGATTTGAGTTTTGCGGTGAGCTTCACGTCCACATACATAACTCCGTGTGATTGGTTGTAAAAATGGAGCGGTTTTGACCAATGAAAAAAAGTAATGACACGCTGCGATTTGAAGAAACATTTTCTAGAAGCTGAAGGAGTCAATGATACTTTGTGGTGGCGGTGATGATAGAAGTGCTGTACACTCGAGTTCCGTGAGTAAAAGCCCTGGAATATTTACCTGGCGATCCTGTACTAGCGGGTGGATGGTAGAGCTCCACGGTCTCACTCGTGTCAAGAGGATCTAGTGATTGTAAGGGAAAAGCAACAGTAAATCTCCCATGGAAAAGGCTGAAGAGGCTATTGCGAGAGCCCCACGCATATGCTCTCTAGATCGTGGGAGGAACATTTCCAACATCGGAAATACTGTTAAAATGAGGAACTGTGACAGATACAAGATAAAAGGCGAATCTGAGCCACCCATTTCGTGTTAGGCTGAACGTTTCATCTCGTAGAGGTAGATACTATCAAAATCTTGGATTTCCATCTCGTGTGCGTCGTTGATATACGAGCTTTTTTCAATTGACCGGGCAGTCAAACCCCAGCGAGAGAGTAAAGGAGCGATCGATCGATTGATACTGCGTAATTGGTAGGTGAAGTAGAACTTGCAGGAGGGTGAGTTACTGCATCGCAAAATGAGGGCGACAGTCGCGACCACTTTCTCAAAATCTGCATGAGCACAGTACACAATTGTCAGATGTAACATTACTTTAAGAGGGTAACAGTCAAGATACCTTCAGATTGATAAAAACAGTCAGCAGCTAGGACGACATCGACAGCTTGGAAGATGGAAACGATCTCGTCCGATACGTACATATCTCCCCAAGATAGCGGTATGAATTCCGCACGACCATCAAGCCCATTCAGCGTGATATTAGCCTCTGCGTTACGCTGGATGTCGCCAGCATCAGGTCGATCTGTAAGGTAAACCTTTGCAGCTTCACATAACGCAGAGGTAATCGACGGGAGTCCTGTTCCGCAACCCAATTCCAGGACGACTTTGTCGCGACAAAGCCAACTTGCTTCGTGGGTAATGAACCGGGATAGCAACAGCGCCGACGGCCATACAAACAAGCCGTAATGCTTGTCGTTGTCTTCGTTCGCCTCGTCAAGGTCGCGAATAAACTCGACTAGACGTACTTCGACAATCGAAGGATCAACAACACGCTGCCGCTTCAGCGTCGGCTCTACATCTGTCGCCACGCCTTGACAAGACGCTTGTGACTCGACTCCACACACGAAGCGGAGCGTGCGTTGCGCCGCTGCAACGCTACTTGAAGCCTCCATCTGCACCAGTCGCGAAAACGGGACTTGGACGGGTATTTGTCCCGTAATTATTTCTGTGGGGAACAGACGGTCTGTAACTTACAGACCACTTCAAGAAGGTATCTTTGAAGCAGATAGAATCAACAAATCTGTCAGATTTGACGGTTGAATTATCGCTGACGGCTTTCGACCGGAGTTTTAATCAACTGATAATGCATGAAATTTGCCTTCAAGGTTGATAAAGAAATGAACCCGAGCAGCTGGGAGACGCTAGACAACGAATTTGACACGGAGGATCAAGCTCTTGGTACCACAGTGATGCTGGCTGAGGATGATGGCTCGTTGTCGAAGCAGATTATCGTGGATTACTTCACTAGCGACGGACCACGAACCAGGAGACTCGACTCGAGCGATGAACCAGAGAGAAATATTTTGGATGAAAGCAGTGGAGACGAAGAGTTACGAGAGTCTAGAGAAATTCCGGAAAGGTTGGATAAAGTGCATGGCATGAAGACGAGTTCTCCTGAAAAAGTTAAAGGGGAGAGGACAAACGCATCAGTAGATTTATTGGAGGAGAGAAGACACTGGGTAGTAGAAGCATTATTTACTTGGGAAATCGTGCAATCAGTGCTTGTGGTGCTAGTAGCACTTGCGCAGTATATGTGGATGTGGAATTTGGTGGAACTTAGTACTTTGGGTCTGGAATCCGGACACTAGGCTTTACCGATGAATGGAATTGCATGGCTAAAGTATGGCAGAAGTACGGCTACAAGTCTTACGTGTTGGCTGAATAAACGTACGTGTGTGTTATGGTCGGATCGTGTGTGCTAGGTGTGCGTACAGGCCTCAATCTGCTGTTGCATTTGTGAAATGTGCTCAGCTGGAATATCATTCATACCAGCGATGTCTGGAATGCTACGTATTGCCTCCCGAAGCAGGTTTAGCTGGCTAATGTCGAGATAATCCAATACCTCCTGAAACAAAAAGTCTGAAGTAGATATGTCACCGACTGGAGACGCTTGCTGCACTTCGTCGCCATCCCAATCGTCCCATGCTTCCGCCGAATTGTTTTCAGCTGCCGTCGTTTTAGCGTCAGATCCGCCACAATTCTGCTGTCTCTGGCTGTAAAGCTGAGCCACGGCAATCACTACCTTGGGCGTGGAGTTACTGCCTTTGAGACATCGTAGCCACACTTGCATATAAATGTCCATTAAGAAAAAATAGTTTGAGTCTTGCGTGCACACTTGCGTAGAAGTGAAGGTGTCCTGGAGGCACTGAAGAATTCTATCCATCTCTTCATCCTCTTCTGCACGGGATAAACTGGTATTTGAAAAGTGAAGAACTACACTAAGACTGTCTAAAAGGTGCGATTGAGCCTCTGACTTGCTAAGTGTGATCCACCGGAACATGTCATCACACAAAAGCCACGATAAAATAATCCGTACTAGACAAAGCCATCGAGAGTTCCAAGACAGATCAACTTCATGAGAATGAATACGATCGCTCCAGCTGGAATTGCTACTTCCGTGTCGTTCATTCAAAACTTGCAGTGTACTAACAACCGCTGGGAGTAGAGGCACGAGGAAGATGCAAAACTGACGATCCAGGGAGTTGTCGATGTTCACGGATATATTCCAAACCTCCAACAATTGCATTGCTTTAGGAAGCTGCTCGTGAATCAGTCGCAACGCACCATCCAAGAGCCGGGTGACTTGTTGAGGTGGGTCTGTCACAGTGTCAACGCTAAGAAATGCCAACATCTTCGCTTCCACTTTAGCCACGATCGCTTCTGTGTCAATAGACAGACTTTGTGCACCACTTTCCAGCATCATGAGGTTGTGCCACACGGTTTTCCAGTCCGTCGTTAGCTTCAGTGACGTAGAACATTCAACGTTATCACCCATAGCGACCATGCTCTCTTCCAGGTAGCGTAAATACAGTACAATGTTCTTCACGCACGTCCAACTCCACGACTTATCCGCCGACTCGACTACGACTTCCGTCAACGAGAGGAAATTGAGTTGGTCTGTCCAGACGACAAGTCGCATTAGACCTGGAAGGACTTGGCGAGAGATTCGGCGAAGCTCAAATTGCGAGGACTCGAATGCCTCCTTCGTCTGTGCGATAAATCCACTCGTAATCTGCTGCCAGAACTCATTACCTGAAGCAGGGAGGCCATTTTGGCCATTGTTTTTCTCGATCCAAGTGTTAATATCATGGACAAGTGATTTGCTCTCTGCTTTGTTGCTATTGAGAGCACTTTGATCTTCGTCCGTTCCTTTTGTTTTTGCCCAGGTGGCTGATTGAGCTTGTTCGTGAGCCCAAAAACATGTTTGCAAGTCAGCAAGCGATCTTGACCGGTGGTATGATTTTGTAGGTGCTGGCTTCCACCTCAACAGTTTACCGGCACCACTACTGCAGTTCAACAGACTTTGACCCAGGACGTTAATGAGAACATCGATACTCAATAAACGACCTTCTTTTCTCTGCCAACATAAACTGCTTTCGTCCTGTAGCTGCTTGGACAATGAAAGCAGCATTTGCACCATCAACTTCAAGGAAGCCTCGTCATCTGAAGTTGCGCTCAGACTTTGCTTTGCCAGTGCTAGCACGACGCTGCTGCTCTTCTGGCGAACACTTGAAGCGATATGTATCACATACTTCTCCAGCGTTGGAAACACGAATTTCCAGTGCTTATACAAAAAAGTCGACGGGAGACGCGGTGCCATCCGAGCCAACACATCCAGCAATCCTTCAGCTTCAAACGCATCCAGTAGTTCAGATTCTTCCGGATTCCGAGCACTATCATCCGATATCTTGTCGCTCCGATTGATACGATTCAGTTTGCTGATTACTTCCTGAAAAATAAGCAGCCGTGTCGGTTCTTCACAAAGCGAAGCATACTCCACCAAACATTGAGCTGAGAGCTGTCGAACACTGAGCTGGTCGTGGCGAAGACACTGGTATATCGCAGGTTTTAGCGTTTGTACTAGACATCTCGGTAGTTGAGTGAAAGTGTGACTTCCATTGGAACCAAAACGATACTTTATCATCGGTAATTGACGAATGCCCAACATGCCCTTGATATCATCTTTTACCTGAGAAACCTTGGAATCTTCATTAACCTTGACTTGTTGAGCGGTGGACTCTATCTCGATGGAGCGTAATAAAACCGATAGTGCCAGTAATGCGCCTTCCCTCTCAGTCCACGCAGTTACCTGACTTTTATCTGCGCTAACACTTCGGGAACCCATGGCGACACAGAGCAAACTGTCCATGAATTGCTCGATATGCTTTAGTGATGAAAACTCAAACACAATTGTAGCTGCCATCTTGGCGCAGTCTTTTCGGATTGCCGACCACAAGTCTGTTACCCCAAGCAGCAACAGACGCACAGCTTCATCAAAGAACTTGTTCTCCACCTCTGCAGATTTGGGTTGTAACGAAAGCCGGAGAATTTGAAAAGCGAACGAAAGAAAACGTTGACGAGCCCGAGGATTCTGGAGTCGTTTAACGACACGACTGAACGTGGAGATGCTGAACGCACTCCACTCACTCTTTAGCAGTAATCTATAGTACAAGATCACGGTTAGAATCTCCTAGACAACGCTATATTTTTTTTAACAGGTTGGCCAACCTACCCGTGTAAATCGTCGATAAACCCCTTAATTTCTGCAGATTGTGCTTCGATCTGCTCCCAACGCACAAAAGTTTGCGGGTCGATGCCTAGAATCATTTCATCTTTTGCTGATTTAGCTGCGGCTCCAAATTTTCGAGCTGCTAAGTGAACTAGCAGATCCTCTAACAGCGACTGTGAACTGTTTCGACTGTCATCGTTTCCATCTTGTGGCAGAACTGGAGGTTCACGATTCAGAAGTCCGAGATCCAGATCTTGTTCGGAGATAGATTCGTGAGGCTGCAACAAATGACGAAATGCTTCGCTTTCCTCATCACAGCTTGCAGCTAATAACACGCGCCGCACTGAAGCCATGAAAGGTATAACACCGTTTAGTACCTGCGGCTCTCTAGAGTCGCGACGTTATATCAAAGATAAGATCGCAATTTATGTTAGACACGACCAGATATTTTGAGATTAGCTTTGAAGTGACTTTGGATTTAGGACCAAAAGCATTTGAGTTTTCCAACACTGTTCCCCAACTCGAATTGCGGTCTTTATCTCCATTGTTCTTGCCTGCAATGAAGTGAACGTATGTTCTCGCGAACTACGTAATATGGATAGTAAAGGGCTGTAACGATTGTATTTTCGATCCATATAGACTCTAAATGCATCAGCATTGGCTCTATATTTTTCCGGGTAGAGCCAATACTGATGCATTTGAACTTAGCCTCCAACATTTCTAATCCACAAATTTATCTGAAGATGGTGCGTATTTTGCTGTTACGATTACAGCAAGACGCGGTACCCCGCTGAGTAGTGATCAATGATCAAAGACGCTGCGTCGACAAGTAACTTTCACTGTGATAGGGTGCAGCAGGACATTCAAGCCAAGTCCATGTACTGATCTCCTAGACCGGTGTTTATCAACTTGGCCAGAGGATCTGCAGCAGCACGTGCTCGTTGAGAACTGACAACGAATCGTCTACCGGGGATGGTAATACCTCACAGCGGTCTACCTGATTGCGCGACGATATTACACGTATACTCTTCACTCACACACAACATTGCGGCACAACTGAATTGACCATCAATACGATGGCACTGTGCTCCGACGCTATACGAAATATCATTGTCTGCGTTGCGCTTGCATGGATCTTCGGTCTACCAGCCGATTCTACAGCTATCACAACCCAGTTCAATCGACGTCCAGTCCTGCTACTTACGGGAGACTCGCTCACTGAACATGGCACTTATCCGAACGTGCAAGGTTGGGTCGCACTACTCCAGGCTCAGTACACTAGAACGGCGGATGTCATTGCGCGAGGGCTCTCGGGTTACAACACAAGATGGTTCCTCAAGGACGTAATGCCGGTCCTCGAAAATGAGATTAACTCCGGTGCATATAGCTCTCCATCCCTCATCACGGTCTGGCTCGGGACCAACGATGCCGCACTAACAAATGGAAGCAACTCAGAGATGCACGTGCCGATTGAGGACTATAAGCAAAACTTGATCAAAATCGTCGGCAGGTTTCAAAGTGAAGCCCCAAATGCCAATATTTTGATGATCACTCCACCTCATATTGACGACGACGCAAGAGTGAAGAACGCACAAGAACGGACTGATGCGAAGCGAGGTCTCGTGGATCGCTCAAATTCTGCGGTGGGGAACTATTCTCGCGCTTGTGTGGACGTCGCCAGCACACTAAACGTCCCAGTGCTGGATTTGTACGCACATTTTGATGCCATGGCATCGGCGACTCGAAACACGATGCTGATAGATGGTATCCACTTCAACGCTGCTGGCAACAAGGTGGTCAATGAACAGCTACATAATAAGTTGAGCGCCGAGTTTCCCGATTTGGTGAAGTCGCTCGAGGCGTGGCAATTTCCGGCGGTAAGCAAATACGTGATGGAAGATCCGTGGACAGCGAAGAATTCGACCGAAACTACAGGTCAACATGTTAGCTGAAAAAAAATCTCCAATAGCTAGAATATCCTTTCACGACTTGTCTTGTTGCACTTTAACCATAAAACAATTCGAGCAAGTTTTACCAAACAAAGCCGCGACTCGAGACCGAAGAAGCTCTGAAATTTAGACAGCACAATACTATTTGCATTTCAAAGATCATAATTTGTTGGACTCGCCATCGATAAATAATGATGCAAATACGAAAATGGCAGGGTGAGAGCTGCTTCTTACGGTTAAAGAATAGCAGCCTCACGCGTTTAATGCAATTCAAATAGTTCTCAAAAACAGAGAACGAAGGAGCGTGGTATATGAAAAATAAATAAAAAAA